CGCGCGACGCGACATTCGTTCCCCGTGTCGTGAAACGCGCGCCTCGCCTCGCGGCGAAACGCGCGTCGTCCACCGTCCCGGCCTCGAACTCACCGTCTTCCCCGCGCGTCCGCGTCGAACACCGCAGGTGAGAGCCGCCGCGGCGGCCGCGGCGGCGGCGGCGGACACGAAGCACGACAGGTCCGCGACGCTCCGCCACCTCAGCGCGGCGTCGGAGATCTCGCGCGAGATTCACGAAGCCGCGAGGCTCGCCGCCGCGGCCAAGGCGCGCCAGCGGCTCGCGTCCAGCAGCTTCAGCGGCGGGTCGTCCTCGACCTCGACCTCGACCTCCGCGGAGATGGCGATCGGCGCCGCCGCGAAGGCGTCCGCGGCGATCAGAGCCGCGCAGGATGCGCGCGACGCGACTCTTCGATTCCCGTCGTCGTCGTCGCTCGTTCGAAGCGTCTCGGACGCGACCCACGTGACCTCGTCCCGCCGCCCGGCGCCGGCGCCGTTCTCCTCTAAATCGCCTCTCTTCGGGAAGACGCTCGACATCGACAGCGAGAGCGAGAGCGACGACGACGACGACGGGACGCCGCCGCCGTCCGTCGCCGAGGCGATGTCGGCGTCGGCGTCGGCGTCGGCGACCGAAGCCTCCGGGGGGTCCGAGAGCGAGAGCGTCCGAAGCATGAGCGAAGGGCGGACGACGTCCAGTGGCAGCGGCAGCGGCAGCGGCAGCGGCAGCGGCAGCGGCAGCGGCAGCGTCGCTGGCGAGGACGACGGCGTCGTCGTCTCGAAACCCACCCCGCGCGGCGTGGAGCGCGACTCCTCCGCGGGGTACAGAGGCGTCTCCGAGTGGATGGACACCGTCGTCGCGCAGGCCAAGGCTGTGCGAACCGCGAGCGGCGGCGGCGGCGGCGGCGGCGCGCGGTCCGCGGCGACGCTCGCGGCCGCCGCGGCCGCGGGCGCGCGCGCCGCGGAGAGCTCGGGGAACCTCGGAAGCATCGCGACCGCGCCGTACACGCCGCCGACGCGCGCGGGCGGCGCCAAGGAAAACGCGGCGGCGACGAAGGCGCCGACGCGGGGCGTCTTCGCCGCCGCCGCCGCCGCGAGGCCGACGTCCTCGAAGTCGAACGGCGACGACGACGTCGACGCGATGACGACGGAGCAGCTCAGGGTGAGAGTTAGAGACCTGATGGAGTCGCTCGACGGCGCGCGAGGCGCGCACGAGGAAACCGCCGCCGCATTGGCGTCGGCGACGTCGAGGGAGGAGACGACGTCGGACGAGTTGAAGCGCACGACGGAGAAGTGCGCGGAGATTGAGAACGGACGGCGCTCCGCGCGTTCCGCGCTCGCGGAGATGGCGTCTCAGAACGCGCGGCTCGTCTCCGCGTTCAGCGCGAAGAAGGAGGAGATGCGCGTGATTCGCCTGGAGCTCGACCGCGCGAAGAAAGTCGCCGAGAGCGCGACGGAGGGGCTGGATAAACAGCTCGCGGCGACGCAAAAAGAAGCCGCGAGCTTACGCGAGCTCCTGTCCCGGCGCGACTCCGAGCTCGCGCAGGCGGACCTGGCGCTGAAAGAAGCCAAGTCCGCGGCGAGGGCGGCGGCGAGAGAGACGGAGAAGCTGCGCGACGTCACCGCGCGGTGGGAGCGGCAAAACAACCGAAACGCGTCCGACGTGAAGACCATCACGGAGGCGAAGGAAGAGTCCCAGCTCGCCGCGAGAGTCGCGCACAAAGAGCTCGAGGTGGAGCGCGCGCAGTTCGCCGCGGAGCGTCTTCGGTGGGAAGCGGAGCGGAAGCGCTGGACGATGGAGCTGGCCGCGTTGAAGGAGGCGGCGAGGAAAGCCGGCGCGGTGCCCACCGCGAGGGAGGCTCGGGAGGCGCCTCCGCCTCCTCGCGACCGCGTCCCGCCCGTCGTTCCGAACCCGAACCCGCGCCAGAACCCGCAGTACCGCGATCCGTACAGGCAGACCGCGAAGCCAGCGGGGGAGTCCGCGTCCATGCCGAGCTCGCCGACGCGTCCGAGCGCGTCGAACGCGAACGCCTCGAAGGCGATGAGCCCGCTGAGGAAAGCGTCCGTTTTCGCCGCGAAAGCCGCCGCCGCCGCGTCCGCGTCCGGGAGCCGCTCCGCGCCGACGTCGCCGGTGAAAAACAAGCCGGCGTCGTACGCGTCGCGGCACGGCGGCGGCGGTGCGACGGGGTCGGGGACGACTCGACCGTCGAGCGCGATGCCGAGCGCGAAGGACGGCACCCCGCGTCAACGCGCGGAGATTCATAAGGTCAAAGGGAACAACGAATTCCACGCGAAAAGGTTCGAAGCCGCGCTCGCGCAGTACAGCGCCGGGCTCGCGCTGGAGTTTCACGACGACGGGTTCCGCGCGATCCTCCACGCGAACCGAGCCGCGGCGCTGCAAGCGATGGGTTTATATTGCGACGCCGTCATGGACTGCTGCGCGTCGAATTTGTTGGATCCAAAGTATTTACGCGCGTTGCAACGACGAGCAGACGCGTATCTCTCCATGGGCGACTGGCCGAACGCGTGCAGGGATTTGGAAACCCTCGCGCCGTCCATGGGCGCGGAGTGCGCGGCGAAGCTCTCGGAGGCGAGACGCAAGGTGAAGAAGGGCGCGGTTTTGGATCACTACGCCGTCCTCGGATTGGCGCAGAGCGCGTCCGGGGCGGAGGTGAAGCAAGCGTATCGACAGCTCGCGCTGAAGCATCATCCGGATAAAGCGCCGAAGCCGGAGCTTCGAGACGTCGCGGAGGGGTTGTTCAAGCACATCGCGCAGGCGTACGCGGTGCTCTCGGACGTGTCGCAGAGGAAGCGGTACGACTCGAGCCTCGTCATGGCGCGGTTCAAACGGTCGGGGATATATTAAAATAACTTCACTCGACGACGGGGTGCGCGGATTCGTACCCGGCGAGATTGGAGGGGGAGACGGGAACGGGAACGGGAAGGGATTACTTGGGCGCGCAAACGCGCCACACGACACGTGTATAATTTATCAATCGAATAGATCACATCACAACGCGTCGCGCGCGCGGTGCGGCGTCAACGGCTTCGTTGACCCCGCGCGCGTCGATCCATCGAGGTCGATCGATCGATGGATTCGATTGATCACGCGGGTCCCGGCGACTTGATCCTCGAGGGCGACCCCGGCGGCGGGGTGCACGTGTCCGCCGAGTCGTACCCGCTCGCGATGAAATCGCTCATCGTGAGGCTCCTTGCGAGTGTCTCCACGTGTGTCACACACACGTTGTTCGCGTGGAAGCACTCCGGCGGGCCGTCCAGGTCGTCCTCCCACTCGTCCCCGTCCGCGACCGCGCCGGCGGCGGCTTCTCCCGCGCCCACCGCTCTCTGAACGACGTCCGAGGCGTAGTTACACAAACCCTTCGCGAGCTCGTTGTCGTCCCCGTCCTTGATCGTGACGCACGCCTGGACGCTGAAGTTCCCGACGCACCCGGTGACGTGCGACATGAGAATCGGCATCCCGCGCAGGACGTGCTTCGCGCCTTTTTCCGACACCGTGACCTCCCCGGCGACTGGCACGGCGAGGAGCCATTTCTTTTTACCCTTGGCCGCCTTCTTCGCGGGTAAGAAGGCGGTGCCGACGCCCACACCCTCTAAAACCGCAGCCTCGACGCCGTCCATGCGCGAGGATAGACACACGATCGTCTTACACCCCGCCGCGCACGCGATGCGCGCGGCGGTGAGCTTCGTGACCATCCCCCCGGTGCCGACGGAGGTGCCGGCGCCGCCGACGTCGACGTTAAGATCGTTGATGTTGTCGACCACCTCGATGAGCCGCGCGTCCGGGTTCGTCCCCGGGTTCGCGGTGTACAGCCCTTCCACGTCCGTGAGTAAGAAGAGCCACTTCGCCTCCACGAGCGCGGCGACTTGCGCGGATAACGTGTCGTTATCTCCGAAACGGAGCTCCTCCACGGCGACGGTGTCGTTTTCGTTCACGATGGGCACGACGCCCATGTCCAGCAACGCCGCGAACGTGTTCTTCGCGCGCACGTATTGCTTCCGGTCCGATAAGTTCCCCAGCGTGAGCAGAACCTGCGCGCACTTCAAACCGATCGTGCTGAAGATGTCCTCGTAGTGCCGCATGAGGTGGACCTGACCGACGGCGGCGAGCGCCTGCTTCTTCGCCACCTCTTTCGGTTTCTCGTCGAACCCCATCTTGAACATCCCAGCGCCGACCGCGCCGGAGGAGACGATGACGACGTTGAGACCGCGCTTGTGCAGCCTCGACACGGTCTCGCACATCGCGCATATTTGCGACAGGTGCAGGACGCCGTCCCTGAGGAGGCTGCTCGTGCCGACCTTGACGACGACCGTCGGCTGCGATGGGACACACGGGGCGAGGAGGACGCGGTGGACGGATCGGAGACGTGATGAAGCGCGGTGGAGAGGACGATTATCGATGTGCGAACTCGCGCGCGGGACGGCGACGACGACGACGGGGCGGGGACGGGCGCGCGAGACGACGCACCTTCTCCATCGCGTCGGACGTTCTCTGCGGGACGGACGCCGCGCGGGATGGACGCCGAGCGAGGGACTCTCGCGACCGCGGACGCGCTCCGAGCGCCGTCGGTCTGAAGCGCGTCCGAGAGGATAAACACCTTTTACGCGCGGGATCGAGATCGCGCTTTTTTTCCAGTTTTTTTCTGCTTTTTTTCACGAAACGTTTCGTAAACAACTCCTACACGGCGCGCCTTCGCTCGCGCCCCTCAATGCCCCATCGGCACCGTGCGCCACTTCCCATCCTCCCCCCGCCTCGTGACGAACTGCTCCGGGATCGCCGTCTCCGTTGCTTCCTCTGCGCTCCCCTCCGCCGGCACGCACGTCACGTTCACCTCGGAACACTTCGCCGTCGTGACCTCGGCGCTCCACGACTTCTCCCCCAAGTACACCTGGCACCCGTCCACCTTATCGATCGCGACGGTCGGGACGGTTCCCATGCACTGCACCTGCACGGACGCGCAGTTGATGATCTCGCACGTCGCGAGGACGTCGTCGAACACGATGGCGGACTTTGCGCACGCGTCCATCGTGACCGCGTTCGCCTTGCCGTTGATTTTGATCACGCAGTCGCGGCAGTTGTACACGTACACGGTCTGTTTTGGGTTGACGTCGTTGAGCTCGATCGTCTTGTTCCCGACGTGATTCTCGACCGCCCATTTCTTGCCTTCGAGGGAGAGCTTCGGGGCTTTCGTCGCCGGCGCGGCGGCGGCGGTCGCGGGTTTCGTCGCGGCGGCGGCGCCGGCGGCGGGCGCGTCCCCGACGAGCCCGGACCGATCCGCGCGGTTCTTCGTCTTCATGTCGTCCGTGACCTTGCGCAGCCCGGAGGTGATCGCCTCGCCTTTGTTGAGTTCTTTAAACACCGCGTTCATCCCAGACTCGGGTTTCGGGGTCGTGAGGAGCCCCGGCGGCGGCGGCGGCGGCGGCGGCGGCGGCGCACCCGGTTTGTTCAGGCCGAGCGTTCCCGGCGGCGGCGGCGGCGGCGGCGGCGGCGGCCCGCCCGCCCTCTTCGCCACCTTCTCCACCTTAAAATCCTTCACGTCGACGCCTCGCGGGTTCCAACCCGGCCCGGTCGCGTGAAACTCCTTCACGTAGCCTTTGAAATCGGTCAACACGAGCTGTTTCATCGCCTTCACGAACGCGGCGTGCGCGGGGTCCTTCCCCTCGCCCTTGTGCTCGACGAGAATCTTATTCGCGTAAAACTCCGCGGACTGCCACGCCTCCGCGACGTGCGGCATCGGCAGCGACATCCCCATGTCCGGGCCTTGGTACGCCACGAACGCGAGGCACTGGACGCTCTCCGCGATGACCTTGAGGTGGTTAAACGCGTCCGTGCGTCGTCCCTCCGTCGTCGCGGCGAGCTTCATCATGCGCTCGCCGACGGGCGCGATGAGCGTCTGCAACGCGTCGACGTCGGTCGGTCTCTTGCACGCGGCGACGACGGCGAGGACGTCGCGGAGCTTCGCGAACGCGTCCTCGAACAGCTTCACCGCGTCCGTGATCTCCGCGCCGAGCGGGGACGCCGCGGACGTCATCGTTTTCAGCGCGCCGGAGAGGAGCGCGTCGTAGGACGCGACGGACGGGGGGATCTCCCCGGGCGCGGGCGCGGGCGCGGGCGCGGGCGCGGGCGGCGCCGCGACGGCGCCGGCGCCGACGCCGACGCCGACGCCTTGCTTCTCGAGCCTCGCCGCGACGGCCTCGAGCCGAGCGACGACGGACTCGAGGTTCACGGTGACCGCCATCAGAATCGCGTTCGTTGTTGACCGGAAGATCTCGCTCGCGGTCGCGTCCCCTCGGATCTGACGGACGACGAAGGAGGAGGACGCGACCTGGTACGGCGCGCGAACGGGCGCTCGTCCGACGACGACGGCGACGACGACGACGACGCGGGGCGAGGAACGACGCGACGACGGCAGCCGACGACGCGCGCGCGGGTGTGGCGCGGCCGCGGAGCGCTGGCAGAGTGGACTCTAGCTAGTCAAAGAAGATGGGCCAACGTTCAAAAGAGCAGTCACAGCAGTGGCAGACTGGGCACCCTCGCCGCGGGGCGGATTCATCCGGAGACGTCACCACCGTGAACCACCACCATCATCCGAAGACTTCAACACCACCATCGCCCCCCCCGCGTCCTTCAAATACTCCGGGTCCGCGTTCGCCATGTGCCGCACCTCCGTCGTGAGCTTCCGCGTCGGGTGCACCTGCCTCAACGCCGCGGCGAACGCCGCGCGCTCCGCGCCGACGACCTCGTCCTCCTCGAGATATTCCGACGCCATCGCCGTCCACGCCGGCTCCGCGGCGGCGAACGTGCCGCGCCCCAACACGCTGTGCCCGGGCCTCGGCACCCCCAACGCGATCGCCTTCGCCGCCTCCATCGCCTCCCTCAACTCCTCCACTGAGTGGCCGCCGAACAGAGGCTTCCTTAGCCCGTCGGCGTCCGTCCAGCGTTCGTTCGCTCGGACCCACGCGCACAAGCCGGGCAGCGCGAGGAAGCACTCCGCGTCCGCGCGCATCGTGCGCAGCGCCGCGGCCGCGCACGGCGTCATCCCGATCGCGCCGATCTCCGGGTGGTACTGCCCGCGCTCGAGCGCGGCGTCGCCTCGCGAGAGCACGCACGCGAGCACGTCGGCGTCGTCGCCCTCGCCGACGGGGACGCGCGCGTCGTGCTCGCGGCGCGCGGGCGCGGACGACCGTCGAAGGAGCCAGAGCGAGAAGTTCCCGGACGGGTGCTTCCACTCGTCCACGCGCGTCGACGGCGAGGACCCGAGCGGGTAGTTTGGATCGGACTCGTCGAGGATCGCGTCGCGGATGGACGCGAGCGAGGGCTCGCGCGCGTCGTCCGACGACGACGACGACGACGACGCGCCCGCGGCGAAGCCTCGAGATCTCCGCCCGCCGCTCGGAGCGTCGCCGCTCGTCGTCGTCTCGCGATGACGACTCGCGAAGAGCGGCGGAGGACGAGCGAGGCACGGCGACGACGCGCCGCGCCAGAGCTGCGCGGCGGGCGGCGCGTTCGCGAGCGCGCGAAGCGCGCGTCGTGCGGCCATCGTTGTGATCGATGTCGCCTCAAACCTAAAACCTGAAGCGACATTTCATCATTCACTCTCACGGGCGCGGACGGCAGCGAACGGCGAGCGTCGCGGAAGGCCCCGTCGGCTTCCTCCGCTCCTCGCGCGCGCCGTCGTCATGCTCGCGTCGGCGGCCGCGGCCGCGTCGGCGGCCGCGGCGGCGGCGACCGGCGGCGGCAGGCTGCGCCCGCGGTCGCGTCGGGGTGCCGTGCGTTGGAGACGGATCGACGATCGCGGCGTCGTCGCGGCGACGCGGCGGTCCCGGAGCGTTCGCGCGTCGCCGGGGGAGGGAGACGTGCGCGACGGCGACGACGCGCGGCGCGCGCGACCGGAGCCGTCCATGGACGCGGAGGACGCGAAGGCGTTCGAGACCGCGATGAACGCGCTCGTCGACGCGGACGAGGATCTCCGCTCGGATCGCTCGTCGTCGTCGTCGCGAGATGCAGACGCGTCAGACGACGCCGTCTCCTCCTCGCCGTCGTCGCCTCCGCCCGCCGCCGGCGGCGGCGTCGGCGTCGGCGCGACGTTCGCGCAGTGGGCGCGTCGACTCGACGACGCCGTCACGAACAGAAGCGGGCGTCGCACGCGCGCGGCCGCGGAGGCGCTCGAGCTGTTCGATCAGATCCGAAGAGCCCTCGGCGCGCCGTCTGACCTCCCGGCGTCGATCGCTCGTAACGTCGCCGCGACCGCGGCGTCGCGCGGGAGCATCGGGTGGTTGACGAGGAGCATCGCGACGACGGCGGCATCGGACGGAACGGACCGATTCGAGGCGTTACTTCGTATGATACGAGAAGCAGAAGAAGAGGAAGAAGACGGCGCCGCGTCGTCGTTTACGTCGCCGCTGTCTGACCGCGACGGTCCCGCGTATCTGTTGATACCCGGCCTGTTCGGGAGGTACTACCCGTGCTACATGTGGTCTATTCGCGCGCACTTCAGACGGAGAGGCGCGACGTGTAAGATTTCCACCGCCGCGGACGGCGAAGGCGCGGTCGAGAGCAACGCCGCGGCGTTGTGCCGAGAGATTCTCTCTCTGCACGCCTCCGTCGGCGGCCGCGGCGTCGTGTTGATCGGACACAGCAAGGGCGGGATCGACGCCGCCGCCGCGCTGTCGCTCTACGAAAACAAACTCGCCGGCGTCGTCCACGGGCTCATAACGACGCAGTGCCCGTACGGCGGGAGCCCGATCGCGACGGACCTCCTCGCGACGCCGACGCTGACGGATCTCACGTCGCGAGCGTTGGAGGTTTTATTTCGCCGGCCGACGGGCGCCGGCGCGAAGACGCTGACGCCGATCAAAGACCTGACGTACGCGCGCCGGACGTCGTTCCTGCGCAGGCACCCGATGCCGCTGTCGTTCCCGTGCGTCAGCATGCACAGCGAGACGACGTCGCGGAGCTCGTTTCTGTACCTCGCCGCGCTCTACGTTCGGAGGCGGTACGACGAGGCGAGCGACGGGCTCGTGGCGCGACGCGACGCGGAGATACCCGGGTGCGTCGCCGTGCGGTTCCGCGGGGAGCAGGACCACGCGGACTGCGTGTTTCCGCGCGCGCTGTCGAACGCAGGCGGTGGTGGTGGTGGACCTGATGGTGAAGAAGTGACGGCTACTTTGGAGGCGTTCAATTTGGAATACGCCGCCGCGCCGGAGACGGACGCCGCCGCCGTCGTCGCCACCGCGATCGAGGAGGCGGGCGACAAAGGCATGGTGCCGCTGTCCATCGCGCGCATGGCGCACCAGGTGGAGAAGAACACGAGGGACAACTTAGAGAACTTCGAAGCCAACGCGCCGCCGGGGATATTCGCGGTGTTAGTCAGAGCGTACGTCGCGTGGAACGACGCGCTGCCGGAGCGTCTGTCGGGGACGCCGGCTCCGGGGGAGGCGCGTTCTATACACTGGTCCCCATACGACCGCGTTCGCGTGGTGAACGCCGATCCTTAAGGACTTTCGCCGGCCGTCGTTTCTCTCCGCCCACCCCACGGTTTCAATCCCCGCCCTCGACGCCTTTCAACTCCAACTGACGCCTTTCAACTCCACCCCGACATTCGCTTGTATGGAACGACCCTCACAGTATCACGAGGCGCTCGCGGCGCTGTTGACGGAGCGGAGAGCGCTGCGACTGGGACAGGGCGGCGGGTCCGCGATGGCGGCGGGAGCGGGAGCGGGAGCGAGCGCGGAGTCTGGGGATTTGATAGCGAGATAGCGGCGTAGCGTAGCCGATGTCCACGGGGATGCAGTCGTACGGGTTGCACGCGCCGGTTCCGACGAACGGGTCGTTACAGTGTCATGTCAGGTCAGGTCGTTAAAAAAAAAATTCGAGCGTCAGATCGCGCGCGCGCGCGCGATGGGCTGCTGCCCCTCCAGGGGGGTGGCCCCCGTGAGGCCATCTCCCGCTCCCGCGGCCAACGCCCGCGGGGGCTCCCCGTGGGTGCTCGAGGCGTCGAGCGGCGTCGGGGGTCGGTACACGTGCTCGGGCATCGCGCCGGAGAAGGTCGAGCGCCGAGGCGGACGCGGGACGATACGGAACGCCATAGCAAGCTTCAAATCGAGCCCGAACGTGTGCGCGGCGATATTGTACCAGACGGACATGCTCCAGGAGGACTGGGAAAAGCAGAGATGCACGGTGTTCCTCCGCCCGTCCGAGGTGACGGCGACGCTCCAATTCGACAAAGAGAAGGATCGGAGCGGCGCGTTCACGGTTCTGGAGTGGAAGTGCCGCCTGCTGAGTCCGGACGTCGAGGTCAAAGACGACGGACACGAGAAGCTATGGCTCCAGCCGTACACACATGATGGCAAAACGATCAAGACGCGAGGCGTCTCCCCCGGGCGCGTCAAGGGCCTCGCGGACGTCCCGTCCCTCTGCTTGTGGAACACGATCAGCCCGAACGATCTCAACCAAAGGGGGGGGGTCTGCAACTGCTACATGGTCGCCTCGTTCGCCGCGCTCGCGGAGTGGCCCGGCGCGATCAAGAAGTTGTTTCGAAAGACGAAAGGCGCGGACGAGATGCCGCGCTCGAACGCCGCGAACGAGTACACGATAACGCTTTACGATCTCGAGAGCGCGCCCGTCGCGCGGGAAGTGGACGTCGTCGTGAACGAACGCCTCGCCGTGGACGTCGACAAAGGGAAAAAGCTCGGGTTGCCGATATCCGACTGCGCCGAGCTGTGGCCGTGCTACCTCGAGAAAGCGCTCGTGGTGCACTGCGGCGGGTGGAACGGCATCGGGAGCGGCGGGAAACCCAGCCATGTATTGGAGATTCTCACCGGATGCCCCAACGCGTATGACTTGACCCTCAAGGACTTCGTTTGCTGTGGGAACAGCGCCGGGGAAAAGCGCGGCAACAGCGTGAAAAAACGGAAGGGGGTAGGTCGTTACAGGAAACCGTGGCCAAGCGCGAACGGCAAACCCGTGGTGCAGCCGAAAACCCAGGACGGTTGCATCGACGCGCTATACGCGTACGATAAGGCCAACTACCCGATGTGCTGCTTCTCGGCGCGGGACGGTAACACCGCGGCGACGCGCGCGGACGGCTTCATCGACATACACGCGTACACGCTCATAAGGGTCGAGAAGAACGTCGCGGGGAGCGGCGTGGACATGTTGCTCCTTCGGAACCCCCACGGAACTAACGAGCTCACGAGAGGAATGTGGGTCGACGACGGACCGGGGTGGAAGAAGCACCCGGAGATACGAAAGGCGATACAGCCGGTGTTTGAGAACGACGGCGCGTTTTGGGTCGAGAAGAGCGAGTTCTTCAAGTACGTCGACTACGTCACCGTGCTCGCGCTGGACATGACGACGTTCGTGAAGAGCTCGTACGCGCCGCCGCCGCTGTTCGAGGACGAGTGAGGCGATAGACTAGCTAAGTTGAGTCGAAGTTATTAATATTATTCGGCGAGGGAAAGAAAACGAAGACGACGACGACGACGACGACGACGACGAACGAGACGCTCTCCGAGCGAGCGCGGCAAAGAAACGAATAAGTCATCATCACATCCATCTCGCTTTGTCTTCTCTACTCTACGCGTATACCTCGTCGTACTCGCCGCGGACGTCGCACACGATCTCTGGCCCGAACAGCGCCTCGCCCTCTCGGACGAACTCCTCGTAATTTTCAGCGTGCGCCGCCGCGGCGTCCGGATTCGGCTCCGACACGTCGTCCGCGTACGCCGGCGGATTTTCCTCCACGAACGCTCGCGTGCTCGCGCCGCTCACGAGCGCCGCGGCTTGGAGCGCCGCGCCCAGCGCCGCGGTCTCGGGCTCGACCGGCCACGTCACTCTCGTGTCGAACGCGTCCGCGATGATCTGCCGCCACCGTTTGCTCTTCGACCCGCCGCCGACGACGGCGAGCTCCGTCGGCGGGGATAAACCGAGCTCGGACATGCGTTTCAGTCCACCTAGCAGCGCGTACGTCGCGCCCTCCATCGCGGCGTTGTACACAACCCCGGGCGTGCACAGCGACCCGGGCCTCAGACCGGTTAACGTCCCCATCGCGTGCGGCCAGTTCGGCGAGCGTTCGCCGACGAGGTACGGCAAAAAACGCACGCCGCCGCTCCCGGGAGGCACGCTCTTCGCTTCCTCGGCGAGCTCTTCGTGCGACCTTCCCCCGCCGAACGCCTGCCTCGCTTCGCCGACGACGCGCGTGCAGTTCATGGAGCACAGGAGCGGTAAGTATCCCCCCGTCGCGTCGCAGAACGGCTGGATCGCCGCCGTCGGATCCGGCACGGTTTCGGCGTTGTACCCGAACAGCGTGCCCGAGGTGCCCAACGAAACCACGAGCCGCCCTTCGTTCACGCACCCGGCGCCGAGGGCGCTCATCATATTATCGCCGCTGCCGACAGAGACGGGGATGCCCGCGGGGAGACCTAAAAACGCCCCAGCGTCGGGCGTTACCTTGCCCCATTCGACGTCCGGCGGGAGGAGCTTCGGAAGCGTCTCGAAAAACCGCGCGTCGACGGCGTCGCACTTCGCCTCGTCGATCTCCCTCGCCTCCATGTCCATGACGCCTATCCCGCTCGCGTCGCCCCTCTCCATGTGCATCTCCCCGGTCATGAAGTAGTTGACGTAATCGTGCGGCAAGCACACGGTCTTCGTCCTCTCCCAGTTTTGAGGCTCGACGTTTTTGAGCCATCGCACTTTGGACGCGGTGAACCCCGCCTGCATGTTCCAACCGAACATCTTCCCGAGCTCGGTCGCCTCCGCCGCGGACTCGGTGTCGCACCACAGCTTCGCCGGTCGCACGACCGCCCCTTCCGCGTCCAAGCACACCATGCCGTGCTGCTGCCCGCTCACGCCGACGCACGCGATGGCGTCGGGGGTCGCTCTGGCGTCCGCGAGCGCGTTCTTCACCGCGACGCGGACGCCGTCGAGCCACGTCGCCGGGTCTTGCTCCGCCGCGTTCGCGGAGGCGTTCGGGAGGAGGCCGTACGACTTCGCGCCGCGCCCGGCGACCGCGCGCGCGTCGAGGTCGTAAAGGATCGCCTTCGTGCCTTGCGTGCCGACGTCCACGCCGAGGGCGTAGGTGGCTTTGGATTTCGCTTTATCCGCGGCGTTCGACGCGGCCGACGCCTTCGCGCGCGCGACGACGACGCGTCCGCGATGGCGTCGTCCGCGTCGACGATGCGGCGCCGTGTCGAACGCCGCCGCGGCGATCGCGGCGGTGCGCGCGAGGGACGACATCACGCCGGGCGCGGGGAGGAGTGATGACCGCGCGGCGGGCGGGGCGGAGGCTGACTCGGACACCGACAGCACGTGGTGGCGCGAAAAGAACGCGTCGCGGTCGGGCGGTCTGTATGCAGCTCGAAAACCGAACGAAAACTCGTCAACTCGAAAACTCGAAAACTCGGCGTGACCGGCGCGGTAGCCGTGAACTTGGCGGTATCTGGTCCAACATTACGCCGTGAATCGATTCACGACATCGTTATTAGAAACTTTCTCCGTGATCTTGCTGCGCGATATTGCCTTTCGACGTCGTCGTGCACGGCACCGACGACGACCATGGATGACACATCTTCGCGTTTTTTCGAAGCGGGCAACTCGAGAAAACTTTTTGGCAAAAAGTGACCCTGGCTTCTTCAGGCGCCAATGACATCGTTTTTCTCACATAAAGTGGTGTTATCTTCTTAAATATACTGCTGATATACATTGCGAGGAACGATTCTTCTCACTGTGGCGATGTCATTCACGGCGTTCCGGCGATGCCATGGCCGCGCGAACACGCCGACCCGAGACGTCTAGCAAAAATATTTACCCGTGGGAGAAATTTTTCCACCTGAAAACGTCAAAATGTGTCGTCCATGGTCGTCGTCGGCGCCACGCGCGACGGTGGAAAAATGCGACATCGCGCAGCAAGATGACAGACAAAGTTTCCAATAATGATGTCTTGAATCGATCCAGGGCCTCATGTTGGACCAGATACCGCCAAATTCACGGCTACCGCTCCGATCACGCCGAGTTTTCGAGTTTTCGAGTTGACGAGTTTTCGTTCGGTTTTCGAGCTGCATAGTCTGGTGCAGGTGCCGAGTTATCCTCTCTCTCGGGCCGGAACGATCGCTCCACGCGCACACCCCGACGCGCGCGCGTTGAGGGATCCGCGCGACCGCGACGTCATGCCGCACGAGGACGATGAGGTTACGGAGGTGCGACTCGCGCGATCGCGCCGGCGCGAGCGTCGCCCCGCCCGCGCGTCGCTTCGCGCCGTCGAACGCGCGTCTCTCCGTCAACCCTAAACCCTCCGCGTTCGTTCGTTCGTTCGTTCGTTCGATCCGTCCATCCATCGATCGGTCTGACGACGACGCGCGCTCGTCCCCGTCCGTTCCCCAACCGTCCCTCGCAGGAAGAGTACCAGGCCGCGCTCAAAGCGCTGCAAGGCACGATCAGCGGCAAGACGCGGACGGCGCCGAAGGGACCGAACGACCTCTCCTGGGAGGCGCAGTTCGAACGTCTGCACGAGGTCATCGCTCGCGTCGGGATGACGTCGGCGGTGAACGACCTGAGCGTGATACACGTCGCGGGGACGAAAGGCAAAGGCAGCACGTGCGCATTCGTGGAGCACGTCCTGAGGAAGTGCGGCACGAAGACCGGGCTGTACTCCTCCCCGCACCTCGTGGACATACGAGAGCGGTTCAGGATCGACGGCGTGCCGGTGTCGAGGACGGCGTTCACGCGAAACTTTTGGTGGCTGCGCGATAAGCTGCGCGAGACGGGGTGCGAGGAGGAGTTCGGGATGCCCGCGTACTTTCGGTTCCTCACGCTCTTGGGGTTTCGAATATTCTCCCAGGAAGGCGTCGAGTGCGCGGTCCTCGAGGTCGGGTTAGGAGGGCGATTAGACGCGACGAACGTCGTGAAGGCGCCCGTGGCGTGCGGCGTGACGTCGCTCGGGATGGACCACGTCGAAGTGTTGGGTGACACGATCGGGAAGATCGCGTACGAAAAGGCGGGTATATTCAAACCGTCCGTCCCCGCGTTCACGTCGCCGCAGCCGGAAGAAGCGATGGAGTCGCTTCGACGTCGCGCGAGGGAGGTGGGCACGAGCGTGTCGACCGTGGACGGGTTGGAGTCGTACGAACGCGGCGCCGGCGGCGGTGAGGTGGCGTTGGGACTCGCGGGCGGGCATCAGCGTCTGAACGCCGCGCTCGCGATTCGGCTGCTCAGGGAGTGGGGCAACAGCGCGAATCCGCGGCCGGCGTGGGGCGAGGCCGCGGAGGCGGAGCTATCCGCGGGCGTGCTCCCCGAGCGCTTCCGCGACGGGTTACGAGAGACGGAGTGGGCGGGACGCGCGCAGGTCGTCCCGGACGTCACCGCGGTGGACGACGACGGAAGCGGTGACAAGTCGGAAATGGCGCCGAACTTGCTGTGGTACCTCGACGGCGCGCACACGGAGGAGAGCATGCGGCAGTGCGCGGAGTGGTTCGTCTCCGCCACGAAGAAGGACGAGGAAGCGTCCGGCGGTTCCGGCGGCGGTTCCGACGGCGGCGGGACGCCCCCCGCGTCTAAACCCGTCCGCATGCTCATGTTCAACTGCATGGAAGAGCGCGACCCCGAGACGCTGCTCACGCCCACCGCGCGCGTCCTGAGCGAGCACGACGCCCCCGTGTGCCGCCCTTCCATCTTCGTGCCGAGCGAGAGCAGCAGTTTGGACTTGAAGCCCGTGAGCGACCCGCGAGAGTCCACGGCGTGGCAGGAGAAAACCGCGCGGACGTGGGCGCGGTTGTCGTTGAAGTACCCGCGCGCGGTGACGCCGCCGCCCGCGACGACGGACGCGGTGGCGGCGGCGCGAGCGGCGGCGGCGGCGCGGGTGGCGGCGCCGGCCACGATCCCGACGGTTGACATTCCGTCTTCCGCCGGCGGGGACTCGACGCGAGACCTCGCTTCGGTCGTGGTGCCGTGCATGCGTCAGGCGATCGAGAGGGTGCGCACGCGCGCCGCGGAGGAGCGGAGGCTGAAGTCGGGGCGGCGCGTGCACGTGCTCGTGACCGGGTCGCTGTATTTAGTCGGCGACATGCTCCGCTTGTTAGGGCGCGCGTGCTAGATAGGCGGGTAGGAGACTTACGGGGACGAGTAACCGACGAAAACGGACGAAATCTGCGTTTCTCGCCTCGGGCGGACCGTCGTTTCGTCCCCGCCGTTTTCCGCCGCGTCGTCCAGTCGTCCTTGGAAGTTCCGAGGGAGCGTCGACGCGGCCGCGCCCCCGACGCGCCACTTCCGCGCGCACGCCGCGAGGGTCGTCTTCCGCGCTCACTCGCGCCCACTCTCGAGCGCATCCGCGACGACCGCGGCGCACGACCGAACGACCGCGAACGACCGACCGCGTCTCGCTCAGATTCGCGCGAGGTTCATTCATCCCCCCGCCGCGCCGCGCCGCTTTTCGTCCGCCGACGCGACATGGCGGTGACGACCCCGAACGCGAAGAAGAACCCCGCGGGCGTGCGGCACCTGTCCACGCCGGATATCCTCGCCGCGATGATGACGGACTCGGACGACGACGAGCCGGTGCGCGCGTCGCGTCGCGTCGCGTCGTCGCCCCGTCGCGTCGTCGCCGTCCGTCCGTCCCCCCGCGTTTCATCGCGTTTGCGTTTCTCGACCAACGACTAACATCCTTCCGTCCGCGCGTCCGTCCGTCCGACGACAGGCGGCGCTGCGCGCGCGCGAGGAGCTCAAGGCGACGAGAACCGCGTGGGACGACGAAGAGAAGGAGAACCCGAAATCCCCGAAATCCCCGCTCGGGAAGCGCGGGGACGGCCGCGGCAGAGACGCGCGCGTCTCCAGCCCGACGAAGAATCCCCTGCGGTCGCTCCTGATGAACGTGAACCGCGGCAGAGACGATCGCGGGGCGGACGCGTCGTCCGCCGCCGCCGCGTCGGTCGTCGCCGAGACGTTTGACCTCCGCGACGACGAGGTCGACCGCGCGAAGCAGCTCGAGGTCCGACACCACGAGTCCCTGAAGACGCACGGGATGAAGCCGCTCGCGCCGCCGTCGCGCGCGGCCGCGGAGACGCTGGCGATGACGTCGCGGCGCCGAGGGGACGCGTCGGCGGCGATCGCGGCGACGGCGTCGCATCTCGCGTTTTTCGCGCTCGCCGCGTGTTGGCTCTTCGTCGTCGCGGTGTTCATCGACGTCCACGGGCTGTGGCTGCCGTACTACCCGAACGCGTTCGCGGTGTGCACGGACGGGCCGAGGGACGTCGTGAGAGGCGCGGTGTCGCTCGCGAGATTTATGACGGGCGTCGCGGAGACGCCGGCGAAAGTCGCCGAGACGGGGTGGCGCGCGTGGCTTTCCTTTTTTTGGCCACGGTGACAAAGGATCCTTTGGCGGGGGCGGGCGGCGACGAGCGGACGCGGCGGCGCGGGCGCGGGAGGCGTCGTCGCGCGAGCGCGCGGTAGCGGACGACGACGAGAATAGAACGACGCGATGCGTTTCGTGCGTGCGATAGAATGTGTGAATGAAAGACGACGAGAGCGCGCGCACTACCGCGCGACGCCGCGGCTGCACGGGACGACGCGACGCTTCGCGACGAGAACGACAGGTAGAATCGCGCCGCGCGCTCTGCTCGCGAACCCTCCAGTACGACCGGCGCGCCATGGCGCCGCCTCGCGGCCCCGGGGCGAAGTACGGGCGCTCCAGCATCGTCGAGCCGCGCGGCGGACGCGCGCGCTGGCGCGTCCTCGCGGCGTTCGCGGCGCTGCTCCTCCTGCGCGCGGCGTTCGCGCGGGGCGGGGCGCGGCATCCGGAGCCGGGGACGGAGGCGCGCGACGCGGACCCCATCGGATCGGAGGACGCGTCCTCCTCCTCCTCCATCGCGTCGGAGTACGAGCATCTCGCGCGCGTCGAGGCGAAGCAAGCGTCGCTCGCGGCGCGCGTGCGCGAGCTCACCGCGCTCGTGCGCGACGTCGACGACGCGCTCGAGAGGACGCTCGCGCGAGGAGAGCGCGCGCGAAGCGCGAACTCGATCCGTGCGCGTCGTCGGCACCATCGCGACGACGAGGCGACGGCGACGGCGACGGCGACGGCGACGGCGGCGGCGGCGGCGACGACGACGACGACGGCGGCGACGACCTCCCCACCGCGGCGCGCGGCGTCGAGCGGCGGCGGCGACGGCGACGGCGACGCGTCGAGCGAGAACGGCGACGGCGCGTGGTGGATGGACATGGACGGCGACGACGCGTTGCCCGACGGCGCGTCCCTCCGAGACCGCCCGACCGCGTACGCTGCCGTCGTCGTCATCGCGTGCGACCGCGTGAAGTACCTGACGCGCACGGTGGAGTCGATCGCGCGCGCGGTCGCGTCGAGCCCGGACCCGAAGAAGACGAGGGAGGAGTTCCCGCTGTTCATATCCCAGGACGGCGACGACGCGCGGACGACGACGTACGCGCGGACGTTGGAGGGGAAATTTTACCACGTGAGACACCGACAGGAACGTCTTCCGAAGCTGCGCGACGGCGACAGCGCGCGCCATCGCGCGTACTACAGGATATCGGCGCACTATAAGCACGCGCTCGGGAGGCTGTTCGACGATCTCGGGTACGAGCGGGTCGTGATACTCGAGGACGACATGGACCTGGCGCCGGATTTTTTCGCGTATTTTCGCAGACTGGGCGACGTGTTAGAGCGCGACCCGTCCGTGTACGCGATATCGTCCTGGAACGATAACGGTCAAAAGAGCCTCGTGAAGGACGAGAGGAGGCTCTACAGGAGCGACTTCTTCCCCGGTTTAGGGTGGATGATGCACGCGCGCTTGTGGAAGGAGCTGCGGCCGAAGTGGCCGGACGCGTACTGGGACGACTGGATGCGTCAGGTGCGTGAAAGTTTTTCACCCACCGCTCGGTTTCAACATTTGATCGCTCCCCCTTTCAACTGACCGGTGAACTATTTTTGTATGGAATGGCTCTCAGAGCGCCGTGCGTTTGGGCCGCGAGACGATTCGACCGGAGGTGTGCCGAACGTTCAACTTTGGCGAGAAGGGCGCGAGCGAGGGGCAGTGGTACAAGACCCACCTCGCGAACGTGAAGCTCGCGAGCGAGAAGGTCGATTGGGGGAACGAAGACTTGAGTTACCTCGACGCGGACGCGTACGAACGCGCCGTCGCGGAGGCGGTGGACGCGGCGACGCCGGCGCGGGACCCGTCGCAGATCACGCGCGCGGAGATCACCAACCCGAAGGGCGTGTTCAAAGTGCTGTATAAGGACGAGGCCGAGTTCCGCAGACTCGCGGCGAAGTTCCACGTGTTCCCGGAGTGGAAGGACGGCGTCCCGAGAGGCGGGTACCGAGGCGTCGTGCACCTCAAGATGAACGACGGTCGGCACGAGGTCATGCTGGTTCCGAGAGACGCCGCGAAGGTGACGAAGACGTTCGCGGAGTACCTAGCGAGCGTCGACGGCGGAAAGGCGGAGGTATTAGGGTTGTAGTCATCGAGCTAAGCTAGTGATGTAGATCGACGCGACGAGCGCCTGAACAGTACGACATCTCGGAGGTTCGTCGGCGGCCGCTCGTCGTCGCGTCGTCAGTCACGCGCGCTCCAGTCGCACGCGCATCGCCCTCATGGAATCCCGCGCGAACTTCCACTGCAGCACCCGCACCGCGGGGTACCCCACGAACGACAGCACGTGCGCGGGCCGAGAGAACGTGCTCACGCCGTACCACACGGAGTCGTCCTCCATCCGCTCTAGCACGAACGACTCCTCGCCCGCGAGGAGGTGCCCCCCGAGGCATCCGTGCGCGAACGCGAAACGCTCGACGCACCGGCCGTTCCCCGCGCCGGCGCCGCCGGCCGTCCCGTTCTTCCCACTCCCCCGCCCTCGCCCCCCGCCGCGCGCTTCGCCCTCGCTCGTCTCGTTGTACACCACCTTCAGCGGGTTGCGAATCCACACGCCGAACACGCGCGCGCAGACGCAGACGTCGCTCCCGGGCGCGGACCCGGTGGACTCGTCCACCTCGGACCATCCGAGCTGGAAGTGCGCCCACCGGTTCATCATCTTCTTCGCGCGCGCGAAGTCGTCCTTCCCCGCGCCGATCTTCGTGAAGTTGACGTCCACGGCGTACGGGATGTTGCGGAACACGTCGCCGTCGACGCGGCCGCTGGACGAGCTCGAGCTCGAGGAGGAGGAGGAGGAGGACGACGACGACGACGGAGGCGACGACGACGACGACGACGGCGACGGAGGCGACGGCGCGGGCGGGCACGCGCGCGACGCCCCGACGTGCTCGCGCGGGTAGTTAAACCCGCGCGATGTCCCGTGCTCGATCGCGACGCGGCGGGACGCGGGCGTCGGGCGACCGATCCCGAGGAACACCATGACGGGAGCGGCGCCGCGCGCGATGGAATGCGGCACCCGCCGCGCCGAAAGCGAAACTCCAGAAGGATCCGATCCTTCGATCGTCAGAAACGTGCGACGCGTCGATCGCTCGCGGCGCACAGCGCACGGCACGGCGACGCCGCGGCACGATTAGGGAGAAGCGCGGCGGCGGCGGCGGCGGCGGCGGCGCGGAGTAGGAGTAGAGAGCGCGTCATCAGTCATGCCGACGGTCCCGCCCGCGTTCTTACCCCCCGCGGGGAAGGTCGCGTCCGGACCCGGCGGCGGTCCGAAGAAACCGCGGAAGCGCGGCGGGAAGCGCGCGAAAGCCGGCGGCGGCAAGGCGCCCGAGCACAACAAGCACGCGGACGACCACGGGGGGCACCACAGCGACTCGCGCAGCGACGGCGAATACAGCAGCGACAGCGGAGATAGCGACACCTCCGAGGACGAGGGCGAGGACGGGTACAAGAAGGGCGGGTACCATCCCGTCAAGATCGGAGAGACGTACAAAGACGGTCGGTACGTCGTCCTCAAGAAGCTCGGCTGGGGGCACTTCAGCACGTGCTGGCTGTGCGCGGACACCGCGGCGGGAAAGATCTCAAACTCGCCCGCGCACGTCGCGCTCAAGGTGCAAAAGTCCGCGTCGCATTACACGGAGGCGGCGCGCGACGAGATCGACATCCTGACGAAGATCGCGAACGTGGACGAGATCGACGCGGGGGGGAAGCCGCCGAATCATCACCGCGCGGGCGTGGGCGAGAACGGCGCGCGGTTGCGACCGAAGACGGAGGGCGGCGACGGGAGCGGGATGTCGTCCGGGGGGAAAGACGGCGAGAGAGGAGCTCTCACCAAGGGCGGGGCGACGACGACGTCGCCGCCGCCGGCGCCGCATCTCGGAAGCACGCGCGTCGTGAAGCTCATGGACGCGTTCGATCATAAAGGCCCGAACGGGCTCCACGCGTGCATGGCGTTCGAGGTGTTAGGGGATAACCTCCTCGCGCTGATTAAACGGTACGACTACCGCGGCGTCCCTTTGAAAGCGGTGAAGGCGATGTGTCGGGACGTGCTGCTGGGTTTGGACTACCTACACTCGCGGAAGCTGATCATTCACACGGATCTCAAGCCGGAGAACATATTACTGACGACGCCGCTGCCGCCGCGCGAGGAGGAGGAGGAGGCGGCGCCCGCGGCGACGGCGGCGCCCGCGGCGGCGGCGGCGGCGGGCGAGGTGAAACGGGAGGAGGAGGAGGAGGGCGTGGGCGAGGCTGCGATGGCGGCGATGGATCTGTCCCCGTCGGGTCGAGGGAAGGAGGACGCGCCGGCGGCGGCGGCGGCGGCGGCGGCGGAGGGAGGCGCCGACGACGGAAGCGACGCGGCGCTGACGAAGAATCAAAAGAAAAAGGCGAAGAAGCGCGCGAAGAAAGCGGGCGGCGGCGGGGATGCGACGAGGACGAAGGGTATCGCACCCGTCGACGGCGACGGCGGGAAGAAAGGCGGCGCGAGCAAAGGCGCGAAGGGCGGCGGCGGCGGCGGCGGCGGAAAAAAATCCCGCGGCCCGCTGCTGTCCCAACGCGACGTCGACGCGTTGGAATGCCGCATCGTCGACCTCGGGAACGCGTGCTGGACGTACAAGCAGTTCACGCAGGACATCCAGACGCGGCAGTACCGCTCCCCGGAGGTCATATTAGGAAGCAAGTACAGCACCCCCGCGGACGTGTGGTCGCTCGCGTGCATCGCCTTCGAGCTCGCGACCGGCGACTTGCTCTTCGACCCGCGGACGGGAAAGGACTACGACAGGGACGAAGACCACCTCGCGCTGATGATGGAGCTCGTCGGACGGATGCCGAAGAAGATCGCGCTGGGGGGGAAGTACTCGCGGGATTACTTCACGCGGCAAGGAGACTTGCGGCACATACGGAACCTAAAGTTCTGGCCCCTCGCCAAGGTGCTCTCGGAGAAGTACCAGTTCGCCGCCGACGACGCGGAGGAGATGAGCGCGTTTCTGATGGCCATGCTGGACTTCGCGCCGGAGAAGAGGGCGACCGCGGGGGAGCTGTTGCGGCACGCGTGGCTGAAGGACGTCATGGACGGGATCGAGCTGCCGCGAAGTGAGGCGAAGGGAGAGGGGGGGGGCGCGGCGGAGGCGGGCGGGGAGGACGGTCGGTGACGCGAGTCGCGAGTCGTTCGCGAGTCGCTCGCAACAGTACACAGTGTAGTGTCGTTCGCTCTTACCTTCGTACTTTTCTTTCTATCGAGAACCAACTCTCCTCACACGCTACGACGCCCCGGCTATCGCGCACCCATCGCCTCACTTCGCGTTCCCCGGCGACGGCAAGTTCACCGTCCGCAACAACCACAGCGAGATGGCGGCCCCGAGCCAGTGCGCGAGCATCGTGTTCGCGCCCGCTTGAATCAAGAATATGTCGAGCGCGAGCACGGGGTTGTACCCGCCCGGGGTGAACGGGCTCGCCGCCGCCGCGGTGAGCGACTTGGCGAACAAGATCCCGCACGTCGCCTGCAACCCGACGATCGTCGCGCCGAGGCCGACGAAGTTCACCGTGAGCCCCGTGGACAGCTGTCGAACCACCTCCGCGCGCGGCGGCACCAGGTTGAGCTGCTCCGCCGACTTCCTCAGCTTGTCCCCGAGCCTCACGATCCCGAGCGACCAGAACGTCGTGAAGAACGACGCGCAGATGCCGAACAGGATGAAGTACAGGCCCGCGTCCGTCGCTTTCGTGATCCCCTTGAACAAGAACGAGAAGACGAGGATCACCGCGCTGACCGTGGTGAGGACGAGTTGCCCCCAGAACCCGAACCGACCGAGCTTCTTGCACGCGTCCGCGGTGCGCGCCACCTTCTTCGATATCTGCGCCGTGGACTCCTCCGCGGCGGCGCGCGTGACGACGCCGAGGCGGCGGCGCGTCGTCGTCGTCGTCGTCGTCGTCGTCGTCGTCGCGGCGGCGGGAGCGGACGGACGCAGCGCGACCGCGTCGCCGTTGAACGCCGCCGCGCGGGACGCCCGGACGAATTTAAGGGAATCGGACGCGACGACGAATTTCGACGCGAGCGCGACGCACGGCGTCCGTCGCGCGGCTCGGGAGCCCGAGGCGCGGATCACCGCGGGCGCGCGGAGCGACACCGCGGCGGTCGTGAGAGACGCCATCGTGAGCGGGTGTGAGCGGTTCGGTGCGACGCGCGACGACGAGTGCGGCGACGCGTCGCCGGTCGGATCGTTCACGCGTCGGATCGATCGATCCGCTGTTCACGCAGAAATTCTCCTGGCCGCTCTTCTTCGATCCTCCACGTGGCGGTTTCCACGACGCCCCCGGCGCGCACTATCCACCGCGCGCGCGCTGGGTAGTGCATGCTGAGCGCCCGTCTTCGCGCGCTCTCGCATCCCGCCGCGGTATCCGCCCTCGCCGCGCTCGGTATCGCCCTCGCGTGCGCGCGCGCAGACGACATGGCGTCGCTCAAGGCGTCCGCTGTCGCGACGAAACTCTCGGAGCTCGCGCCCGCGGTCCTGACGCGCCTTCCCGCGCCCACGACGGGCGCGGTGAGCAAAATCAAAGCCTCGGAGCTGTGGCAGACCCGCCCCGCGGTCGTCCTCGTCCTCCGACGACCGGGATGAGTGTTCTGTCGCTCGGAAGCGGCGAAGCTTCACGAGCGAAAGGCGGAGATTAACGACCTCGGGTGCGACCTCGTGTGCCTCCTCAAGGAGAACATCGCGGATGAGGTGGAGGCGTTCCACAGAGAGCCGTACTGGTCGCCGTCCACGCCGCTGTACTTGGACGAGGATATGACGTTCTTCAAGGCGCTCGGCGGCGGTAAGGTTCGCAAGGGCGGGCTCAGCTCGTTCTTCAAGCCGGGTCTGTGGAAGCGCTACGGAAAGATGGACAAGGCGACGAAGGAGGACGCGAACTTGAAGGGCGAGGGGACGATCCTCGGAGGGACGTACGTCGTGAGCAAAGAAGGCGTGCAGTACCAGTTCAAGGAGAAGGACTTCGGCGTCGCCGCGCCGTTGGACGAGATCATCGACGCGTGCAAGAGAGCGGCGGGGAAGTGAGCGAGCGACGACGACGACGACGACGACGACGACGACGACGACGACGAGACGCGCGCCGAGCGACTCGGTCCGAACGCGACGACGATGAAGCCGCCGCCGACACCTCTCGCGTCGCCCGCGAGAGACGGCGGATGGCGGAGCGTGTCGCAACGTGTTCGGAGCAGAGTCGGTCATCGCGCGTTACGTTCTCGTTCTCGTTCGCGCGTGCGTGATTCATCGCGCACGCGTTCATTCATTCGATTCTTTCGACGCGCATCCGCCCTCACGCGGACGCGGCGTCCAGACTTTGTACAACCAGACAGAATTTCGACGCGACCGGAACGATCTCGACGCCTCGCGTCTCAAGCGTTGTGCCCTTCCTTCTTCGCGTCCTCCTCCGCGCGCTTCGCTTTTTTCTCTTCCTCTTCCTTCTCCTTCTTCATCTTCGCTTCATCCTCCTCCGCGGCGAGCAGAGCTTCCGCTTCCTCGGTCCGGTGCTCGTTCGTGCGCTCCGCGTCCTTCGCCGGCGGGGATCGATACACGATGACCGGCTTCTTGCACCTGTGGAGGCAGTAGTTTGTCACGCTGCCGATGAAAAACTCCCTGAACCGCCCTTTGCCGTGCGACGCCATGATCACCGCGCACGCGTCGACGTCGTTCGCGCGTTCGCAGATGATCTCGCCGACGCTCTCGTTGCTGGTCTCGTACGCGACGACCTCCGAGGTGTACGTGACGTCTTCGTTAGCGTCGAGAACGGGGTAAAGTCGCTTGCGCACGTATCGGTTCGCGTCTTCGCGCCACTCCGCTTCTTGCTCCGGGTCCGGGACTTCCGGGACGAACTCGTCGAAGGCGTAGTACGCGGGGACGGTGTACCGCTTGGGGATGACGTGAATGAGGTTGATCTGGTCGCCCTTGCGCGCGAAGTTTTCCAGCTGCGCGCGGCGGCGGAGGGAAGCGCGTGAAAAGAGCGAAAGAGAGAGGGAGAGAGAGACAGACGGGACGAGCCGAGAGGGTCGAGACGCACGGTCCAGTCGAGCATGTACTCGGACTGCGGCGTGCCGTCGATCGGGATGAGGATCTGCCGCTTCGGCATCGGGCTGTCGGTCATCTCGGGCGCGGTGGGGGGGACCTGCGCGGAGACGGAGTCGCGGAGACGGCGTCAGCGCGCGCGAGCGCGGCGGCTGAGGTTCGGAACGAAACGAGGGAACGAGGGACGACGCGACGCGCGTTCCGCGCCGTCGACGCGGGGAGGCACGCACGAGGACGGGGTGGCCGATCTCCGTGGCTTCCTTCGCGATCCGCGCGCGTACCTCGTCGGCGGCGCTCATGCGTGTTCGCGCGCGGTCTCGCGCGTCGTAGTGTAGCGACTCTCGGACGTTCCGATACGAACAGAACTGCTGACAGGACGCGGCGGCATCTTCGTTAAAACGGTCGGTCCTCTATCGCGACTCACGGAGCGACGGGGAACTCGCTCTCGACGTCCTGAAACCCCCCCGCGTCCTCCTCCTCCTCCTCCTCCTCCTCGTCCTCCTCCGCTAACCACTCCACGTACGCCTCGAGCGCGCCGACCGCGGCGCGCAGCGTCTTCTTCCGCTCGAGCCGGTATTCGATCGCCGCGGCTATGATCGACGTCACCCCGGGGAGACTTCCCGCGCGCGCGGCGTTCAGAAACGCGTCGTCTTGCCCGATGCTCGTCTCGAACTGGTTGAGCGCGTCGCTCCATGCACGTATTAACGTCTTCGCCGCGGCCGTTTCGGTTTTCACGTCGTCCTCGTCCAGCTCCCACGCGCCGTCGTCGTCCTCCGCGACCGCCGCGGACGTCCCCGTGACGTTGTTAAAGACGCAAATCAGCCGCGCCCTGTCTTCGTCGCTCATGCCTTCCTTCATCACATCTTTCGCCTCCAGCGCCGCGCGGAACGGTTCGGGCGCGACGAGCGCGCTGGACGCGCGGTCCGGCGCCGCCGGTCGCTCGATCTTATCGTTCCGGTTACACCTCAGCGAGAACCCGTACCTGAGCATGAGCTCTCGGTTCGACCCCGTTGGGTCGTACGAGATCACGACCTCGTCTTGGTCGCTCTTCATCGCCCTCGTCGTCTCTAAGACCATCCGCGGCCCGCCGACGCCCTGGTTCAGCGCCCGTTCCGCCATCACGCGTAACCCGCCCTCGACGTCGCCGTCCTCCGTCCCGCGGATGGACTTCACCGCGGTGACGTCGCGAACGTCGTCGTGATTCGCCATGTCGAAGAACGGAACCAAGATCGCGGCGTACTCGCCCGAGTCCCCAACCTCGGACGCGACCGCGCGCGACGCGACGAGCGCGTACCCCCATCGCAGCTCCGCGAGCGACACGTCTGTCATCGGCGCGCCCTTCATGTCCGTCGCGGCTTTGTTAATCTCCGGGAGACGCTCGTGCGCCGCGGCGATGAGGCGCTGCAAGTTCCTCGCCTCGTCCGCGAGCGCGTCGTCCTGCAGCTGCGAGAGCTCTCTCTCGGACGCGAGCATCAGGTTCGGCATCTCGCTAATCTGCGGCAGCCACTCCGCGTAGGCTTTCCACACCTCGCCGCCGTGTTTCGTCGCCCACAGGAGCCACAGCACCACGGCGAGCTCGCGGTCGTCGCCGATGCCCGAGTCGAGGAGGTTCGTGATCGCCTTCGGGATCTTGCACGCGTTCTTGCGCTCCCACGCCCGGCGAAGGATCACGAGCGTGTCTTTGAATCCCGGCCCGGACCTGAACTCCGTCTTGACGACGTCCGCGTCCCCGAACGGCGCCGCGATGCAGACGTCGAGCGGGACGGAGAGCAGGACGTCGGACTGCTTCCATCCCACCGGGCCGGTAGAGAAGAGGCCGCGGCCGCGGGAGCCGGACGCGAGCCTGACGCGGTGCTTGACCCCGGCGCGCTCCATGAGGTCTTTGAACTCCGCGTTCTCGTCGACCTCGGCGACGGACGACGACGCGGACGTCACCGCGCGGCGGGCATCGCGGCGACGACGGCGAGGAAGCTTTTCGCGGAGCCGACGATGTTGCGATCGCGCGAGCGACGACGACGACGGCGCGAGCGGCGCCGCGCGATGGAAGGAACTCGCCGACGGGAGTGCGCGAAGGCGACCGATGATCGACGGCGCGACGGCGCTCGTCGCCATCGTTGCTTCGTGCGGCAGAGCGCGCTCGAGTGTGCGCGAGCCGCGAGTCTATCTCGGAAGATACTGTACGCGAACAGAACTGAACGAACTTTTTTATTGAAGGAAGGGGCAGCCGCGTCAGAGATTCGACGCCCCGCAGTGCGACTCGACTGAGGGGACCACCGCGCGCCGAACCCGGGTCGCGAGCGAGCATCGTCGTCGGAGATCGCGCGGACGGCGATCGACGCGCGTCGCCACGCACGGGCTCTCGTTCGTCCCCGCCCGGAGAGAGGCGGCGCGCGGCGATCGCCGACGACGCGAAATTAAATTAAATGACGGCGACGGCGAAGCGCAAGGCGTCCGAGGTGGTCGACGACGCCGTCCCCCCGACGACCACAGCGGAAGCCGCGACGACGACGACGACGACGACGACGACGAAGGTCGTCGACCTGATCAAAAACCTCGGCGGATACGACAACATGATCTCCCAGGGCGCGGAGGGACGCGTGTTCGCGGTCACCTTCCTAGGCAAGCCCGCGATCGTGAAGCAGCGGTTCGAGAAAACCTACAGACACCCGATCCTCGATAAGAAGCTCACGAAGTCGCGCCTCAACATGGAAGCGCGGGGGATGATGCGCGCGAGGAAGCTCGGCGTCATAACGCCGACGCTGTACTACGTCGACACGCACCAGGCGGCGATATACATGGAGCGCGTCGACGGCGCGTCGTTGAAGGAGTTGATTCGCGCGGGCGCGATGACGGAGGAAGAGATGCGGGACGTCGGGGAGGAGATCGGGCGCGTCGTCGCCGCGATGCACGACGGCGGGCTCATCCACGGCGACTTGACGACGTCGAACATATTACTGCGCGCGAGGGATCAAAAGGTGGTGGTCATCGACTTCGGGTTGGCGCACAACTCGATCATACCGGAGGACAAGGGCGTGGATTTGTACGTCCTGGAGCGCGCCATCACGGTGACGCATCGCTCCGCCGCGATGTTCGAGCACGTCATGGCCGCGTACAAGCAGCACTCGCGGCAGTGGAGCGCGAGCTTTAACAAGTTCGCGGAGGTGCGGATGCGCGGACGGAAGCGCTCGATGATCGGGTGAGGGATGGACGAGCGTCGAGGCGTAGTGTTAGCTCACATAGTTTGCAGTGCCCACAGCGCTCACGTGACACTCTGGAAAGGATCTGCGCCCGTCGTCCGTCGTGGCCGCCGCCGACCGCAGAGATCGTCGTCCGCCTTATCGCGACGTCGACGCCACTCACCGCGCACGCGCTGCACGTCATGGCGCTCGTTTCCATGTCCGCTCCCGTCACGGCGACGACGCACGTCGCCGCCGCGAAGCCGAAGCGTCTCGGCGGCGCGCACGCGCTTCGCGCGTCGCCGGACCGCGCGTGCGATCGCGCGACCCTCCTCGGGTGCCGCCGGTCGACGGGCGCGAGCGGGGGGAGATTTACCACGCCGCGCGCGATCCCGGAGACGGCCGCGGACGCGACGCCGTCGTCCGCGAGCCCGACGCCCCAGGGCACTCCCGCGGGCCCGCCCGGGGAGATCGTCGACCTGCCGATCGACTGGCAGATCGACTTCTGCTCGCGCCCGATGAAGGACGAGCGCGGGAAGAAGATGTGGGAGCTCCTGATTTGCGACGAGTCGCGCTCGTTCCAGCACGCCGAGTTCTTTCCCAACAACCGCATCAACTCCGTGGAGCTCTCCAAAGCGATTCAGCGCGTCCTGAACGAGCAAGGCGCGAGGCCGAAGCGCTTCAAGTTTTTCCGATCGCAGATGCAGACGATCATCACGCGCGCGTGCAACGACGTCGGCGTCCCGCCGTTGCCGAGCCGTCGATGCCAGACGCTGACGCGGTGGCTCGATCAACGCGCGGAGGAGGTGTACAAGAAACACCCCGGGTACGACGGCAGCTCGTCGCCGATGATGGGATTCGAAACGTCCGCCCCGAAGCCGTTACCGGACGCGCTTCGCGGCGAGTCCTGGGCGTTCGTCGCGCTGCCGCTAATCGGCGTGAAGGAGGAAGCGATGCAGGTGAGCGCGAACAGGGTGTTCGGCGACCTCCTGGATATCGACGAGGCCCTCCCGGACGACACCTTGGTCCCGGGGATCGCGGTGTACACGAGACGCGCGGCAGCGCTCGCGGGGTGGACGAAGGGGTTGGAGCTCGGCGGCATCTCCGTCGACTTGGACATGGGGACGCTGATACTCGACACGGGCGTCGCGGACAGCTGGCAGTACGCGAGGTTCCGGCAGACGAAGGAGCTGACGCGGGAGGCGAAGGAGTGGGAGGACGTCAAGGCGGCGGCGGGTGGGTTGCACTTCCTCGCGATCCAGACGGACGAGGAGGCGGAGTCCACGGACGGGTTCTGGATCCTTCAGGACTTCACCGCGTCGCAGTATTAATCCCTTAAGACGCGAGCGAGGACGCGGGGGAGGAGGGAGCGAGGGGAGGGAGGGGACGAGCGAGCGGCGGCGCGCGTAGATTGATTTTTTTTTGGTGTCAACTTGACTTCAAAAAGCCTCGCAGGCGGCACGTCACACCCCCGGCCGCGCGGCGGCGGTCGCGCGATGTCCCCGCGCGATGTCCTCCTTCACGGCGGCGCCGCGCTAGTGAGGCACCACGCCGTCGCGTCCGTCGTCCTGTGCGCGCTCGCCCTCCTCGCGACGCTCGCGTTCCCGCTCCTCGCGAGAAAGTTTTTCGTGGACGAGAACGCGTTCATCTTGGGCGCGGCGTCGACGTCGTTCGACGCGGTGGACGCCAAGGCGGCGGCGTCGCACGCGGCGAACGCGAGGGAGGCGATACGCGTCGGGGTATCGAGCGGCGTGGACGCCACGGACGCGCTCCGGGGGTGGGTCTCGGAGGAACTCGAGAAGATCCGTCTCGACGTGTTCGCGCACGAATTCGCGCGGACGCCTCCTCGCGGATCGCGCGCCAACGCGACCGTCGGACGCAATCTCCACGGCATCGCGCGCGCGAGAAAGGGCAACGGCCGCGAGGGCATCGTCCTCGTCACCCCCATCGGAGACCCGCGCTCGGACGGCCCGGACGCGGACGCGGACGCGCTCGCGCTGCTCCTCGCGCTGACGACGAAGCTCAGAGACGCCCCGTGGCTCGCGAAGGACCTGTGCTGGCTCGTCCCGGACGCGCGCGTCGCCGGGCCGGTCCCCGCGACGGACGCGTGGCTCCGCGAGTACCACCACCCCTCCGGAAGTGCCGGAGAGAGATTCGGGAGAGTCGGCGCGATACAGCAAGCGTACGCCGTGGAGCTGCCGCGCGGCGCGTCCTTCGACCGACTCCGCGTCTCGATGGAGGGAAGGAACGGCGCGCTGCCGAACATGGACCTGGTGAGCGTCGCGATCGCGCTCGGCCGAGGGCTGGTCACGACGAGAGGCGACGCGACGCGCGTTAAGCGGCCGGAGCTGGAAGGCGGCTGGGCGCGCGTCGAAAGCGCGGCGAGACCGCTCGTCGGGAGGCGCGCGGCGGCGGGATACGTCGGGGACGCGCGGTCCGTCGTCGCGTTCATGCGTCGGCTCGCGAGCGGGACGCCCACGGGCGCGCACGCGTCGTTCAAGTCGTTCGCGATGGACGCGATCACGCTCCGCGGGTTCATCGAGGGACGAGACGATGGGGGGAGAAGAAGGGGGCGCGTGTCGTACGACGGCGCGAGGGCGTTTCACGCGTTTGGGATTCTTCTCGAGTCGCTCACGCGGAGCAGTAACAACCTCCTCGAGCTGTTGCATCACTCGATGTTTTACTACGTCATCGTGGACGACTTTCGGTTTTTGTCCATCGCGGAGTACGTCGCGCCGTCGGCGATGATGTTGTTCGCGATGGTCCTGACCGCGGGCGCGATCGCCGGGCGCGGGTGGAACCCGACGAGCCGACCGCCGAGGACGGAGCAGGAGGAGGAGGAGGAGGAGGAGCCGCCCCCCGCGCCGCCGTCGCACGACTGGTCGTCCGCGTTCGCGGTAGCGTTCGCGGCGCACCTCTCCGGATGCCTCGCGGGCGCGACGTGCGTATTCGCCCACGACGCCGGGCTAGGTCTCGGGGTCGTCGCCGCGGCGACGTGGGTCGTCGCGTACGGCGGCGCGGCGGTCGCTCATCTCGCGGCTTCGAATTTTGGATTCTTCGACGCCCCCCGGGGTCCCGGGGTCGAGCCCGCGTGGAGCTCGCTGTGGGTCGTCACCCTGAGCGTGACGTCCACCGCGCTCGGCGCGCTGACGTTCTTTAACTTCGCGCTCGCGCTGCCGGTCACCGCGGTGCTCGCGCCGCTGTGTCTCGCCGCGGGGAGAGGGCCGGGGTCGAGCGGACGCGCGGCGGCGACGGCGCTGGCGCCGCTGGCGTTCGCGCTTCCGTTCGACGGTGGCGCGACGAGCCTCGGCGCGCTCGCGTCGCACCACCGGAGCTGGACCGGCGGGACGTTCGCGCTGCCGCTGATGTTTGGCGTGGTGTGGCCTGCGGTGATGCAGTGCGCGTTGATCGCCGCGGCGAGGAGGCCGACGCGCGCGCGACGACGCGTCGACCGAGGGAAGAAAACTCGGTGACCTCAGAACGCGTACTGTAGCCTTAGTTAGCGTTAACCACGAATAAACGACATCATCGAATCGATCTCGCTCCGTTCTGTTCCGCTCGATCGTCCACGTACTGCGCGCGCGCTCAACCTCTCGCGCTCGCCTCACGCGTCGGCGTCCCGCACCTCGACGTCGGCCATCTCCGCGTCGGCGTCTTCCTCCTCGTCCTCCTCCGCCGCGTCTTCCTCCTCCTCGACGGTCTCTTCCTTCTTCCCCCTCCCGCGCCCGCGCCCGCGCCCGCGACCGCGCCCGCGACCGCGACCGCGACCGCGACCGCGACCGCCGCCGCGTCCGCCGCCGCCCTTGGCCTCGACCTTCGCTCTCTTCGCGGGCTTCTCGTCCGCGGGCGCGGCGACCTTCTTCCCCGCCCTCCCGTCCGCCTTGGCTCGCGCCGGCTTCAGCGTCGTCCCAAAGTCGAACGCGTCGATGCACACGTCCTCGTACTTCCCCTCTTTTCTGCACGCGTCGAGGAACCGCTGCACGTCCGGCTTCGAGCGCATGCGCTTGCCGCACGGGCTGTAGTAGTACGCGTCCGCGCCGAGGGTGGACCGACGCGGGATCACCTCTCGGCGCCACCCCTCGGGCGGGGCCGGGACGCCCGCGCCGACGTGCGGGGGGGCGTCCTCGGGGGACGCGCAGTCGATCCCGGGGCGTCGCGGGTCGGCCATCTGGTCGCACTGTTGATCGGCGATGAGGGGGGGGGTGGAGGTCAGCGCCGGGTCGGGCGGACGGACGGATCGTCGCGAGGCGATTAGGTTTAATTCTCGTCGCGCGCGCGACGAAAACGACGATTGGGCGAACGACGCGACGGGCGATTCGAGCCGCGCGCACCGTCCACTTGTCCGTGACGCATGTCTCCGGGGCGTATCTCCACTTCTGGCACGAGTCGCACTGCAGCCACCCGTACCCGTCGCGCTCCGTGGTGCGAAACTTCGTCTCCGCGGACTCCCCGCGCGGGCGCTTGACGCCCGCCTCCTTCTTCGCGGCCGTCTCCTTCGACGCCTTCGCCTCGGACGGCTTCGACGACGGCGGCGGCTTGTACGGCCCGCTCACGGTCACGACCTTCGCGGCGTGGAGGCAGTTCGCGAGCCACGCCTGGGGGGGCGGGCGGACGGTCGCTTTGGACACGCCTCGGGCCATCGCGCGAGGGTTGTCCGGACGACGACGAGCGACGCGTTGTGGCGATCAGATCGGGCGCGCGCTCGCGGAAAACGAACGATTGCGTGCGCGAGCGAGAGGCCGAGTGCTTTCAACCGTCGATGAATGTCTACCGATGAAGTAATTCTTCACCGGTCAGTTTGACCCACGTTTGATAGGTAGATTAAAAAACAAAAGCTCGCGCGGAGATTCATTTTCCCGCGAGTTTTGAGGGGTCCCATTAACGAAAGGTCGCTCGCTTGGCATCCGGTCAAACCCCCGCGCGCGTCGCGGTGCGTGCACCGTACGCGCGCATTCTATCCGGCACTCGTCGTATCGGGTGCGAACGCGCGGTTGACGCAGTTCCGCGCGCGGACGTCCCTCGCGCGCGCGCGGGACGTCACGCGACTTCCCCCCCCCGGGTGGGGTACAAATTTGCGCGTGTGTGTGCCAGCGTGCAATAAAAAGAACGTTCATCCCGCGCGCGAGGGCGACTCCGCGCGGGGTGCGCGGACGCGGGAAACGCCCCGACGCGCGCGTAAACGATGTCGGTCGCGATGGAAACGCCTTTATCCTTCGACGAGCCCGAGCTCGCGCTTCTTCCGAAGCACACGAAGGTCCGTTCGCGCGCGTTCGACGACTTCGAAAAACACGCGCGAGCGGAGAAAAAGCATTGGTCCTTTCGCGCGGTCGCCCGCATGTGCGCGAGATTCCACGCCGTTCGTCCTCCGTCGCGCGCGTTGAGACGTCGTCTCCTTCTCTCCGCCGTGCCCGCAGGTCCGCGTGACGGGGAATAATCGAACGAAGAGCACGTTAGTCGGCCTCACCGGCGTCGTGAAGAAAGCCGTCGGCCTCGGCGGGTGGCACCTGGTGGCGCGTCCCCCTCCCTCCCAGCCTCGCTCTTTTTTTCCGAGCGTTGGCGTTCTCTCTTCTTCGAGGAACGGAATGAACACGACGCGGCGACCCCCGCGCGCGTTCTCGCGACCTCATTCTCGCGTCCGCGAACGCCATCGCTCAACCTCGCTCGCTCTCTCTCTCTCCTTCCGCGTCCCCCTCCCCTTCCCTCCAGAGACTCGAGACGGGCGTGGACGCGAGGGTGCAGCGGAACGCCATCGTCGCGTTGTCGGCCCCCACCGGGGACGAGAGCGACAGCGGCGAGGACGACTTACGCGTGAACACGAACCCGAACAGCACGAAGCCGGACGCGGAGCGGATGAACGGCCGATCGTCGACGGTTCGGCGGACGCCCACGAAGCCGCTGTCGCGGCCGATCACGGCGACGGTCACGGGGAAGCGGTCGTCGCGGCCGAGCGAGCGCGCCGGCGGCGGTGGCTTCGGCGGCGGCGGCGGCGGATCGAAAGTCAACTTCGACAAGCTCGGGCTCGACACGCTGAAAAAGATCGAGGAGGGGCACTATAAACAGGCTGTCTCCCCGGACGAGCAGAAGCGTAAGCTCGTTGCCAGCGTCGCGGAGCACTTCATGAAAGAGCAGGTGGACGAGGCGGAGGTTTTGATGAACTTCATGGCCGCGTTTTCGAGTCGGAGTACGTCGCGGAATCCGAGCAGGGAGGTGTCGGAAATCGACAAAACGTAAATACGAAATCGGCGGCGACGACGTCGCCGTGTACAAAAGTGGTTGTGCGAAGGTAAACGACGAAGGAATCTAGAGCTTATTGTTAGCCCGAATGTACGAGTATAGCGCTGACGCAGCGCGTCGTTTCCCTAGGGAGGTAGACGAGTGTATGAATGTAAGATCAAAACATGTAAGAATCATCTGTTTCAACATGTTTTTTGCGTTTCTAAAGTAGTCGCGTCTAAAGTACCCTCCTCCTCTCCCTCCATTATTTGATCAAAGCTTCATATCCTTCGGCAACACCCCCGACGTGAGCGCCCGCTCCAGCCGCTCCACCTCGTCCAGCGTCGCCGCGTTCGCGATCGCGACCTTGATCATCCTCAGCTGCTCCTCGCTCGGCCCCGACGCCGACGCCGCCGCCGCGCCCTCCTCTCCGACGACGCCCGGGACGAACGTCTTCGCCGCCTCCATCGCAGCCTCGCCTTCGTCCCCGCCGAAGAGCTCCTCCGCAGCCTCGCGCTCCTTCGGCTTCACCTTCCTGAAGTCCAACACCTTCAACTTCTTCAGTTTGTAAATCACGTACGCGCGGTAATTCTCCGCCCTCGTCACCGGGTTGTTCATCAACGACAGGTGCGTCAAGTGCTTGAACGTCGCCAACGGGTCGACGTCAGCGAGCTTCCCCAGGCGGTTGTTCGTCAGAATCACGCACTTCAGCATCGGCAGCTGCTCGTCCATGTTCTTCCCGATCCGCGCGATCCTGTTGTTGTTCAGATACAACGTGTGCAGACGCGTGAGCGGCGGGAATCCCTCCAGCTTGACGATCTCGTTGTCCGAGAGGTCGATCGCGTCGAATTGGTTCTGCGTCGCCGCGAGGTTCTCGATCGCCGCGATCTTGTGCCCTGTGGACGTTCGCGAACGACGTGGAAGCGCGGCGTGAGCGCGAACGGCGGGGGATGAGCGAAGCGCGCGGGCGATCGAGCGCGGCGGACGATCGAAGGGCGTTTTGAAGGAAAGGAAAGGCACGGATCGGATCGGATCGGCCGCCTCCTCGAGGGACGGGACGCACCTCGTAAATCGATCGCGTAGTCCTGGACCGGGTCTAACCCCTGCGGCGACCGAAGGATGAGTTCCGCGGTGAGACGTCCCGCGAGGCGGGGCAGGCTCAGGAACGCGGTCGTCGCCGGGTCCGGCGCCGCGGACCCCATCCTCGAGATCGAGTTAGGGTTCGATTCCCAGCGAGCGACGAACTTAGCACCGCCGCGCGCGTCTAATCCGCCCTCGCGCGCGGGACTCCTCCGTCTCGACGCGACCCCCGACGCGCGATGCCCCTTCCCCCTCGGTCGACGTGTTCACGCCTGTCCGCGAGCGTGTCTGACCTAGCGCGTGCGACGCGCGCGGGACGAGTAGATCGCTCCCCGCCCGTCAGCGCGCCATTTTCGCGGTCGGTGAACGCGCGCGCGAGCTGCCCGCGAGCAGGGACGGGAACGAAGAAAAATGGCGTTATGCGACTACGACGCCACAACCCAACGCGCGCGGACGCCACGCCGCGCGACCGCGCGGGATACGACGCGCACGATGAGCGAGGCGTCGTTCCGCTCGAGGGCGTCGAACCTCCGGTCCGACTCCGGCGGCGGCGCGGGCGCGACGGCGCTCGCGGCGGTCGAGCCCGTCGACGAGAGCGAGAGCTACGGCCTGAGAGAAGTCGACACGCGGACGCGAGGCGAGCGCGCGCGCGACTACGCGGTGCGCTTCGTGACGGACAAGGTGAGGAACGCGCCGCAGGCGGAGGACGGCGGCGCGGTGCAGGGCGGCGCGTTCACCTCCGTGGACGCGGGCGGGAACGTGTACGCGGACCCGGAGAAGATGGAGGCGATCGGCACCGAGGCGCTGGAGACGGCGCTGGCGCAGATCCCGGAGGACGACGACGACGACGACGACGCGAGCAACCCCGGGGCGGCGTTCCAGAAAGCGTTCGCGCTCAGGAAGATGCGCGAGGATCTGTTCGAGCAAGTGAAAGAGGCGTGCATGGAGCAGGCGAGCCAAGAGATGCGCATCGCGCGACGTAGAGCGCTCGTGGCGTCGCACGCGACGCAGCCCAAGGCGCCGCCGCAACGACAGAGCGGGCTCGTCCAGCCCGAATTCCTCTCGAACTCGAGGAAGGCGATGGGGGAGGCGAACTCGGCGAAGATGTCCTACTACCAAGCCCCGGACCCGTACGACGAGTCCGTGTTCGGGGTCACGAACACGTCGATATACAGGGTGAAGAACGACGCGAGGACGACGCAACGGATGCTGGAGTTTTTGTTGGGGTACTCGAGCGTCGTGGACCCGGACGACCTCGAGGAGATCGAAGCCGGCGCGATGGGGCTGACGGTGTCCAGAGGGAAAGGCATGCGCGAGCTCGCGCTGAAGTACGCGACGCACTTGGATAAGACGTTGCCGGAGCGCCACGCGAACGTCTTGAAGTCGCTCGTGAAGACGGCGGCGGATGATTTCATTCGGCAAGAGCTCCTCGGTTTCGACGCCGCGCAGGCGTACGCGCAGAGAGAGCGCGAGAGCGCGAGCGAGGTCGCGGCGACGAATAAACAAGCGTGGATGACGTCGATGTTCCCGGACGCGCTGTGGCCGAACAAGGCGAAGGTTGGGGGCGCGGACAAAGCCGCGTTGCCGTCGGTGGGGACGCTCGGAGCGTTCGGCGGCGGCGGCGGCGGCGGCGGAAACCCGGGCGACGGCGCGGTGCAAGTCCGCATGAACCCGTCCGGGTTTAACGCGGGGTCGACGTACAGCGGGAGCTAGGTCGTGCGCGCGCGCGGGCGACGCGTCCAACCGCGGGTGCTGAAGTAGAGTAGTTTAGCGCGACGCGAGTCGCGGACATCGCGAACGTCTCACACATTTCGATCGCGACACTCGAACACCACTCGCGTCTCCTCTCTGCTCGTCTCGGGGAAATGTGCGTTCTCATAACAGATGGCGCCTCCTCGGGGAGGTCGCGGAGGCGGCGGCGGGCGAGGCGGCGGCGGGAAACCGAGCACGTCGTCCCGCCAGGATGACGCCGTCAAGGTGGAGATGAGCGCGCAAGCGGAGGCGAGAGTCCGCCGCGCGTTAGAGAGCCTATCGATCGCGTCGACGACCGCCGCCGAGGCGGACGAGGAGGACGACGATCGCGCGCGGGATCTCTTCGCCGAGGCGAAGCTGTGCAAGCTGTACGACGACCTCCTCTCGGAAGGCTTCGGCGTCCGCGACATCGAGAACGCCCTGACGGACGTCGTCACGACGCGACGCCGCGCGACGGACGAGACGGAGGCCGCGGCGAACCCGATGGGCGAGGCGCTCGATTGGCTGTGCTACAACGTCCCGACCGAACGCCTGCCGCGGCGCTACCAAGGCGCGGTGCGGACCGCGGCCGCGTTCCCGGGCTCCGAGGGCGCGGCCGTGGAGGTCCTCGTCGCCGCGGAGGAGCAGGACCCGAACGCCGCCGCCGCCGCCGCCGCCGCCGCCGCCGAGGCGAGGGAGAGAGCGGCCGTCGCCGCGGTCGCCGAGAAAGCCGCCGAGAAAGCCGCCGCCCGCGCCGAGGCGGACGCGGAGCGGAGGAAGCGCGACGCGGAGGAGGCCGCGAGGGCGAACCGCGAGTGGATCATGCGTCAGTACGAGGAAGCGAGCGACGGCGACGGGTCGGACGGCACCGGGAGCGACCACGACAGCTTGGAGGACTACGGTCTGACGGAGGAAGAGATCGAGAGGAAAGCGACGGCGCGGCGGCGGCGACGCGCGTTCGACGCCGACCGCGACGCGCACATCGCGGTGATGCGCCGCGAGATGGACGAGGCCAGAGCGGAAGCCGCCGCGGGGAAGGTCACGAGGGACAAGGCGCGGCAGAAGCGCGCCGGGGAGCTCGTGCGGAGGGTGAAAGAGGAGATGGCCGCGTACGGACTCGTCGACGAGGATTTGCACCCGCCGCCGCCGCCGCCGCCCGCGCCGGCGACGGCGGAAGAGTCGAACGGAGTGGAGGGCACCGCCGCTGGAGCCGCTGATGGGCTATTTAGAGACTCGGGGACGACTCGCGCTCACGGCGAGGGCGAGGGTTCTGGTCCTGGTGCAGGTGCTGATGCGTCCCGACGGGCCCCGGACGCCGGCGGCGGGGGCGGCGGGGACGGCGGGGACGGCGGGGACGGCGGGGACGGCGGGGGGGAGCCCGATGACCCGACGTCCACGGCCTCGAAGAAGGAAGGCGACGACGACGGCGACGACGACGACGACGACGACGGCGGTTTCGGGCTCGATCTGTTCGACGGCGGCGACGAGACGGCCGCGATCATGGGCGAAGACACGGGGAACGACGCCGCGGTGTTCGAACTCTCCGAGGCGCCGTTGTTTCCGCCGACGCACATCGCGGCGAAACCGGCGGCGGGCGCGGGCGGTAAGAAAGGGGGGAAGAAGGGCGGTAACGCTCCAGCCGCTGCGGTTAAGGTCGAAACCGTCGCCCCGAAAGCGCTGCTTCAGATGCTCTGCCGGCGCGAAGGCTGGCTCGCGCCGCGGTACGACAAAGCCGGCCCGAGCGGCGGCGGCGGCGGCGGCGGGACCGCCGGGGCCGCCGTCGGCGCCGTCGTCCGAGGGATGACGTACGCGGTCACCGTCGAGCGCACGGGGAGCGGGAAGCGCGTCGGCGGCGGCTCCGCGGCGAAAGCGGCGGCGAGGAGCACGATCACGTGCTCGTCCGGGGAGGAAGACGCCCCGCCGGGGGGCTGGGAGACCGTGAACGACGCGCAAAACGCAGCCGCAGCGCGGGCGTTGTTTCTCGCCGTCGGGACGACGGGCGCGACCAGCGCGACCGTCGCCGGGCTCGCGCCGATGCCGTCGGAGCTGCCTGCGGAGTTCAAGATGGCATGGCGGCGTTGGGCCGAGGAGGTTTTCGACGCCGCCGCCGCCGCCGCCGCGGGGGTCGGAGGCGACGCCGGCGGACCCGGGACCGTCGCGTCCGCGAGGGACGATTTCGTCCGACGGTTGTCGCGCGGAGCGGGGGGTAAGCGCCGCGGCGTCGGCGCGGACGCTGACGACGCGCCGAAGGAGTCGTGGGAAGACGGTGACGGCGAGGACGACGCCGCCTCCGGCGTGGCGTCGAGGAGAAAGTCCATCGGGGAACGGTCGCCCGCCGCGCGGCCCGCCGCCGCCGCCGCCGCGAACGCCTCCGCGTTCGCGGAGACGAGCGAACGACTGAAACGCGACGCGGCGACTAAACGTTCCGACGCGGCGTGGCAAAAGATGCGCGCGTTCCGCGAGAACCTTCCCGTGGCCGCGCTCAGGGACAACCTCCTGCGCGCGCTCCGCGAGCGCGACGCCGCGGTCGTGTGCGGCGAGACCGGGTCCGGGAAGACGACGCAAGTGCCGCAGTACCTCCTGGACGACGCCGTCGACGCCGGCGCCGGGGCCGGGTGCCGCGTGATATGCACGCAGCCGCGCCGCGTCGCGGCGCTCACCGTCGCCGAGCGCGTCGCGTCCGAGCGCTGCGAGCGCGGCGGCGTCGGGGGCAAGGGCAGCCTCGTGGGGCATCACGTGCGGTTAGACGCCGCGGTCACGAAGGACACGAGGCTCACGTTTATGACCGCGGGGATACTCCTTCGACGGATGCACGGGGATCCGCTCCTCGCGGAGGTGTCGCACGTGGTGTTGGACGAGATACACGAGCGGAGCTTGGACGGGGACTTTCTCCTCGCGCTGTTGCGGACGCTGCCCGCGCGACGGAGGGAGCTCGGGATGGCGCCGTTGAAGTTGATCGTGATGAGCGCGACGCTCGACGCGAATTTATTCTGCGGGTACCTCGACGACTGCCCGGTCGTCCAAGCCGCGGGACGCACGCACCCGGTGAGCACGGTGTATCTGGAGGATATCCACGACATGCTCGAGTACACGTTAGACGAAGAGAGCCGGTGCTGCCGACGTCCGCGAGGCGACTCCAGAGGCGCGGCGGCGATCGAGAACATGGACCGGAGAGAGAAAGCCGCGGCGCTAGACTCGTGGGGGGTGGACGACGCGTGGCGCGGGGACGAGAACCCAGACTACGACCCCACGCAGTTCGAGCACGTCAGCGCGCTCACGCGTCGGAACTTATCGCGCCTGGACGAGAACGTCATCGACTACGACATCATCGAGAAGCTCTTGGGCGTGATCGACGACGACGCCCCTCACGGCGCCGTGCTCGTCTTCCTCCCCGGGATCGGCGAAGTCTCTGGGCTCATCGATCGCCTCGCGTCGAACCCGCGGTTCGCGCCTCGACACGGGAAGCACAAGCTCGTGCCGTTACACTCCGCGCTGACGCCCGCGGAGCAGAGAGAGGCGTTTAAGACGCACGCGGTCGGTGTTCGGAAGATTGTCGTGGCGACGAACGTGGCGGAGACTTCCGTGACGATCGAAGACGTCGTCGTCGTGATCGACAGCGGTCGGGTCAAAGAGCGCCAGTGGGACGCGCGGCGCGGGATGGCGAGCTCATTAGAAGGCTGGGTCTCGAGAGCCGCGGCGAGGCAGCGCGCGGGAAGAGCCGGGCGCGTGCGCGCGGGGACGTGCTACGCGTTGTTCACTTCGCACCGCGCGCGAGACGGATTCCGGTCGCATCAAGTCCCGGAGATGCACCGCGTCCCGCTCACGGAGATTGTGTTACAGATCAAGAAACTCGACGTCGACGACGGGGCGGAGGCGTTCCTGGCCGGGTCGTTGGAGCCGCCCGCTCCTGACGCGGTGGTCGCGGCGCTGAACACTCTGAGGGAAGTTGGAGCCGTGGACGCGTCGGAGGCGGCGGCGTTGACCCCTCTCGGGCATCATCTCGCCGCGCTTCCCGTGGACTGCCGCGTCGCGAAGATGCTCGTGTACGGCGCGCTCCTGTCGTGTTTATCCCCGGTGCTCACGATCGCAGCGTGTTTATCGTACAAGTCGCCGTTCACGAGTGGTCAGGGCGGGAAAGGCGGCGGCGGCGCCGCCGCCGGGGACGCCGCGCGGAGACAACTCTCGCTCCCGAGCTCCGGCTGCCTCGCGTCCGGGGAGCAGAGCGATCACCTCGTGTACGCCGCCGCGTACGAAAACTGGGCCAAGGTGGCGTCCGTCTCCGACCGTAACACCGCGCGCAGGCACGCGACGAAGCACGGCTTGTGCCCGGAGACGTTGAAGCAAATCGCGGAGATGCGCGGGCAGTACGCGAGCCTTCTCGCGGACATCGGATTCATCGCCGGCTCGAAGGGCACGCGCGCGGACGCCTCCCCGAGCGGCTGGGTGGACGACCCCTCCGCGTCGTGGAACGTCGACGCGAAGCGCGCGCCGGTGGTGAAGGCTGTCGTCACCGCGGGTCTCTACGCGAACATCGCGGCGACGGAGAACACCGGGCGGTGGCGGGACGCGAAGGGCGAAGTCGGGGTGCACCCGTCGAGCGTAAACGCGAAGCTCGCGACGCCGACGTTTCCGTTCTTGGTGTTCCACGAGAAAGTGAAGACGTCCAGGGTGTTTCTGAGGGACAGCACCGTCGTCGCCCCCGCGGCGTTGCTCCTGTTCGGCGGCGCGATGGACGTGTATCACGCCGCGGGGAGGGTGTCGTTGGACGGGTGGCTGTGGCTGAGAGCGTCCGCGCAAGTCGCTGTGCTGTTCAAGAAGCTGCGCCGCGCTCTGGACGACGAGCTCGACGCGCGGATACGAGGCGCGCGACGAGTGCGAGATGGTGGCCCTAGTAAAGGTGCGGGCGCGGAGGATATATTGAGGACGATCCGGACCGTGCTCACGGAGCACGGCTGCAGGTCGTCGTAGAGGTGGGCGTAGGCGTAGATATCGCGTCGTATAAGATACACGTACAACGCAGCCGCCGACGACGACTGAAAGAATACATTAGACTACTTCGTCTTCTTCTGCTCCTGTTGCGCGAGCTTAGGGAGGTCGTCCGTGGACGCCCCCAGGCCCGCGAGCTGCCGCCGCATCAAGTTCGCGTACACGCCGTCGGGGATCTTCATGAGGTTATCGTGCGTGTCTTGCTCCGCGACGACGCCCTCGCTCACCACCGCGACCGAGTCCGCGTCTTGAATCGTGCTCAACCGATGCGCGATCACGATCGACGTCCGGTTCCTGCCGCTCATCATCGCGTCCAACGCGTCGTTCACGAGCTGCTCGCTCTCCGCGTCGAGCGCGGACGTCGCCTCGTCGAGGAGTAAAACCTGAGGGTTCATGAGCACCGCGCGCGCGATGGCGATGCGTTGCTTCTGCCCGCCCGACAGCTTGATCCCTCTCTCGCCGACCCACGTGTCCAATCCTTTCTCCAAGTCGCGCACGAAGTCCGCGACGTTCGCTTGCTCGAGCGCGCGCCAGATGTCCTCGTCCGTCGCGTCCGGGGACGCGAACCTCGCGTTCGAGCGGATGGACCGCGCGAACAACACCGGCTCCTGCGACACGACGCCGATGAGCGAGTGCAGGTGCTCGTGCTGAATCTCCCCGACCGGGACGCCCGCGACGAAGACCTGGCCTTTGATCGGGGCGTAGTAGTACTGCACGAGCGCCGCGATCGTGGACTTCCCCGCCCCGGACGCGCCGACGATCGCCGCGCACGTCCCCGCGGGGACGTTGAGCGACAACCCGTTGAGCACCGGGCGGTCCGGAACCCCCGGGTACGCGAAGTGCACGTCTCTCAGCTCCACGCTCACGCCCGTCTCGGTCGTGTCCGGCGCGAGGACGCCGTCGTGCGGGAGGAGCGACTCGCGGTCCATGAGGTCGAACACGCGCGTGGACGCGCCGAGGGCTTGGATGATGGACGCGTAGGTGCCGGAGATGAGCGCCATGCCGAAGGAGGCGTTGATGGAGTAGAGGATAAACGCGTTGAGCTCTCCGATGGTGAGGTCGTCCTCGATCGCGAGCCGGGAGCCGTAGTAGAAGGTGGAGCCGAGGGTGATGAAGACGCCCGCGGTGAGGCAGCCGTTGAAGATCGCGCTTCGCCTCCCGTACGACATCTCCACGCCGAGGGCTTCGTTGACGCTCGACGCGAAGTGCGAGGACTCGTGGTTCTCCTGGCCGAAGGTTCGCACCGTGCGAATCGCGCCGAGGGAGTCCTCCGCGACGGACGTCGCCTTCGCCGTCGCTTGCTGCGTCAGACGTGCGAGCACGCGCAGACGGCGGCTCTGCCAGATCGCCGCGGCGATGAGCGGCGGGAACGCGGCGAGGACCACGAGCGTGAGCCGCCACGACGTGTAAAACATAAACGTAAACGCGATAATCACCGTCGCCATCCCTCGGAGCGCCATGGACAAATTCTGCGTCGCGACGTTCTTCAGCATCGCGGTGTCCGTGGTTATGCGCGAGATCAACGACCCGGACGTCACGGAGTCGAAGAACCCGACCTCCTGGGCGAGGATGTTCGTGAACAGGCGGTTCCGCAGCCGCGCGACGACTTTGTACGAAGCCGTGTTGAACATGTACATTCGCAGCGCCTGGAACAGGCCGCCGAAGAGACCGACGAGGAGGAGGCCGATGTACGCATCGAGAACGTCCCTGCGCGCGCCCGCGCTGTCGCCTTCCAGGTGCTTCGTGACGCCGTCGATCATGCGCCCGGCGTAGAACGGGATCAACATGATGCACACGGAGTTACAGAACAGAAAGAAGATGCCGACGGATAAGCGCTTCGATTGGCCTTTCGACTCTTGGAGGATGCGGTAGAAGTCTTGCTTCATGCTGCGCTTCTTCTTGCCGCGCAGCAGGCGGTCCCTCGAGCCGTCGAGGTCTTCGCCGTCCTCCTCTTTTTTCTCGCCGTCCTTCTCGTCGCCCTTGCCGTCGCCCTTCTCGCCGTCATTCTTCGCGTCGGCGGCCGCCGGTTTTTTCGCCGCCGCGCCGGGCGCGGCGTCGAAGCTGACGCGGATGCTCTTCTTCGCCGTCAGCGGCTCCTCGACCTTGACGCTCGTGAGCGTGACGCCGTCGTCGTCGTCGTCGTCCTTGGACGGAGGCATCGTGACGCGCGGGGAGAGAGACTCTGCGCGGTCGAGTTGTGACGCGTCGCCGACAGACGGGTGGAGGGTGGACGACTACGAGCCACGTCGACTATCGACGGCTGCCGTGTCATTCGCGGTGAAATCGAGCCCAGGACCTGGTTTCAGTCGTCTCGCGTCGACCGATGAAAGGGCGATGCTCACCCCGGTCTCGAACCTGGGATTTTCGCGCCCCTCGACCCGGTTCGAACGGAGCGCCCTCGCGAGCGCGCGTTCGCGCGAGGCCACACGCGCGCGCGCGGCAACGCACGAATCGTCCGCACGCGCGTTCGGTCACTCTCGAGCGGGAGCGGCGCCGATCGCGGTCGTCGCGCTCGAGGCGCGTCGAGGGAGAGGCGGATCTCCTCGCGGTGGTTTACCCTAATACGCATTCATTCACAGAGATCGTCGTCCATGTCCGCGACGCTGTCCGCGCTGCAGCAGCGCAAGGAGCGCTTGGACGAGGAGCTGAAGCAGACGGAGAAGCAGGTGTACGACCTCGAGACGCACTACCTGAACGAGAGCTCGCAGCACGGGAACGTCTTCAAAGGGTTCGAGGGGTACCTCTCGCAGACGAAGAACACGACGCAGAAAAAGACGCGGAGTTTCAAGCCGGACGAGAGGTTGTTCTCGATGTCGAGCACGACGTCACCGGTCGTGGAGGAGATCGCCGCGGAGCAGGCGCAGGAGAAGACGGTCACGACGCAGTCGGGGAGGAAAGCCGGCGGCGGCGGCGGGTACCGGTAGCTTTTGGACCATAGCGGAAGATCGAATAGGAACGAAATTAGGCGTCCACGAACGACGAGATCGTCTCGTCGCGACCGACGTCCGGCGGGGTCTAACGCGGCTATTCTGCGACGTGAGCACAACGCACGACGCGTCGTTCAACTCGTCCCCGATCACGTCCCCGGGATCTCGTCCCCGTCCCCGATCTCGTCCTCGCCGTCGTCGAAAATCTCCCCGCGAATCTCCGGGAGGTTGTTCTCGAACGCGACCCGCAACCTATCGTCCAACGACACGTCGCACACCACCTTGCCGTCCACGCTGAGCACGTGCACGCCCCCGATGCACGACGCCACGTCCGTTGTCGCCGCGCGTGTGCGTGCACTACCCCCCTCCCCGCTCGCGTCGTCGTCGTCGTCGTCGTGCGGCGGCGGCGGCGGCGGCGGCGGCAGATGCGCGCGCGTGTCCAGCGTGAGTTTCAACTCTCGTCCCGCGGCGGCGGCGTTTTCCTCCGCCCGCCGCATCGCCGCCGTCGCCTTCTCCGCGTCGACTTCCCGGCATCGAATCACCGCCTCCGTGGCTTGGAGCTTCGCGACGCCCTGTTCGACGAGGCCGACGAGGAGAGATTCGTACTCCGGTTTATCGCTCGCGTCTCTGAGTTCATCGCGCGCCTCCGCGAGGATCCCTCGCACGGCGTCGTCCCTCGCTCGGAGCAAACGCAGCCGCGCCGCGTTGAGTCGCGTCGAGAACTCGATCCGCTTCTCCTTCTCCGCGGCGCTCTCTTTCCTCTCGTACTCCTCGCGTATCTTCTGCTTCTCTCGCTCGACGACGTCACGCTTCTCGACGTCGAATTCCTGCGCGAGCGACGGGGACGGGGCGGCGTTCGCGTGAGCGACCGAGCGCGAGACTTTTGGCGCGGGTGCCGATCGGACGTCGGAACCGCGCGGACGCACCTCCTCCGCCGCGATGTTGATCTCGTTCGCCTTCTCCTCCGCCTCCTGCTCGATGAACTTCACCATCTGCGCGAGCGAGAGCGCGGAGGGGGATTTGAGCGAGCGGAGCGGGCGGACGAGGGGCGTTTACGCTCGTCGTCGCGAAAAGCCACGACGTTCGATCGAGGAGGGACGCGGCGCGCGCGCGCGGTCATTCGCACCTGCGTGATCTGTCGCCGCACCTCCTCGTCGTTCATGGTGCCGCGTGCGTCACTCGAGCGCGGCCGCCTCGGCGTGTTTTCTCCCGCGTCGCCGCGCGGCAGCCCTATGACGCGCGAGATCCTCGCGCTTCTCGGGAGACGCGAAAAGTCAAGTCGCTCAGCGAACGTGCGTTTCTGTTCGTGTGAATGATGAATTGCTTAACGGTTGACGTCTAACGCACGCCTACTCCGTCCACACCTGCCCCGCCATGAACTGCAGCGCCGGGACGCCGCGGATCTCCATGTCGAACAGCGGCGCCTCGATCCTCCGCAGCCCTCTCAACCCGGCGTCCTCGTCCAACATCTCCATCGCGCGCCGCTGGTCCTTCGCCTTGACCGCGCAAAAGTTCACCGCGGTTTGCGCGTCTTTGGTCACCGCGCCCTGCGCGGCGATCAGCGCGTCGAGCTTCTCGGCGAGGCCGTCGACCGCGCCGGCCGCGTCGATGGCCTCGCGCAGCGCCTCCTGCTTCGCGGCGAGCTCTTCTTTCCTCGCGCCGAACCCCTCCCCGGTGACCTGGACGATCTGGTTCACGACGAGGCGACGCGTTGGCACCTTTTCCTTTTCGAGCGACGACAGCAGCCGGCCGCTCTCGGAGATGCCGAGCACCGTGGGGATCGTCACGATGACAAACTCGGTCGTCTTCTCGTTCCGGAACAGATCCTTCACCTCCTGGAGTTGCGCCTTGAGCTTCTCGAGCTTCGCGACGGCCTCGTCCTGTTTGCCGTCGTCCACGCCGAAGAGCCCTTTCACCGCGTCCGTCGCCGACGTCAGCTTTTGCCGGAGGCGGACGATCTTACCGATGCTCTTGTCCAAAAAGTCCGGCAGCGACAGCAACCGCAGCGTGTGCCCGGTCGGCGCGGTGTCGAACACGATCCTCGTGAACTTGGCGTACTTCTCGTCTTTGATGAACTGCACCACCTTGGATATCGCGATCGCCTCGTCGAGCCCCGGCGGCGGCGTGTCCAGGAGTTCGCCGAGCTTGAGATCTCCGAGCTGATCCGCGAGCCCGCCCAGGCCGACGCTGCCCATGAAGTCTTTCGCGCCTTGGGACATGTCCGTCTGCTTCGCGAACGCGGCGAACTCCTCCTTCGCTTGGTTCGGGTCCACCTCCATCGCGTACAGCTGCGCGTCCGTGCCGTCGACGCAGACCGGGACGCCGCCGGTGACGTCCTGCGCGAGGGAATCGCTCAGCGAGTGCGCGGGATCCGTGGACACGAGCAGCGTCGGGTGCCCGTTCATCGCGAACTTCACCGCGAGCGAGGACGACAGCGACGTCTTCCCGACGCCGCCTTTGCCGCCGACCATGTAGTACTTCCGGTCTCTCCCCGCGGACATCTCCGAGAACCCCGCGGACTCGACGGACGACGACGCCGACGTCACGACGGGAGCGCGTCGCGAGACGCGCACGCGGACGCTCGAGCCGAGACGCTTCCGCGCGCTTCCCCGGGTGTCGCCCACGCGCGAGGAGGGCGCGAGCGCGCGCGAGAGCGCCAGCGGCGCCGCGGCTGCCGTCGCCATCGTTCGCGGCGTCGACCGCGCGCGAGAAGCGGAGCGATGAGTGAATGATTCGATCGACGCCCGGCTCACAGGGTCGATCGACTCGGACGGAACTACGAACGCCGAACCCGCGAAAATTACGCTAGGTTATGGTGTGGTCGGTTTTAACCCACCCGGCTATGGGCAAACAGTCTGACGAGTACGCGAATTAACTACAGGGTTTAAGCATTTACGATAGGTTATGGGGCACTTTTTTCCCGCACCGAATCGTGATTGGCTGCTGGTGACGGGGACATCCGAAAGAGCATCTGATTCGATAGCGACGAACGATAGCCGCGCTTTATCCTTCTAGGTCAGCAGTCAGTCCGTGGAGTTAACACAGAATCTGAGAGTTCCGAGGGTCACACGCCCTCGCGCGACCGGGCCAACGCGCGTCACGAGAACCACCGAGAGCGCGAATCATGACGAACAAGATGCCATGCGACAATTGCCACGCCGCGCCCGCGGAGTGGTTCTGCGCGCACGACGGTGCGCGCGAGATTCCGCGTCGAATCTTTTCCGCCAAACCTCGGAGATTCCCCTCGCTTTTTCCCCCGCGTCGCTTAACCCCGCTTTTTACACCGAGACGACGCGACGCTGACGCGCTCGATTCCACCTCAGGAGCGAACCTGTGCGCGCGATGCGACGTCGCGATTCACACCGCGAACAAGGTGCGCGCTCTCCCGGGATTTTTTTTATCGCGTCGACTCGCGCGGCGCCGATAAGCGCGGCCGCGTGACCCTACTTTTCGCGGGTCATTCATTTCGTCCGCGTCGAGATCCCTCCTTCAGCATCTTACTCGTCTCCCCCCGTCCTCCCCCTCGTCCTCCGCAGCTCGCGATGCGACACGAACGCATCCCCATGGAACAAAAACTCGCGAACGACGCGCTGTGCCAATCCATCAACCCGACGAACGACGGCTTCGACACCGAGATGGGCGTGGCGCGCAACGAGCAAGCCAGCACGTCGTCGGGCGCGCCCACCAACGAGACGTCGAACGACCTCGACTGGCTCGTCTCCGGCCCGCACGGCAACATGGACGACCCGCTCAGTAATTTACTCGACATGCACCAGGACGCGCACGACAGCAGTAACGGCGACGCGTCGCACTTTGGGTTGGACGACGCGTCGCTGTGGGGGAGCCACGGCGGCTTCGGGAACGGAAACCACCTCTCGTCGGCGGCGTTTAGAAACTCGGACGCGCGGCGGGAACTGAGCGCGCAACCGGTGGTCGGCGACAGCGCGGGGTTTGTCACCGGGAACGGCGCGGCGATGATGGGACAAGGACACGCCGACGGGATGCAGCGACAACAGAACGATGGGAAGGAAATCTCGAGCACGAGCGGGACGAGCGAGACGACGCAGGCGCCGACGCAGATGATGCCGCCGCACGCGGGCGGACAAGTCAACTTTTCGCACGGCGGCGGCGCGCCGGGGGGGCCGGGGTCGCCGCACTACGACCAAGTCTTGACCAGGCCGTTCGCGACGAGCGCGCTGAGACACGCGCAGCTGCAGCGGTACCGCGCGAAGCGACTCGCGAGGCACCTCGGGCACAAGAAGATTCGATACGAGTGCCGGAAGACGCTCGCGGATAACCGCCCGCGCATCAAAGGCCGGTTCGCGAAGGTGCACTCGGACCCGAACCTCGCCGCCGCCGCGCTCGCGGCGGTGCAGTCGTGCCCGGACCTCACCGCTTTGAACGTCGTAGGAGAGGACAAAGAGTCCTCCGAGGACTCAAACTCGAAGAAAGGAGGCCGGAACGCCAAGTCGCGACTGTCGAACGGCAGCGGCAGCAACGAGAGCTCGTCGCCTAAACTGAAAAACCCGGCGCACAAGGCTTCGTCCAAAAAGCCAAACACGCGCGGGTCCGGGGCGTCTAGCCCGGAGCAGTGGGACTCCACCGCGGGCGTGAGCTTGCGGTCGGGGGGGAAAGGGATGCCGTACACGCAGTCTGAGGTCTCGCTCGTGGACCTCGGGCGAAGGCTGTGTTGAGTCGTGTGGTGAGAGCGGAGCGAGGGTGGGTGCGCCGAGCGAGCGAGCGAGCGACGGAGTTTCATCATCAGTCGTCTCCTTCTGTTCGTCTGGCGAATTGTTGTACAAGAGGAATTTTTTTGGTTCGGGACGGGTTGCGGGTGTAAAAACGCAAAACAAACGAAAACGCATGTGGAAAGAAGTGAAGTGAGGGAAAAACAAGGGACCGGGGACGCAGTCACGCGGAGAAGGACAAACACGTTGGGGAGCACGCGCGCTGTGTGTACGACGCCCGCGCGCGCGCTCCCCGTTCTGTCCGCGTCGACGCTCGTAATTCAATAGAGTATAGAACTCCGAGCGGGAGCGATTTAATACCGAGCTCCTGCGCCTTCACTCGACGTCGTCTCGTTTCTCGTGGGTGGACACCCTACCGTAGAGTTACAAAGAGCTAACTTATGATTCGCGTACACGACGTCCCCTCACTCCTTGGACGACTTGATGGACTCCATGAAGCGAGCGTTCGCGGCTTGCCTCTCCGCCTGCATCGCCTTGACCTCCTCCGTGAGTTTCACCTCCCACTCCGCCATCGCGTTCGCGGCCCAGACCCCCCCGCCGGTCCACAGCACATGCTCCCACGGGTCTGAAAGAGAGAAAGAGAACGGGCGGGCGGAGTCAGCGCGTGCGACGCGAGCGCGCGGGGGACGAAAGAAACCCTAAAATATCCTCCGAGGACGCCTCGGTCCAAGATGTGGCACGGATCGCGTCCGCGATCGACGTGCACCGCTGCGGGGAGCGATCGATTCGCGCGTTCACGAGCGCGGGTTTCACCGCGCGCGCGTCATGGCGCGGCGTCGACCGCACACGCCGCGCGTGCGACGCGCGAGAATGAACGAACCCGCGCGCGCGCGTCGCTCGCGGTGGAAAGAAAGAATGGCGCGGGGGAGGAAAGGGCACGCACTGCGCAAGAGCGGGAGCTTGCGAAGGGCGTTGATGAACAGCTGCGTCCCGAAACCCATGGCGGCGCCGGCCATCGTGGCCGTGGTGGCGAACGGCATTTTCTCAACCCGCGGTGTCTATCGCGCGCCGAGACTACTGCGTTCGATCGCGCGAAGGTGCCCGTTTATCGCGACTCTTCGACCCGACGAAAATCGCCACTGAGCGAAGAGGCGCGAAATTTCCACCTTGAAGGTACCTTGGTGTTCTACTAGCTAGACTACCTGCGCGGCTCCACCGACAGCGCCTCCTTGTCCTTCACCCCCGCGTCCTTCAACGTGCGTCCAAGGTCGCTCAGCGGCCGGCGCGGGAACGCCGCCACGAGCGCGTGCCTCGACATGTCCACGCCCGTCTCCGCCGCGACGAACGCCGCCACCGCGGCGACGGCGTCGACGTCCCGAAACCGCCGGCTCAGGCGGCGCCCGCTCGGGACGCGCACGGCGAGCGTCACCGCGGCGGGGTCCCCGGCGGCGGGCTCGTCGGGGACGGGCGGCAGCGCCATCGGGGGAGGCGGGGGTTGCGAATGCGGCGGGGTGGACTGCGCGAGCGACGCGGCGATCGCCGCGGCGAGGTCCGCGTCGGCGTCGTCGCCGCCGCCCGCGCTCGGGGCGCCCGCCCCGGCGAAGCTCGCGGCCAACGCCCTGGCCGCGTCCTCCGCGGAATCCCTCTTCCCCGCGCCTCCGCCATGCCCGTGCCCGTGCCCGTGTCCTAAACTCGCGGCGATCGCAGCCTGGAGCTCCGCGTCGTCCGCCGATCCCTCCCCGCCGCCGCCGCCGCCGCCGCCGCCGCGCGCGAGCGTCGTCAACGTGGCGCGCCCCCCCGCGCCGACCCTCGCCATCGCCTGCTCCGCCGCGCACCGCGCGCGCCCCGCGGCTTTCACCGCGTCGGCAGCCTTGTTATCCGCGGCCGCGTCCTCGACGTTGACCCACCGGCCGTACGTCCCGCTCGAGCTCGCGTCCGCCGCCGCGGGCAGCGCGCCCCGCACGACGAAGATGCTGTACCCCTCCTCCTTCAGCTGCGCGAGGAACGCGCTCAAGTACAGCTCCGAGATGGGCTGCGGCGCGGGGAACATGCTGTTGAAGTTCCACCACCCCCCGGGTTTGGGCGCGCTGCCCTTCTTCCCGCCGAATCCGCCGCCCGCGTGCACGCTCGGGCTCTCCACGTCGTCTCGTCGTCGAACCGCGAACCAGTGCTGGTCGAGGTTGCACAGGAACGCGACCTCGTCCTGGGGCGACCTCCACGCGCTCCCAGCCTCGCGCGAGGTGGCGGGCACGCACGTCAGGTTCCAAACCTCCAGCGCTTTCGTCAGGACTTGGATGCTGAAGTTCCCGTCCGCGGCGGCGTTCCCGCTGTCCTCCGCCATGTACCTCAGAAAGTCCGCGCTCTCGACGCCGGACTCGCGCATGAGCGCGCGCTCGCGCTCGTCGAACTCCGTCGCGATCGCCGCGAGGTCGTGCGCGCTGAAGTACGGGCCTTGAAGCAGCGTGTTCAGCGCGTGCACGCCGCACAGCATCGACGTCTGCTTCTCGTGGTACAGCAGCCGCGCCATCGTGCCCGGAGGGGGGGAGGGGCGCGCTCGACGAATCTGATGGAAGCGACGTCCGCGACGCGACGCGACGCCAGCTGCTCGCGCTCGGTATCGAAGGTCCGGAAGGTCGTTGTGCGGCGTACTGTAGTACGTACGCGAACCGCGTACGAAACGTATGTGTAAGTAGTCAGCGACGATTTGAAAATGGACAGCGCGGGAGTTAGGAAGGAATTCGTTCGTCCGCGCGCGGCTCGCCTCCACAGCGACGCGCGCGCGAGGGACGTCGTCCGGACGAACGCGCGTAAACGTGACCATGTCGCGCATGACGCATCACGCGAACGGGACGGTGACGCGCGAGCCGAACGGCTCCGTGCAGGTCATCTTCGGTGCGTCTCTCTCCCCGCCGAATACGAATCTCGAATCCCCAGCTTGGCAACCAACCCCTCCCCGCGCGCGTCTGAATCTGACGTCCCCGCGTCCCCGTCCGCGCCTGACCGATCCCCGCGCGTCCCGACTCCCGCCATCACGACAGGCCCGATGTTCTCCGGGAAATCCACCGAGCTCGCGCGACGGATACGCCGACACAAGGTCGCGAATCGCTCGTGCCTCGTCGTGAAGTACGCGAAGGACACGCGGTACGAATCCGAACCGGGGACCGCGGAGGCGGGGACGGACGGCGTCGACGACTTGCGCGGGTGCATGATAACGCACGACCGACAGGCGTTAGTCGCATACCCCACACATCTGCTCGCGGACGTGGACAACGTCGCGCACTCGTTCGACGTCATCGGCGTGGACGAAGGGCAGTTCTTCCCGGACGTCGTCGCGTTCTGCGAAAAGTGGGCCAACGAGGGGAAAACCGTCATCGTCGCCGCGCTGGACGGCGACTTCAAGCGGACGCCGTTCGGCGCCGTCCTCGGCCTCGTCCCGATCGCGGAGGACGTCACAAAACTCAGCGCAGTGTGCCACGGCTGCGGCGGCGACGCGGCGTTCACCGCGCGCGCGGGCGCCGTCGCGACGGATGAAGTCGAGCTCATCGGCGGGAGCGACTTGGGGTACAGCGCGTCTTGCCGCGCGTGCTTCGCGTCCGGCGCCGCCGCCGCGCAGGCGGGGAAGTCGCCCATCGGGAAGGCGGCGAAACAAAAACAACTACAACAACCATCGTCGACGCCGTCGCGGCCGCCGTCGTCCGCGTCGTCCGCGGAACGCGCGCGCGCGAAGAAGCGCGCGTCCGTGGACGGCACCCCCGCGGCGGCGGCGGTGACGGAGGCGCGCGCGGCGGCGGCGACGCCGTCCACCGCGACGCCGTCCGCGGCCGAGCAGCCCGTCGCGTCCACGCCGGCGATGCGGGACGTGGGCGAGCGCATGCGACTCCTCACGATGGACTCCCCGTCGACGCCGGCGGACTCTGGCTACACTCCCGTCGCGGCGCGCGGGACGCGCGGCCGAACGAAAATGGGCGCCGCCGCGTTGAACGCGGTCGCGGGGGTGGAAAACCCCATGGGCGGCGGCGGGAAGCGGCTCGCGCGCGGCGCGGGTGGGCCAGGGCGGTCGCCGTACAACGAGCTCGCGAGTCGCGGCATGGGCGCGGTGGTTCGTTCGCCGCTGTCGAGCGTCCGGTGACGAACGCGACGGCGACGCGGCGGCGGAGAGGAAGCGAAGGGCGGGCACGCGCACGGGCGCGCGTGGTCTAATTATTCACGAGTCGACGGGGGCGGGGGGATGGGATGGGGGGAGACGTTCACCGAACGAAACGAACGCGCGTCTCGACGTTCGAACGACGCGCGCGTGACTGATTATTTTAGAGTAAAACAGGAGTTGCAAAATGTCGCATCTCTTCGCGCGCGTCGCCGCGTCATCGCTTGTACCCCGTCTTGTACGCCGCCTTCTCCGGCAACACGAAGCTCACGAGCATCATGTGCTTCCCCGGGGCGACGAGGCGCACTCTGCGGTACACGACGCCGTCGCCGAGCGCCTTGGCCGAGCGCCCTAACCCCAGCGCCTGCGCCGCGAGCCCCCCTATCTCGCCCTCCGGGTTCGTCGGGTGCTTCGAAAACGCGTACACGTTGATCCTCGGCAGCGCCTCGGGCGGCCAGACGTCTCGCGTGAACGCCCCCTTGAAGCAGTCCAGCAACTCGAGGCTGCCTTGCGGGAGGTTCATCACCGCCTGCGTGAAGCGCACGCCTTGAAGCTTGCCGTCGGCGTCGAAGCCGACCCTCGAGACGCGAAGCTCGACGGCGTCGCGCGCGTCCAAGCACGTGATCCCCGCGAGGCGTCTCTTCGGCTTTCCGTTTTTCTGATCGTTCACGCTGAGATAGTCGATCGCCTTCGGGTTGAGGTCGTTCGCGTAGACTCTCTCGCACTTCCGCGCGGCTAACAGCGCGATCGGGCCGACGCCCGCGCACAGATCGAGGACGACGTCGTCCGGGGAGAACGAGTCCACGAGCCTTTGGCGCTCCGTGCCGAGCCGCGAGTTCCAGTACATCGCGCGAAAGTCGAGCTTGTACAGCAGCCCGTTTTCGTTCACCTCCGTCTCCAACGGCGCGTTCGGTCGATCGTTCTTCGGCGCCCCCGCGAGCACCTCCATGTCGAACGTCCGGTACGGCCCGCCCGTCTCCCCGGTCTTGTTCACCACGACCTCGATCTGTTTCAGCTTGTCCACGAGCACCGCCGCCACCGCGGCTTTGTACGGCTCGTGTTCCTCTCTCAGGTTGAGGTGCGCGACGCGTCCAACCGTCTCGAACCCGACCGGGATCACGATCCCCGGCGGGATGATCCTCCGCAGCGCTTCCTCCGCGCTCAGCGCGTCGTACCCCAGGTGCATCACGTGCGTCGTGAGCGTCGCGGACGGGGTCTTCGCGAGCGCCTCGGTCACCGCGGGCGGGTAGTCGTCGACCGGCGCGCCCGCCGCGCACGACGCCTCCGAGAGGAGGATCAAGCTGTGCTCCCTTTCTTCGACGTCCGCGATCACCTTGTTCAGACGCGGGCGGTCCAGGGTGTGCTTCTTGATCGCCGCCATGAGCCCGCCGATCTCTCGCGTCGGCGCTCTGATCGCGGCGACGACGAGCTCGGTGTGGAATCGCTCGTCCGCGGGGTCGACGACGGGCGCGGACGGCGGCGACGACGACGATGACGTCGCCGTCCGCGACGACGACGCCGCGTCGGCGGCGTCCTGGTGGACGGAACGCGCGCCGCGTCCGTCGCCGCCGCCTCCGCCGCGCGCGACGCCGTGGCCGCCGCTCAAGGACCGGACGCTCGCGCGCGTGACGTGTTGCGCCCGCGCGGGCGCGTGATCAGGCGACGGCGACCGCGCCGGCGGCGACCGCACCGCGCGCCAGTGCGCGTTCGCGTGCGCGGACCCCGCCGCCCGTCGGGGCCCCGCGGTTCCGACGAGCCTCGCGCGCGCGCCCGCGCCCACGCGCGCGACGACGACGCGCGCGGCGGATGCCGACATCCTATCGACGACTCTCGGGACACGACGGCGCGCGTCCTCCCTCGCTGACGTCCCGCGCTCGCGCGCGACGGTCTGGCGGCGAGCGGGGATTCGGACCCGCGGAGGGAATTGCGAGTGGATAAAAAGCGCGCTCGGGTTCGTAGTAACACGTCACAAATTTATTCACGCCTGCACCTCACGCCTGCGCCGCCAGGACCATCGTGTTCACCCCGCACGACCCTTTATCTTTGCATATCTTGTAGTACCCCTCCTCGCCCCAACGCGCCCCCCACGAGTTCTTGATAAGCCAGAACGGCTCCCTCCGGAACCCCCTCGCGGGCGCCCGACCCTCCGCGCCGAACCCGACGATCAACACGCCGTGATCCAGACGCGTCTTATCGCACGCCCACGGGCACGCGACGCCGCGTCTGTACAGCTGCATCCACCGCGCGTCGATGCCGACGGAGAGCGGGCCGTGCTTCACGAGCGCGGCCGCGATCTGCGACTCGTCCGCGGACACGAACGAGTAGTTGGTTATGGTCGCCGCCGGCGGGCCGTCCTCTTTACTCTTACACCTCCCGTCGCCCCTCGCGCCGAGGTACGGATACGCCGCCTCCGCGTCCAGGCCGCCGCGCTTCACGACGTACGCCATCGCGTTCGCGGGTAAACCGCCGTCGCACCCGGAGTCGCACGCGGTCCCGGAGTCCGGGTCGCACGTGTGGTCGCAGTCCACGAGCTGTTGTTCGGACAAGGAGACGAGCGCGCCGGACTTGACGAAGTGGGCGCCCTCGACGGCGCCCGTCGCGGAGAAGCTCCAGCACGACCCGCACATCCCCTGGTTCTTCACCGGCGTCACCGCGCCCAGCGCTCTCCAGTCGAAGTTCAGAGGGATGTTCTCCGTGGGAAGGTGCGGGAGGACGCGCGATGACTCGTGTCGCTTGAGACGCTCCACGCGCGCCGCGTCGATCGGCTCGCGCATGAGAAGCGACGACGCGAACTCGTCCTCGGTGAGATCCGCGAACGGCGTCGCGCCGTACTCCGCGCCGTCGCGCGCGGACATCTCCTTCGCGCGCGCCATGTTCTCCGCGAATATTTCGAGGCGTTTCGCGTACTCCTTCGCGTCCGAGGCGTACGTCTTCCCGTGCTCGAGCACGAACGCGTCGAAGTCGCGCTCGTGTCGCGTCATCAGACGCCGAGACGCGAGGGGCGACGTCGACGCCCGCTCGTCGAGGCCGACGGAGAAGGACGACCGCCGCGCGCCGCGCGCGGGAGCGCACGCGGCGAGGAGGAGGACGACGACGAGCGCGACGCTCGCGCGGAGGCGGGAGAGGCGCGTCATGACGCCGTGCACCGCGGAGGCGCGACGTCGAGTGATGAAGGCTGACGAGGCGCCCCGTGATGGTCTGCCTACTGACGATGACGTCGGTCTCGGACGACGCGACGAAAACCACGACGCCCCCGACGCGTCCTCCTTCCCCACCCGACACTTCAGCACGCGCGCGCGGCACGATGCACTCGCTCGCGTCGACCGCTCTCCACGCGCGCGTTGTCCCGCCCGCCACCGCGTCGCTCCGACGACGGGCCGCGCGCGTCGCCGTCCGAGGCGCGCGCGCGGACAGAAAAAACAGAACGATGGGGAACGCCGTCGTCGCGATGGCGTCGTGGTGGGAGAACGCGCCGTTCCTTCCGAAAGAAGCGAAGCAGGCGGCGAAAGAGAACGAGTACTTCAACGGCATCCCGTTCCCGATCCCGCTGCCGTTCGTGAGCAAGCCAAAGGCGAAGACGCCCGGGCGCGCTGACCCCGCGGCGCCGGACAAGCGATACGTGCTGTTCGACTTCTCCGAGGGATCGGACGACGCGAAACCGGAGCGGTTCGACCGCGTCTGGGGCGCCCTGAACGACGTCGTCATGGGCGGCAAGTCCGAGGCCGCGGCGTCGATCGTGACCATCCCGAGCGCGGAGGGCGGCAAGTGCGCGAAGCTCAGCGGCGTCGTCGAGGGCGACGGCGGCGGATTCGTCAGCGCGCGGACGCGAAACTTCGTCTCGCCGGTGGACGTGTCGAGCTACGACGGCGTGCAGCTGCGGGTCCGCGGCGACGGGCGGCGGTACAAGCTCATCCTCCGCGACACCGAGGACTTCTTCGCGCTGTCGTACAGCGCCGGGTTCGACACGATCGAGGGGGAGTGGATCGACGTCGAGCTCCCGTTTGAAGATTTCGCGCCGGCGATGCGAGGGAATGAGGTGGCGCGCGGCGACAGCGACTACCGCGACTTGCGCGCGGACCGCGTGCGCTCGCTTCAGGTGATGCTGTCGAAGTACGGCAAGGGGATGGGGGAGCTGAACCCGACGTTCGCGTCCGGGCCGTTCGCGATCGAGATCAGGGAGATCGCCGCGTTTAAGAAGGACGTCGCGTTGGCCGCGACGGCGACGGCGGCGGCGTGAGGCGAGAGGCGGCGGACGAGACTCGGCGGCGGACGAGACTCGGCGGACGGAGACCGCGGCGGCGCCCGCGCGGGGACGCCGCGGGTGAGAACGACGAACGATACGACGCGCGCGCGTCGTGGCGACGCCGCGGAACGAACGAGAGAAGGAAGAATGAATGAGACGACGTGTAAGAACAGATACGCATGTACGCTACGCGTGAGACGCCCTCGCGTCCGCGATCGAGAGTCCTTCTCCACTCCTTACATAGGTCATCAATCTGTTCGTCGTCGTTTCTGTTGGCGGGAACCGATCGTCGATCGTCACGCGTCTAACACGTCGAGGTAGATCACCTCGACGTGGAGGTCCGGTTCGCCGGTATCCTTCATAGCGTTATTCTCGTGGTACTCGAACGGCTCCGGAATGACTTCTTCGTCGTCCTCCTCGCTCTCGCTCGCGTCGGAGTCCACTTCGTCGTCGCTCTCGCCGTCTAGAACCTCCATCGCGCGTTTCCCCTCGTCCGCCATGCGAACCGCCTCCCTCGCCGCGCGATTCGCCTTTCTCACGGAGTAGTACGCGCCGTGAATCTCCTTGTTGTACGTTTTCACTTCGTTATCGTGGTCCATTTCATCCTTCACGGTATCGCACGTGTACCAGGACACGACGAGCCAGGCGTAGTCCCCCATCGCGCGCGCGCGAACGGGAATGATTTGCCAACTGGACGACCGGGAAAAAATCTGCGCGAAACCGAAGGAAAAAATGATACGCGGCGAGGCGCGACGCGATATATTCGCTACGTCTAGTCGTATCATCACATCCTGATACGCATCCTATCCATCGCATCGCTCACTGATCCGCAGAGTCACGCACTAAACACGCGGGCAACCCCGCGGCGTGCGGGTCCATCCCCGCGCTGCTCACGATGCCGCACATCAGATCCACCGCCCGGCCGCCGTTCGCGTCGACGCTGTCCCACGTCTGCGCGGGAGAGCCGCACGCCGTCCACCACGCCTCGTCCTCCCTGCGACGCGACGTTTCATATTCATCATAATCTTCATCGTCTTCCTCTTCGACGTCGACGTTTCGTATCTCCGCGGCTCTGGTCGCGACGCGCTGGAGCAAATCCAACGCCGCGGTCGAGTGCGTCCCGTCGAGAAGCGACGCCACCGGGGCGAAGAGCGAGACGACCCTCGCGCCGCCGCCGCCGCCGCCGCCGCCGCCCGGGTGGCGCGCGTGCGGTTCCGCGGGGGCGTCGAACAACGCCGCGGCGGCGGACCCTCGCGCGCGCGCGGTGAGCGAGGATAACAGCGCGAGAGCAGCCGCGGCCGCGGCGGGACCGACGCCGTCGCCGCCGCCTTCGCCTTGAGACGCGGCGACGTCGACGAGGACGCGCGTCGCCGCCACCGCGTGTCGCGGGAAGAAAAACTTCGCGAGCGGCGCCGCGATGATCTCCGCGAGCCTCGCCACGCGCGGGGTCCCGGGCGGCGAGGGCGGCGGGTGCGGCGGGAGAGGCCTCGAGAGTTTCTTCGGCTTGACCGCGTACCGCCGCCGGCCACCGCCGCCGCCGCCGCCGCCGCCGCCAGACGACGCCGCCGCCGCCGCGCGTCTCGGCGGCGGGAGAATAGACTCGAGCGTCGCCGCGAGGACGTCCATGTTCTCGTTCGCGCCGCCTCGTCCGCCGCGGATGCCGGACGCGAGCCATCGACCCGCGGCCGCGCCCTCGCGCGTGCCCAGCGGACCAGCTTTCGCGCGCGCGATCGTCGCCGCCGGGGACGCGGACGCGCTCGATCCCCCGCCCGACGCGTCGTCGCCGTTTTCGGTCCCCGCCGCCGCCGCCGCCGCCGCCGCGCCGCCGCCGCCGCCGGCGTCTTCTTCCTCCTCCGCGGCCGCCGCGGCCGCCAACACCAACGGAAGCAGCCCCGCGGTCGCGAGTGCGAGCCCGCGTTCGCCGCCCCACGCGCGCCGCTCGCACCCCGCGGACGACACGATCGCGGTGAGCGCGCGCGCGGCGTGCCCGACGCTTTCGCCTCGGACGAACCCCTTCAGCAAGAGCGGGATCACGTCTCGAAGTCCCATCGCGGGCGCGGGCAACTCGTACGGAGGCGCCCACGCGCCTCGGAACGCCTTCGGGCCTTTCCCGGACGTCCAGATCAACTCCGCGACCGCGCTGACGCGCTCGATGACCGCGCGCGCGTCGTAATTCGACCCGATCGGCAGCGGCGACGCGACGCGTAAGATCTCCGCCCCCGCGCCGGAGGGGTCGTCGAGCGGCCACGCGGACGCCATGACGGAAAACAACTTCGCCGCGCGCGCGTACAGGGACACGTTCATAGTCCGCAAACACGACGCCGCGCCCCACAGGACGTGCGGGTACGGCACGATCTCGATCTCGCTGCCCGCCCGCGAGAGCATTTCCGAGAGCGTGTCCAGGAGTAAACCGGCGAGGTCCGCCGCGAGCGACGCGCTTCGAGCGGAGATGACCATCCCGCCGCCGCCGCCGCCGCCGCCGCCGCCATACATTCCGCCGTACCCTGAACCGCGGCCGTACCCTAAACCGTTCGCGACGGTCCCGCCCTCCGCTGCCGCCGCTGACGAGCACAACGCCGCGAGAAGCGCCTCGGACGATTCCACGTCGAGAGGGACTTTCAACGCCGCGAGCACGCGCGCGGACGCGGCGGCGAGAGGAAACGACGCCGCGCGTAAAAGCCAACGCCGCGCCTCGTCTGCCCACTGCTCGCGTAAACCCGGCTCGAAGATCATCGCGTCCGGGAGGAGGCCGACGAGCGACGCCACGGACTCGGGCGTCCACGACGCGCCGCCTTCGCTCGCGCTGTGCCCGCCGCCGCCGGGGGCATGTTTAACGCCCGCGGCGGAGACGTTTTCTTTCCCGGCGCCGCCCGGGCCCGGCCGCGCGAGCAACGCCTGCAGCTTGGCCACCGCGGCGCGTCCCCTCGCGTCGTCGTCGTCGTTCGTCGCGTCGCCGCCACCGTAGCTCCCTCCCAGCGCGTTCACGCCGCCTTGCATCCCGATCCCGGAGTGGTGGCCCGCGTCCGCGCCGTACCCGAACCCGCCGACGTCGTTCGGTGCGCCCCACGCGGACGCGTTGGCGTGACTCGACCCCGACATCCCGCCGCCGTGCGACCCGTGACGCGTCCCTTGCCCGGGCGAGCCCGCGATCCCCGCGTACCCCCACTGCGAGACTTCGCCCTCCCAACCGCCGTTCACGCCCGGGCTCGCGGCGTGCGCGGGCGCCGCGTGCGACGGCGCGAGCGACGCGGAGCGATGAAACGCCCCGTTCGCGTGGACCCCGCCTCGCGCGGATTTCCCGCGCGCGCTCAGCGGCCGCGCCGCGAGCGCGTGCGTTAAATTCGCGAGCAGCTGCCGGCAGTGCGCCCGCACCGTGGGCTCCGGCGACCCCAACAGCGTCGCGGTGACCGCGTGTAAGAGCACGGGGAGGTGCACGCGGAAGTCTTCGTCGTGCTCCGCGGCGACTTCCGCGAGGAGGATGATCGCGAGGTCCGGCGCGGTGATGAGCATCGCGCCGTCTTCGTCGTCGTCGCCGCCGCCGCCGCCGCCGTCCGCGTCCGCGCTCAGGTCGCTCCGGTCCGCGCCGAAGCTGCTGACGCTCCCGGCGACGATGCTCCCGCCGCCGCCGCCGCTCCCGCCGCCGTGGAAGTAACGCTGCCGGTCGTCGTGAATCGGTCGCGGGGGGTAATCCACCTCGAGGCCTCTGAGAGAGATGGCGTACACGAGCTGATCGATCGACTGCTGCGGCGCCGCTCTCGCGAGGTACAAGCACACCCTCTTCGCGGTGAGGACGTACGTCCCGATCGCGACCGCGGAGGACGTGTCCTCTAACCCTTTCGACTCGAGGAACCGCAGTGCGGGGACGACGTTCCTCGGGGACCGTCCGATGTGTCGCCACAGCGTTTCGATCTCGCGCGGGAACGCGTCGCCGCGGAAAAACGTGACGAAATACAACGCGCGAAGGAGACGCTCGGCGCGCCCGGCGGCGGCGATGTGCGGCAGGTGCAACGTCGCGACCCAGGGCGCGAGCGCCGCGAGGACGTGCCTGTGCGCGCCCGCGTCCGCGGCGCCCTCGTCCATCTGCCGCTCCAGAGCTTCCACGAGGAGGTCCTCGCCGAGGTTCGAGTGCCGCCGCGCGAGCTGCCGCGACGCGCCCTGTTGAAACGCCTGGTACGCGTCTGGGAGCTCCGGCAACGAGTCCTGCGACGTGAGCTCCGCGATGAGATCCTTCTCGCCGAGGATCGCACCGCCGCGGTCGTCAACATCGCCGTTCCCTCCCACGCCGCTGAGCTCTAACGCCGCGGTCGCTTTCAGCAGCGCGACGGCGTCGTCTCTCACGCCCGCGGAGGGATGCACGAGCTTGTACAGGACGAGAACGATCAACCTCGCCGGGTGGCACGACGGCGGGTCCACGCGTCCGCCGTCCGCGTACGCCCGCGCCGCCGCCGCGGCGTTCCACGCCCCGGACGCCATCGGCGACAGCGGCGGCGACGCCGCGTTGCTTCGATCGGCGTGAGAGCTTCCCTCCGCGGCGGTCCTCGCCGCGGCGGCGTACAGATCCGCTAGCGCGGAAAGGTGCGACGCCGCGGTGCGCTCGTGCGCGGAGTAGCACGCGTCGAGCGCGGTGTGCGCCAAACGCGGGTTCGCGCCGAGGTGGTACCGCAACGCTCTTCGCGCGACCGCGGCCGCGGACGCTCTGCCGGACTCGAGCAGGCTCCTGATCCACGTCAACACCCGCCCGGTCGCTTGCTCGGAGTCCGCGTCGAACGCGGGGCCGGCGAGGAGCGCGGCCATGGCCTCTCGAGACGCTCGCGACACCGCCGCGGGCGAGATGCCGGCGTCGAAAGCGCCGGCGCCGGTCGCGGACCGTCCGCCGACGCTGCTCACGTCGTCGCTGTAGCGGCTCGCGTCGTCGGCGGCTCGGTCTCGGTCTCGGTCTCGGTCTCGATCGTCGCCGCCGTCGTGCGAGTGCGAGCTCGGCGGCGGGAGACCGAGCGCGGCGCGGTCGATCCCGCCGCTCATCGCCGCCATGGACGCCGCGGGGCCGCGCCATGCGCTGAGGATGTTCTCCGCGTAGCGATCCCCGCCGCCCCCGCCCCCGCCTCCGCCGCCGCCGGTGACGGAGACGGAGTCGTCGCCCGCGATGGAACCGCCGTGCGTGGACCCTCCCTCCCTGAAACTATCGCGACGCCGGTGCCGCGAATGCGAATGCGCGCGGGAGAGCGAGGATAACGACGTCGAGCCGCTGTCCATGCTGCTCAAGGACGCGGCGCCGTGGAGATGACGCTCGAGCATGCTCATCCTCGCGAGCGGGTCCATGCTGTGCCGCCGGTCGTGCGAGATCCTCTCGTGGATGGACGGGAAGTTCCCGCCGCCGCCGCCGCCGCCGCCGCCGCCGTCGCTCGCGCCCTCCGCCATCGCCTTCTGCTCCCAGCCGTGGAAGCGTTCGAACAGACGCGCTCGCAAATCCGGCGGCGCGGCGTCGGGGGCGCGGGCTAATATTTGCGGCGCCGCCGCCGTCGCCGTCGCCGCGGCGGCGAACTGCAACCGAGCCATCTCGTCCGGGGAGCACTCGATCGCCGCGGACGTCGAGTGCGCGTACGCCACGGTCGCGTCCACGAAGAAGAGCAAGTGCTTCGCGACAGCCTCTCGCCCGGTCTGCGCCGCGGCGACGGCGCCGCCCGCGGCGAGACGAAAGTGCAACCACGCGAGGTGCGTCCTCAGCTCCAAGTCTTCCTTCTTGCGATCGAACGGCGTCCCCCCCGCGGCGCGCTCGGACCCGACGCCGCCGCTCAGCGCGCCCTGCAACGGCGCCAGCGCGGCGAGAAGCTGCGGCGCCGCGAGCGCGGGCACTCGCGCGAGCACCGCCGCCGCCGCCGCCGCCTGCGCGCCGCCCTCGCGTAAACACGGCACGAGCAGCGCGAAGAGCCCGCTCAGAGATCCGCGGTTCCCGACGAGCGTCTGCTGCACGCTCGCGAGCGACACGGACGCGCCGTCGAGCTCCGACGGCGACGCCGCACACACGAAGCACGTGCAGTTCCGCCACATCTCAAACTTCACCGTGCTCGGGTCGATCGGCGCGCGCGGGCCCGCGGTCTTGTGCTGCAGCCCCTCTTGCATCATGATCGCCTGGACGCGTTGCAACGCTTGCGCGCGCGCCGTCGTCGTGACCTCCGGGCTCAGCGCCGCGGCTCTCGATGCGAGAACGCCGAGGGACGCGCACCACGCGCCGCCGTGGACGTGCCCGGCGACGGCGGCCGCGCCCGCGGCGGCGGCGGTCGCGGCGTGCGCGCCGACGTCGCCGGCGGCGCCGAATCCGGCGCCGAATCCGTCGCCGCCGAGCGCGGCGAGCATCATGTCCGACGCGCACTGCTCGACGACGCTCGACATCGACGGCGCGGTCGCGGTCGCGGAAGCGGCGGACGCGTCGTTTCTCCCCGGGTCCCTCGCGTTGAACGGCGTCGCGCGCAACGACACGGGCGACGGCGACGCGTGCGCGCTCGCCCCCGCGCCGCCGGCGACGACGACGCCGCCCGCGCGTCGCAACGCCGCCGCGAGCGCGGCGACTTCGCGTAACATCTCCACCGCGGCGACGCGCACGACCGGGGACGGGCTGCACAACAGGAGCAACCCCGCGGCTTCCGGTCTGAGCGTCCCGAGGGTGTTACACTCCACCCACGCCGCGGTCCTCTCGCTCGTGGACGCGCTCGAGCTGCTCTCGGACTCGCCGAGGGCGACGCGCCACGCCGCGCACGCGTCCTTGATCGTCGCCGCCGCGGACGACGCGACGTCGACGTCCGTCAACGCGACGCCCGGCGACGCGTTCACCGCGGAGTGCGGCCGCAGCAACGTCCCGGCCGCGCCCTGGACGATCGCGTCTCTCGTCGCCGGCGTCGCCGCGACGGCGCGTCGAATCGCGTCGCCCGCGGCCGCGCGCACGGACGCGTGCGGGTTCGCGCACAGCGGCGTTATCGACTCTCCTAGCGCGGCGCCGCGCCACGCCTCGGGGACGATGAACGGCACGCATCGAAGCAACGCGACGGCGACGGCGACCGCGTCCGGGGAACTCGGGTTCGAGGACGCGCCCAGAGCGGACGCGACGCCGCCGAGCTTCGCTCGTAAGTCCTCGAGCATGCGCTCGGCCGCGATTTGCGCGCCGGTGCCGTCGCCGCTCTCTTCTTTTTCTTGATCGCTGATCCGTTTGACTAACCCCGACAGCGGATCCAATCCGGAGTCGCGCATGCACTGTAAAACCCCGGCGAGCCCAGGCGCGGGCGGCTCCGCCGAGCTCGACGCCTCCGCCCCTGGCCCAGGAGGCGGCCGTTTCCCTCGCCACCGCTCGGACGTGAGCAGAATGATCCCCGGGACCGCGTCCAACCCGGCCGCGGTCGCCTCGCCGACGCCGCCTTCGCGTAGCAACTCCACGACGACGTCCGCGCTGAGTAACGGGTCCACGCGCACCATCGCCGCGGTCGCGCGCGCGACGGCCGCGGCGAGGCCGCCGTCGTCGCCTTGACCGCCTTTCTTCACCGCGGCCGCGGCCATCGTCAGCGCGGTCCGAAGCCGCGTGCGCGTGACGTTCGGTAGCGGCGGCGCCGGCGGCGACGGCGCGCGCGCTCCCGGGAGCAACGGCGGCGCGATGCCCTCCACGATCGCTCGTAACGCCTCCGTCGCGGCCGTTCTACAGCTCCGCTCCTTAAACGCGCGCACGATCGTCGTGTCTAAAAACGCGTGCAGCATGTTCCCGCCGTCGCCGCCGCACAGCGCCTCCGCGGCGTGCAGCGCGCCCAACAGAGGCAACCCCGCCGGCGAGTGTTTCTTTTCTTTGCTCTTGATCCACGCAGCGACGTCGCCTCGACACGCGCTCACGGCGTCGGCCCAGTCCGCGCGCGCGGCGGACGACGCCGCGTCCGGCACGCGCGCGCCCGCGACCGGGGCGAGCACCGCGGTCAACAGCGCGCACAGCGCGTGTCGTAAGTCCGACTTTCTGTGCGCGGGGGACCACGCCGTCGGGTTGAGGTGCCGAAGCACCGTCGCCGCCGACCGCAGCCCGCTGTCCGCGGCTTGCGTGCCCAAGAACCCCTCCCGGCGCGTCGCGGTGGACGGACCGGGCGCCGCGCCGTCTAAGGACACGTACAGGTACCTCGCGCCGTGGATGATCGCGTGCGCTTCCGCGCGTTTCGACTCCGCCGGCGCCCTGGGTTCGAGCTCTCGCGCGGCGCGCTCCGCCGCCGCCGCCGGGTCGTGCCGCGACGCGAGGCCCAGGCACCTCGCCGCGAGCTCCGAGACGGGCGGGGACGGGACCAGGTCCACGGGCGCGGCCGCGTCGTGGGAGCCGCTGCCGGACAAGGAGGCGCCCGCGGCGTCGGCGTCGGCGTCGAGGGCGCCGCCCGCGAGCGGCCGTCCGCCCCACTGCTCCCACGGCGGCGTCGTCGCGTTCGGTCGATTCGCGCTCGCGAGCAGCGCGTCGAACGCGGCGTCGAGTATCGGCGCGACGTCCCCCGGCGGGAGCGCGCCGGGCGGCAACGGCGCGAGGATGCGGTGCATCGCGTGCCAGAACGCGAGCGAGAGCGTGTTCGAGGCCCAGGACACGTCCCGCCCGCTGCCGGAGACGAGCGCGCGCTGTTGTTGCTCTCGCCATCGCGCGAGCGCGCGCGTGAGATGGGACGCGCCCGTGGGCGCGAGCGCGGCGAGCGCGGGGAGGAAGTCCCTCAGCGCGGCGAGGCCCGCGTTCTTATCCTGCCCATCGCCGGGTCCCTGCGTGGGACGCGTTGGGATGGGGAGGGCGTGAAAGGGGGCGGTGAGTCGAGGAGAGGCGGGGGACACAGAGGCGGGGGAGAGGCGGGGGATCGGGGAGGAATTCTTTCGCTCGTCGACGACGACACGACGACGAGGCGCGGGGGTGCCCATGCGGCGGAGGACGGGAGGAGGGATCCGTCCTAGCTAGTGGACGCGAGCGAGCGGGTTCTCGACGCACCGCGTTCAGGATCGCCACGACGCTGTTCGTGTACCTCGCGAGGAGCGCCTCCGTGAGGTCCATGCTTCCCGCCCCGGCCCGGCGCGCGACCCCCGCGCGCCCGACTCTGACGAGGGTGCTGCGATTTCCCGCGCCGTCTGCGTCTGGTCGAACAGAAACACGAACGAGAGCGCGCGAGCTGTCACTCGCGATCGCGCGTCGCGAATCGTTCGACCATGGCCCCTCCGCCGCAGCCGAAGCCGCCGACGCGCTGGCCGCGCGTCGGCGTCGGCGTCCTCATCGTCAAGGGCGACACGATCCTCGTCGGCAAGCGCAAGGGGAGCCACGGCGCCGGGCAGTACGCCCTCCCGGGCGGGAAGCTCGAGTGGAAAGAGACGTGGGAGGCGTGCGCGCGAAGGGAGGTCCTGGAGGAGACCGGGATCGTCCTGAAGGGTCCGGTGGAGTACGCGCACACGTGCGAGGCGGTCATCGACGAGGATAACCACTGGATCACGGTCTTCATGCGCGCGGAGGTGACGCGAGCGACGCAGCCGGTCAACTTGGAGCCTGACAAGTGCGAGGGATGGGAGTGGGTGAAGTGGGACGGCGTGGGGATGCCGCGGTTCAAGCCGCTGGACATCATCTTAAACTCGAGGTACACGCCGTTCGCGCCCGCGGAGGAGGGCGGCGCGGAGTGACGGTCGATCGGACGAGGGAGGGCGATGACCTGATGTGCTATAGCGAGTATAATCTACCTATGACGACGACGCGAACGACGCGACGACTGGACGACGACGTCGCGCGCCGCCGCCGCCGCCGCCGCCGCCGTCGTCGAATATTCCGCCGGCGCCGCCGCTCGCGTCGCGTCACAGCGCGCTCCACTCCTCCCACAAGCTCGCGTGGTGCAAGTCCGGGTCCGTGACCCTCCACAACCCCGCGGTGAACAGCGCGATCCCGCACGCGTACGCGGCGAGCACGACCGCCTTCCTCTCGTGCGCTACGGCCCCTTCGACGTCGGGAAAACCCACCACGTTGCAAAACGCGTGAGACGCCATCGCCCCCGCGATGCTCCCCGTGCGCAACAGCGTGAACGCGGCGAACCACCCGAAGACGACGGTGTACGTGAACTGCGCGACGACGCTCACCACCGCGACGAGGACACCGAAGCGCGCGCACGCCTCGCCGAAGTGGTGCAGATGCGCGAGCCCGAAGAACACCGGGCACGTCCACGTCGCGCGCATCGGCGTGAAGATCCGCGCCGCCGGCGCCGACCAGCGGCCGCACAGGATCAACAGCGGCGCCATGCACGCTCTGAACGCGAACTCCTCCGACACCGGGGCGACGACGTAGTTCCTCAGTTTCAACACCGTGTCGATTCTGAACGCGTCGGCGAAGGTGGAGACGAGCTTCCCGTCCAGCGCCAGGTGCGTCAGCGGCCCCAAGAAGAGCGCGGCGGTGAGGTACATCACGCACGCGACGCTGAGCACCGCGTCCACGACGGCGTCGATGGCGTCCGCGTCCGGGCGCCCCAGCCCCAGGACGTGGAAAGTCCCGGCGAGGTTCGCCGCGCGGCTCCCTCGCGAGTGCTCGTCCCTGATGCAGACGTACGTGGGCACCCAACACATCGCGAGCGTCATCGCGAGGCTCAAGAATCGTCTTTTGATCGTGTGCGGGGAATCGCGCGGATGCGGCGACGGCGGCCAAATGTACAGGCCCCCGACGAACGCGATCGTGATGAAGAGACACTGCGCGACGCCGTACGTGCCGTTCGCCTTCAGCGCGTCGATGATGGCTCGCATCCCCATCGCGGCGAGACGACCGCCGCGCGGGGAATGCCCACAGCGCGCTGTCGCGTTGTTACCCTAAAATAATTTATCGGTGCTGACGATGACGAAACGCGTGAAAGAAGGAGGAGGCGAGAGGACGCGTCGTCGCGCGCACACGCGTTGACGCGTATCGTCTCGGTTTATGCACGCCGCCGCACTTTCCGCGCGCGTGACCCTCGCCGCTCGCCCGGTATCCACCGCGCGCCGCGCCGTCGCCCGCCGCGTCAGCACCGCCGCCATGGCCAACTTCCATTCCCTCAGCGCGAAAGATATCGACGGGAACGACGTCGATTTCGCAAAGTTCAAGGGCAAGGTGTGCCTCGTCACGAACGTCGCGTGTAAGTGAGGCGCGACCCGCAGCAACTACCAGGAGATGTCTGCGATGGCGAAAGAGCTCGGACCGAAAGGTCTCGAGATCATCTGCTTCCCGTGCAATCAGTTCGGGAGGCAAGAGCCCGGGAGCAACGAGGAGATAAAGAAATTCGTCGAGGAGAAGTTCGACTTCAGCGGCCCCGGAGTGAACATGATGGATAAGATCGACGTGAACGGCGCGAACACGTCCCCGGTGTGGAAGTGGCTCAAAGAGCAACAGCCCGGGGACGTGTCGTGGAACTTCGCCGCGAAGTTCATCATCGACAAGGACGGGAACGTCGTCGAGAGGAACGGCTCCGGTGCGGGGGATTCCAAAGCCAAGCTGACGTCGCTCCTGTGAGCGCGTCGAGCGAGCGCGTTCCGTCACCGCTAGCGCGCGACGACGCGTGCGCGTCCCCGCGAAACGGACGCATCGACAGATGATACGGCCTGGTATCCTGACCATCTGTTCGGGCGTTTGGCGCTCCGCGCGCGACTCCACTATGAACCCGACACCTTCAAAAGGGCACACGCCCGCGGTGTAAGGGCGATTCCAATTGGAGAAGCGCGTCGCGTCCCGGAGGATCGCGCGTCGAAAGTCGCAGAAAAACAAACTAAACACATCCTGAGCGTTCTGTTCTACTGTAATCTAAACTACGACAGTCGTTCACTCACGCGAGCTTCCCCAATCCGTCTCGCGTGTTGAACCCGCTCGCGCTCGAGAACGTCGGCATCGCCCCCAGAGAGCTCGCCGTCAACGCCGAAAACGCGCCGACCATGAACGCGAACGGCAAAACCACGATCCACTTCAGCACGCGGTAATACCGCATGTGGAACGACACCGAGTACGAGTCCTCCGCGTTGAGTCGCGTGGCGTCCGCGACGCGCACAGTGACCCTCCCGCGCCCGCGCGCGTTCGGGACGTCCACGCGCAGCGAATACGTCCCCGGGGTCTCGAACGTCGCGGCGACGCGACGCGAAAAGTTTGGCGCCGTGATCGACACGACGACGGCGTACGGCCCGTACTTATACACGGCCGGGGTCCTGGCCTTCCGACCTCCGCGCCCCCGGCCCTCGCGGACGTCCACGATCTCAAACGCGACGTCCATCGCTTTCCCTCGAACGTCGTGGTACCCTCGGTCCAACGCCCGCACGCCGTACCACCCCGCCCTGGCGACCATGTTATTCCCCGCGTGCACTTGCGACGGCCACGCGTTCATCGGGTCGTACGGCGAGTTCAAACTCTCGTACGCGTACACCACGCCGTTCATGGACGCGATGATCAGATCGTTCTTTCCGTCGCCGGTGAGGTCGTCGAGGAGAGGCATCGCGTACGACGTCTCCCCGACGTCGATCACGTCGACGCACGCGCGCGCGCCGTCGATGACGTACACGTACCCGTCGAACGAGTTCACGACGAGGGATAGACCGCCGGGCGAGCCGCGCGCGCGCGCCGGGTCGGATGCGGACGCGGATCCTAACTTCGCGAGCAGCACCGGGGACATCACGCGTCCCCTCGTGTAAAACGGAAACGGCGGCTTCGGTTTGCCGGTCGCCGCGGACAACACGTGCACCGCCCCGCTCGAGGTGCCGACCGCGAGTTCGAGCTCGCCGTCGCCGTCGACGTCCCCGAAGGTCACGCCCTGGGATATGAGCGACGCGAGGTGCGTCTCCCACACCTCCGTGGCGTCCCTTCGAAACGCGGCGACGCTCCCTCGCGTGTCCGCGGCGACGAGCTCTAGGTATCCGTCGCCGTCCACGTCCGCGGCGGCCACTTGGCCTTGAATCTCCCCCATCAGAATCGGCCAGCGTTTCTGCGTCGTGCCGTCGTGCCTCAGGACGTACAGAAAACCAACCGAGGTCCCGAGCGCGATCTCCAAGTACCCGTCGCGATCTATGTCGACCACCGTGGGGGCGCTGTACATGTACGCGCGGTACGACACCGCGTCCGTGGACAGATCCAAGTGCGTCTGCCATCTCATCTCCAGGGTTTCCAAATCCGCGACGTAGACCCCTCCCGCGACGTACTTCCCGATGTCCACGTTCACGCCGAGCTCCGCCGCGTGCGCGGGGTTATCGTAGTATTCCTTGTCGTAAAAGTACGACACGCTGAGGATGATCTCATCTCGCCCGTCGCCGTCGAGGTCCGCGATGGCGGGCGTGCACAACAGGTGCGCGTCCACGAACACGTACTCGTCCTCGTGTTCGTGCCTGTGCGCGGGTTGAACGAACGCCTCGTCGTCCCACCCCGCTCTGCGACGCGTCCCCGGCTTCGACGGCGCCGCGTACGACTCCGAGTCGGAGTTGGAGCTCGAGCTCGCGTCCGCGTCGTCGCCGTCGCCGTCGCCGTCGGTGCCGTCCCAAAACGCGTCGTTTTCCTCGTCCCCGCCGCCGACAATCTCCGAGAGCTGGTCGCGGTCGTACCCGAACGACGTGCTGTGCGCGCTCGGCGCGTCGTCGTCCTCGCCCGTCCCTCCCAAACCTTCCGGCTCCACGCGCTCCTCGTCCGCGTCGTCGCCGGCGTCCGCGTTGTCGAACACTTTAAAGGACGCCGCGGCGTTTCGCGTGAGCCGCCGCCCGCCGTCGTCCGCGCCCGGTCCTCCTCCTCCTCCTCCTCCTCCTCCTCCTCCTCCTCCGTTCGTTTGCAGCATTGCCCTCGCGCGGCGGCGTCGCGCTTCGTGCGGCGGCGCGCGCGTTCCCGCGTCCTTCTTCTTCTCCGGGGCTTTAAACCCGCTCTCGAAGCGCTCGTCGTCCTCCGCGCCGACGTCCGCGCGCGCGTGGTCGACGTGGTCCGCGGCGAGGCCGACGTGCCAGTCCCTCCTCACCCGCAATCGCGGCACGCGCAGCGTCTTCTCCAGCCTCTCCCCCGCGTGGTCGTAGAACCGCACCTCGCCGTCGTACGTCGGCAGCAGGATCGTCGTCCCTGCTGAGGACGAGTGATGCACGAGCGGCGACGCGTGCGCGGTGCTCTCGTGGAACGACGGCCATCGCCCCCCCGCGCGAGCGCCGTCCTCGCCCTCGAGCACCTCGAGGTAGTGCACGAACGACGGGACGACGATCTCCTTGTGGCCGTCGTCGAACAGGTCCGTGACGACCGGCGTCGCGTACACGGAGCTGCTCACCTCGGTCTGCCATCGAAGGCGGAGGTTCGCCGGGCAGACGTCCCGCGGGATCGCCGCGAGCTCGTCGTCGTGCGCGTCCGGCTTCGCCTCGCGATCGAGGTACTTGTTCGCGTCGGCGTCGCGCGCGAGGTGGTCGTCCCTCGCGATCGGCCGCGACAGCTGCGCGTTCGCGACGGACGAGATCCCGAGGAGGAGGAGGACGAGCGTCGCGAGCGGCGTCGAAGCCGACCGCGACGTCATCGCGGCGGCGGCGGCGCGCCGATGCGCTGTGGCACGACGCTTCGTTTCATCGCGCGATAAAAATCGCAATCGCGCCTCATCACGTGAAGCAAGTTCAAAAGCGCGCGAAATCTCAGAGATCTGGGCGCGCGGGACCTCGCGCCATGAGCGGCATCGCGCGCAGCAGGCTCATGGAGGAGCGGAAGGTGTGGAGGAAGGACAAGCCGCACGGTTTCTACGCGCGGCCGGTCACTGTCGGGGACGGCAGCGTCGACATCTTGAAGTGGGAGTGCCAGATTCCGGGCAAGAAAGACACGGACTGGCACGGCGGGTACTACCCGCTCACGATGGAGTTCTCCGAGGACTACCCGTCCAAGCCGCCGAAGTGCAAGTTCCCGGAGAAGTTCTTCCACCCGAACATCTACCCGAGCGGGACCGTGTGCTTGTCGATCTTGAACGAGGACGACGGATGGCGGCCGTCGATCACGCTGAAACAGATCTTGCTCGGTATTCAAGAGCTCCTGAGCACGCCCAACAGCGCGTCGCCCGCGCAGAGCGAGGCGTACATGATGTTCACGACGGACGAGAAGCAGTACAAGATCAGGGTGAGGCAGCAGGCGGCGAAGTATCCGATCGCGTGATATCATACAGTAGTGGGTGTGGGGGGAAGCGCGGGGGGGCGAGTTTCATAGCGGATTGGATTTGTGACGCGAACGCAAGAGTGTTTAGCATCATCGCGACGCGTCGTTCGTTTCGCAACCTCGCACGCGCGTCGATTGCATCGGTGTCTATGTCTCTCTACTAAGTCGCCGCCGTCGTCGTGCGAGGTTTATTACTCCGCGTTTGGCTCGAGTCTTCGCCGACCGAACGCCTCTCGCTCCTCCGCGCCACGGCACGCGTCTCTCCTCCGTCCGCCGCCGCGTCCGCCCCTCCGCTCGCCTCGTTCGCGTCCGCGTCCGCGTCCGCGTTCGTCGCGTCGCGTCGCGTCGCCCGCCGCTCGCTCACTGATCCCGCACCTGCGCGTACACCGCCTCGGTGATGATCGGAATCTCCGGGTAAATACCCTGAATCACGTTCCACATGCAGTACCCGATCGCGAGGAGCGCGTTCGTGAGCGTCCCGAGCTCCAGGATGTCGCCGATGAACGACGTCGTGATGTACATGGGGAGGTACTGCATGATGAGCCCGGCGAGCATGACGCAGATGTCGAGCAGGATCGCCTGCATGGTGTTGTACCGCACGAAGTGCGGCATCGTCGTGTTCCTCACCACGGTCAGGAACAGGGTGAAGAACGTCACGAACGGGATGAACGAGTTGCTGTAGAAGATCTGGAGCAGCGGCGAGATGGCGAGCGCTATGTTGATGCAAACCGGGTACGCCATGAACGCCTCGCCCGTGAACGCGATCGCGCCCATGCACGGGATGAGGTACGGCAGCAGCGATAGCGCGCGGTGCTTCAGTTGCGCGTGGATCTGTGCGAGGAATGGGACGCGCGCGGGTCAGTCGTCGTCGGCGTCGGCGCCGGCGCCGGCGAAAGTTCGCTCGTCCGGGAGCTTCGCGGGTTCGACGAAACTCGAGCGCGAGAGGCGCCTCGAGACGCACCTTGCCCTTGTTCGGGTTCTTCCCGAAGAAGATCTCCCAGAAACCTTTGGGGTCTTCCTGGAACCGCGGCATGCCCGGGGGGATGTCGCCGACCTGCGCGACGACCTGAGAAGCAGAGGGGACGGACGGATGGAGGCGTCAGCGAGATGCACACCCTCCTCGCGCGAGTAACGATTAACCCTAGGTTACCGGAGCAAATGCGCGACGGAGACGCGCGACGCACCGTCCCCCTTCGCGTCTTACGAGCCATCGAGACGCCGCTCGGGACTCCAACATCGTCGTTCATCGTCTCCACGCCCGCGTGTCGCGGCGCGCCGGTCGTGGACCCGCGCATCCCGCGAGGTTTCCCCGCCGGGGCCGCTCCCGCTCGCGCGCATCGCTTCGCGGCTTTCGATTTCGCGCGCGACGGCACCGCGGACGCGAGCGAGAACGCGCGCGATGTGGACGCCATCGTTCGTGAAGCTGGCTTTCACGTCGCGTGTGCGGACGACCGAATCCGTCCCGTGCGCGGCGCGAGCCTGCACGTCGTCGCTCGCGCGTGGAGCTGTGTCTCCGGCGTCGTCCGCCGTCCGCTTTCCAACCGGCTTTCCACCGAACTTTCTGTTATCATGGCAGTGCATCTGCAGTGACCTTCTGCAGTGGGTCGCAGTGGAACTTGAGCGGCTTCGCCGATCCGTTTTTCACCCACCTCTCGGTGTCACGCTCCGATCGAGACGCCTTTCAATTGACCGATGCATCACGATCAACTGAGACAGTCTGCGGGACAGCTGGCCGCGATTTCCTGGTGGATCTTTTCGCCACGCTGGATACGCAGGACGTGTCGTGTCGCGCCTCGCGCGCCGACAGATCCACGGCGCACACCTCGACGCACGTCGGTACGAACGAAATGGCATCCTCCCTCGCGTCATCCTCCGCGCTCGGGCTCAAGTCCGTCGCCGCCGCGCGCGTCGCGAGCTCCGCCCCGCGCCGCTCCGCGGCGGTCGCGCGCGCGCGATCGGAATCGTCGTCGTCAAATGTCGATGACGTGCAATCCGTCGTCGTCGACGCCGCGTCGCCGGTCGTGAACCGCCGCGCGGCGCTCACCGCGGGCGCGGCGTCCCTCGCGTCCCTCGCGGCGGCGTCCCCCGCGTTCGCCGGGATGTTCGACGGCATGGAGATGCCCGACCTCGGCGGCGGCGACGTGAAAGCGAAGCGCGAGATCAACCTTCCAGAGCTCGTGATCGAGCCCATCCCGCGCGAGGAAGGCTACCCGCTCGCGAACGGCGGCGAGAAGACCAGGGCGCAGGGGCAGTACATCAAGTTCATCGAGCCGATCATCGTGGAGAACATCGACCTGCCGTTCAGCGAGTACATGAGGCTCGCGCTTCACGACGCCGGGACGTTCGAGGTGGTCGGTAAGAAGAACGGCGCGAACGGTTCGATCCGCTTCGAGCTCGACCGCCCGGAGAACCAGATCTGCAAGAGGGCGTTCGAGTCCGTCAAGAAGATCAAGGCTGCGATCGACGCCAAGGTGGACCAGCCGATCTCGTGGGCGGACGTCATCGCGATCGTCCCGCAGTTTGCCGCGCGCATCACGTTCAAGGAGGAGTACTACGAAGAGATGGGCGCCGACGACCCGAACTTTGAGTTCCTCTTCATCGGGACGAACCCGTATCTCGGCGCGAAAGTGAGGATCGGGCGCCCCGACGCGGACGCGGCGGACCCGGCGGGGCTCGTCCCCGGCGAAGACGCGACGTGCGACGAGCTCTCAGCGTGGTTCAAGAGGATGGGTCTCGGTCCGAACCAGCTCTGCATGTTCGCGCCGTACCTGTACGAGGACGCGCAGAAAGGTTTGGACCTCGTCGTCCAGGACAGCACGAACGAGGCGGTGTTGAACCAGTACGCGAGTCAGAGGAAGCTGGGCAAGCGCGCGCCCGGCCCCGCGGTGACGATCATCAAGAACTACAAGATCACCGTGGACAACTGCATCCCGGGCGGGAACAAGTACGTCGGCGGCGTGAGGGACCCGCCGTACGTGGAGTACGCGTACATCCGCGGTGGCGGGGAGATCCCTCGCGTGACGACGTTCGGGGCGTTCCCGGGGTCGAGCGACCTCGGGTCGTCGAAGTTCGCGCAAAAGGTGCGCGGGGACCGGTGATGAGACCGACCCGGTGAATTTTTGCTCCGCCTCCGACGGACGCGACGCCGCGGTAGGAGATGTTCTAATAATATAGGAGCGCATACGTGATGTACGACGCGCGCGCGTATTTGGCGTCGGGCGCGTGACGTCTCGCCCGCGGGTGCGATTCCCGCGTCTATCGAGCGACGCGGAGCGCGCGTCGGCGGTGCGGTTTTCGTTCGGTGCGAAGGCGCGACAGCGATTGACCGAACGGACGAAAGCTTTATATTATTTGATTTCGCGTTGACAGACACAGTCTCGTTGAAACTGAGCGACCCACAGGTCCGAGGATCGAAACCTCGAGCCGATAAAACTGAAAGCGGAGGTCGCGGGTTCGAAACCCGCGGTCTCCTCTTCATCGGCTTGGCGCAGTGGAAGCGTGGTGGGCCCATACATCTCTCTCGACGAACACACCTTTTACCATTTTTTTTGGCAACCCGAGCGCCACTAGACGGCGCGACATGGGCGCCCCGGCGAGCGGGACGTCGCAATGGTCCCACCACATAGAGATGGGGGTCCAGCTCTTCGGGTTTTTTCTGTTCTGCGCGTGCGCGTTCTTGGCGTACATCGTGCGTGACCCCGCCTTCGCGCGCTCTCCTCGCCGCCGTCGCGTCGTTCGACTGTCGAACGACGACTGATCCACGTGCGCGATCGTTCGGTTCGGTTCGGTTCGATCGCGCGCGCCGTCGCCCGATGACGCCTGACGTTTCCTCCCCTCCCGTCCTCCCCGCAGTCGATATACCTTCGTAATAAACGAGCCGAACGCCAGCGGTTGAGGAACAAGCTCGCGGTGAGCGGCGTCATGGAGGGTGGGGGCGTCGCCGGTCTGGCGGCGATGCGATCGAAGATGGCGGGGCGAGGGCGAGGAATCGACCCGACGCGGCCGCTGCAGCGCATGGAAGAGGGCGGCGCGGGGAGGGGGCTAGGGGGGTTGAAGAAGAGCTCGTCCGGGGGAGGCGGCGGGAGCACCGGGACGCTGTTAGAGTCCGTCCGGTACCTCGAACAGGGCGGGAAGCTGTCGAGTAGTTGACGAACTGAATTATATCGCCTTAGGTTAGGATCGAATCCGTCGTCTTATAGAAGAGCGCGAACGCGTGCGCGAGCACAGCACAAGGGTATCGCTCTTTGGCTCGAACGGCGATGCTCATTAAACAAGCGACGAGCTCTGCGATATCAAAAAATCCACTCCCTCCCTCCCTCCTTCCCACGCCGCGCGCGCGACGGCTCTCGTCACTTTCACTTTTTCTCCTCGCCGCTCTCTTCCTCCTTCTTCGGCTCCTCCTCCTCCGCCGCGGGCTGCTCGTCGCCGCCGCCGGCCGCGCCCTTGTTGATCGCCTCGCCGATCTTCATGACCGCCTGCTGCAGCTCGTTGATCTTCTCCCGGACCTGCTCCAGGTCCTCCGCCTCGATCGCGGAGCGCAGGTTCCCTTGCGCCTCCTTGATGCCGTCCTTCACCTCCGCGGGGACTTTGTCCCCGTGCTCCGAGAGGTTCTTGTCCGCGCTGTAAATCAACGTGTCCGCCTCGTTCTTCGCTTCGATGAGCTCCTTCCGCTGCTTGTCCGCGTCCGCGTGCGACTCGGCGTCGCGGACCATCTGCTCGACCTGCGCGTCGGACAGACCGCCGGAGGACTGGATCGTGATCTGCTGCTCCTTGTTCGTCGCCTTGTCGCGCGCGCTGACGTTCACGATGCCGTTCGCGTCGATGTCGAACGTGACCTCGATCTGGGGGGACCCTCTCGGCGCGGGGGGGATGCCCATGAGGTCAAAGTTCCCGAGGATCTTGTTGTCCGCGGCCATCTCGCGCTCGCCTTGCAGAACCTTGATCCCGACCTGGGTCTGGTTGTCCGCCGCGGTGGAAAACGTCTGCGACTTTTTCGTCGGAATCGTCGTGTTGCGGTTGATGAGACGCGTGAAGACGCCGCCGAGGGTCTCGATCCCGAGCGACAGCGGCGTGACGTCGAGGAGGAGGATATCCTTGACGTCACCGCGGAGGACGCCGCCCTGGATCGCCGCGCCCATGGCGACGACCTCGTCCGGGTTCACGCCCTTGTTCGGCTCCTTCCCGGCGAAGAGGTCCTTGACAATCTCGTGCACCTTCGGCATGCGCGACATCCCGCCGACGAGAAGAACTTCGTTGATCTCGCTCGCGGAGACGCCCGCGTCCTTGAGGCACGACCGGCACGGGTCCTTCGTCCTGTCGAGAAGCGGCTGCACGAGCTCCTGGAGCTGCGAGCGCGTCATGGACATCGCCATGTGCTTCGGCCCTGACGCGTCCGCGGTGATGAACGGAAGGTTGATATCCGTGCTCTTCGCGGACGAGAGCTCAATCTTCGCCTTCTCCGCAGCCTCGCGCAGGCGCTGCACCGCGAGCTTGTCGCTCTTCAGGTCGATCCCCTGCTCCTTCTTAAAGTTCGACGTGAACATGTCCAGAAGCGCGGTGTCGAAGTCCTCGCCGCCGAGGAACGTGTCGCCGTTGGTCGCCTTCACCTCGAAGACGCCACCGGAGATCTCGAGGATGGAGACGTCAAACGTCCCTCCGCCGAGATCGTACACCGCGACGAGGCCTTCCTTCTTGTCCACGCCGTACGACAGCGCCGCGGCCGTGGGCTCGTTGATGATCCGCAGGACGTCCAGACCGGCGATCTTCCCCGCGTCCTTCGTCGCCTGCCGTTGCGCGTCGTTGAAGTACGCCGGCACCGTCACCACCGCCTGCGTGATCGGATGCCCGAGGTACGACTCCGCGGTTTCTTTCATCTTCTGCAAGACGAACGCGCCCACCTGGGACGGGGAGTACTGCTTGCCCCCCGCCTGGACCCACGCGTCGCCGTTGGACGCCTTGATGATCTCGTACGGCACCATCTGCGCTTCTTTCCGCGTGTGCTCGTCGTCAAACCGGCGGCCGATGAGACGCTTGCACGCATAGAGCGTGTTGGTCGGGTTCGTCACCGCCTGTCTCTTCGCGGGCTGTCCGACGAGGCGCTCACCCTTCTCCGTGAACGCGACCATGGAGGGGGTCGTCCTCGCGCCCTCCGCGTTCTCGATCACCTTCGCGTTCTTTCCGTCCATCACCGCGACGCACGAGTTGGTCGTCCCGAGATCGATGCCGATCACCTCGTTCCCGGCCGCGCGGTGGGCGGAGGTCGAGAACCTCGCGTCCGCGGCCGCGAACGCGGCGTTCACGTTCGCGCGGGACGCGCGCTGTGGAGTGGAGGGGGGAACGGAACGGGCGGGAGGACGGAGGGGGTGGTCAGGTCGCGTCGCGGACGCGGATCTCGCGTCGGCGGACGATCCGCCGCATTTCCGATGCGAGCGCGGCGCTTGGCGGACGGACGCGATCGGATGGATCGTCCGCGCGCGATCGCGTCGTTCGGGGCGCGCGGGGGGACGCACCAGCGCATTGCCGCGGCGCGCGCTTCGGAGAATACCCTGAAGCATCTTACGACTCGCTCTTCGTCACCTGTCGCGTGCGACGACGTACTGCATCGCCGCGGTCGTCGCGGTCGACGTCGACATCAGTCGGGCTTCGACAACCTTCCGCCGACATGTGCGGTCGGTCGCCATCTCGCGAAACGGCGGCTGGGCGTGATGAAGACAGCACGGGAAGTTCGGGGCCCTCTCATCATCATCATCGACGCGCGCGGAGAGAGAGAGGCACGCGCGCTCGCGCGATGGTGCAACGGCTGGAGGTGCCGGGGCACGTGCTCCAGCACTTCTGGGACCTCGCGAACGTCGAGGCCGAGGTCAGGAGGCGGTCCGCGGTCGACCTCGTGAGCGAGCTCGCGACGGCGCAATCGAATCACGCCGAAGGCGGCGGCGCGAGCGCGACCGCCCGCGACGACGCCACCTCAGAGCTCGGTCCATCCCTCCGGGCGTGCTCTCCGGTCGTCGTGTACGCGCTGAAGCGCCTCGCGCGCGGGCTCGGCTCCGGTCGCTCCGGCGCGAGGCAAGGGTTCGCGCTCGCGCTGACCGCCGCCTTCTCGGAGATTCCGATCGCGAGCCTGGACGACGGCCTCCAGCTCTTGAAGTCGTCGCTCGAGCCGATCACGCAGAGCACGAAAGGCTCGGAGGCGAGGGACATCCTGATGGGGCAGCTCTTCGGCGTCGCCGCGCTCGTGCGCGCGATGCGCGCGCGCCTCGCGACCGGGACGATGACGGCCGAAGACGCCGAAGCGTTCGGCGCCGTCGTCGCGGAGGAGACGTCGGCGCTGGCGACGTCCAAGGCGTACCTCGCGGAGTCCGCGGCCGCGGTGATCCTGGAGCTCTCGCACGCGCTGGGGGAGGGGGATGAAAACGCAAACAACGACAACGCAAAAAGTAACGCATCGATGACGCGGGTGATCGAGGCGTCGAGCGCGCTGACGAAGTGGCTCACGACGCCGATCGCGGACGCGGGGCCGGAGACGATTCTTCTCGCGTTGGAGCTGTGGCCGGCGCTGCCGCCGAGCGTGCGCGCGAACTGCGCGGCGCTACCGCGCGGCGTGGACCCGGTCGCAGTCGGAGGGAGCGGCGATGGAAAGAAGGGAGGGAAGAAAGGAGGAAAGGGAGGAGGGAAGGAGAAGGAGAGCGCGTCGCACGTCGCCGCGGTGTTCGACCGAGAGCACTTGAGCGCCGTCCGAGACGCGTTGATGGAAGCGTCGTACACGCACCCGCAGATGCACTCGGTGTGGGCGTGGTTCCTCTCGAGAGTCGCGTCGGTGCCCGGGGGGCTAGAGGCGACATGGGACGTCCTCGTGGAGGACGGCCTGCTCGTGAGCGGGTCGCATCAGCGTCGGTACTTGGGGTTCCGTCTGTTCGCGTCGATGTTGCCGCTCGCGTCTGCCCAGAGCGTTCCCGCGTTGTTCTCTCCGGGGTTCACGCGGTGTCTGCTCAATAACCTCGCGAAACCGGATAACTACCTGCACGCCGCGGCCGCGGACTGCCTCGATCAGATCGTCGCGTTCGCGAAGTCGGCGGACACGAAGCAGGACGTGAAGCTGTCCGTCATCGCGGCGCTTCAACGCCTCGGGCCGAACCGGTTCGATAAGATTTCCAAGAAAAACGCGGTGCGCGAGCTCATACAGTCGCTGTCCGTGGACGACGCGTCCGGGTACATGCGCGAGCTCATGGGCATCTTCGTCGCGTCGCCGTCGTCAGACGACGACGCGAGCGCGATGGCGGGCGGTGGAACGGACCAACCGGGCGGGCACCTCCTAGGGAGCAAACGACGCCTGTGGGCGTTGGAACAAGCCGCGGGGCTCTTCCTGCGCCTGCCGCGAGCGGCGCAGAGAGAGCTCGTGGAGTTTCTCACTCTCCACGCGCACTACCGCGCGAACGCGTCGGACGCAAAGCCGGCGTCAAAGTCGAAGAAATCGAAATCGGCGGCGAAGAAAGGCGGCGGCGGGTCGCTCGTCGAAGACGTCGGCGTCGCACCTCTCGGCGCGCCGGAGGATGGTTTACGCGAAGCGTGCGCGACGCGACTCGCCGCGTTGCTCGCGTCCAACTTGAAAGCGCAGCGCGCGGCGAGCGCGAGGAAAGAGAGCGACGACGACGCGAATAAGAACGGGAAGAAAGAGAAAGGAGGCAAGAAAGGCGGCGAGAAGAAGAAGGACGACGACGCGAAAGCCGCCGCGGACCCTAAGCCGGACCCTAAGGAACCGCCCGCGGATCTCCTTCTCGTCGCCGCGGATATTTGCCGAAAGTTGGACGCCGACGACGCGGTGTCCCTCGTCGACGACATGCCCGAAGACTGCGCGGCCGTGCGCGCGTCGCTGTTCGCGGCGCTGGATAAGACGACCCAGGCGTCCGCGAACGCGTCCGCGACCGCGGTCGCGCCGTTGTTGCGCGTCCTCGCGGTGTTGCAGCTCGGCGACTGGAGGGAGTTCACGCCTTCGATCGAGGACCTCCCGCGGTGCGTGGACGACCTCATCTCTCCTCCGAAACCCTCCGCGAAGAAGAAAGCCGCGAAGAAGAGCAAGAAAACGGCGGACGCAGAGGACGATGTCGAGGCAGACGAGCCACCGAACCCGATGGACGTCCTCGTGGACGTCCTCCTGAGTCTCCTCGCGCAGCCGTCCGCGCTGTTGCGAGACGTCGTCGAGCACTCGTTTAAATCGTTATCGCCGTCCGTCACCGGCGCCGGCGTCGGGGACATGCTCCGCGTCGTGTTAGCCCCGGACGCGGACAACAGGAACGCGGCGGGCGGGGACGACTCCGATTCCGAAGACGGCGCGCCTCTCGCGGAGGAGGACGACGAAGACGACGACTCGGAAGAGGAGGAGGAGGTTGGCGGCGGCGATTCCGACGACGATTCCGACGACGACTCCGAAGACGACGACGCGCCGATGGATAAGGCCAAAGCCGACGCGATCGCGGCCGCGCTCGCGAGGTCCGGCGCCGCCGCGGACTCCGGTTCTGACGACTCCGACTCCGACGACGACGCGATGGACGACGACGCGATGTTCAGGATCGACAAGCTCCTGGGCCAGGCGTTTAAGAGCCGACGGGAGGACATCACGCGAAAAAAGTCGCTCGTGCGCGCGACGCGGGACTTTAAATTCCGCGTGTTGGCCCTCCTCGAGCTCTACGCGCGCGCGCAGCCGGGCTCGCAGTGGCTCCCCGGGACCGCGCTGCCGTTGCTCGGCGCGATGCAGACCGCGCTCGCGGCGGGGACGCCGCAGGCCTCCGCGCTCGCGGAGCGCATCGGCGGCGTCTTGACGAAACACGTTTGCCACGCGAGGGACCTCCCGAACGACGCGGGGACGGAGCCGATCACGGTGAAATCGCTGTCGGCGTCGTTGAACGCCGCGGTGCGAGCGGCGGCGAAACCGTCCGGCGGCGGCGCGGAGGGAAGCAAAGGGTTCGCGAAGCCCGCGACCGCGGTGGCGATGTACTTGTTGAGGGTCTTGGAGGCGACGTCGAGGAAAGAGAGCGGCGCGGACGCTGCCGCGGACGTCGCGTGCGCGGAGGCTGTCGAAGCCTACGGCGACGCACTGGAGATGTTCAAGAGCAACAAGAACTGCCGACTCAAGACGCCGTTCTTCCAGGCTGCGTTCGAGAGGCACCCCGCGCTCGCGGCGGAGTTGTTACCCGCCGTCGCCGGGTTGCTCACCGCCGGCGGGGACAAGGCGTCGTCGCGGGCAGAGTACCTCCGCGCCGAGGGCGCGAAGCTCCTCAACGTCGTCCTCTCGTTGGGTAAGAAGCGCTCCCCCGCGGTGTGCAAGTCCGCGGCGAAGCACAAAAAAGTCATCGCGGCCGCGATCGTGGCCGCGATCGCGGCGCCGTGTAGGAACCGCGGCGCGAGGGCGGACGTCGCGAAGACGTTGACGCAGTGCTGCGAGGCGTTCGCGCGGGCGTCGTCGGACGCGCCGCTGTCGACGCTGATGGACCCGAACGCGGTGGTGGACGCGGTCGCGGCGCAGTTTTCTGTTCCTGGGATGCCCCAAAAGGGTGTCAACGCACTCACGAGGGCGTGCACGCTCGTGGGGAAGACCGCCCCGGAGGCGATGCCGGCGGAGGAACCCGCGGCCGGCGGCGGCGGCGGCGAGAAGAAGAGGGACCGCGCCGAGGGGAACAAGGGCGGCGCGAAGGGGGGCAAGAAGGACGCGAAGAAGGAGAAGGGGGACAAGAAGCGCAAGGGCGAGTCCGGGGGCGATAAAGTTTCGAAGAAGAAGCACAAGAAGAAGTGATCCACCTTAGGCGTTGATAAGAAACAGACTGCTGACTGACGAAGGAAATTCTCGCGAGCCCTCTTCGCCTTCTCAGTTTCTTCTTTTGCCCGCGCCGCGCCGAAATTTTTTCCTCGCGTGCTGTGACGTCGCTCGCTTCTTCCGAGACCGCGTCGACGGATCGCGGCTTGTCACTGCACGTAGCACCGCGCTCGCGATGGCAAACGCGGCGGCAAATGCGCTCGGCAACCTCGCCAAGGCCGCGATCGGCCTCGGCGTCACCGGGACCGCGCTTAACGCGTCCATGTACGACGGTGCGTGCGCGATCCGATCGAACGATCGATCGCCCTCTCGCTTAATCGCCGCCCTCTCCCCACGAAACGAACGATTCGCCGCCGACGCGTCGACGACTGATCTCGCGAGATCGCGCTCCCGCTGACCGCGTTTCTCCCCCCCGTCCGTAATTCCTGCCAACACAGTCGACGGAGGCAAGGCCGCGGTGATGTTCGACCGCTTCCGCGGCGTCCTCCCGAAGGCCGTCGGCGAGGGCACGCACTTCCTCGTGCCGTTCATCCAGAACCCGACCGTCTACGACATCCGGACGCGACCGAAGTCGATCAGCTCCGTGACCGGGACGAAGGATCTGCAGCAGGTGAACCTGACGCTCCGCGTGCTGTGCCGCCCGGACGTCGAAAACCTCTCGGAGATCCACAAGAACCTCGGGCAGGACTACGACGAGCGCGTGCTGCCGTCGATCGGGAACGAGGTCTTGAAGGCGACCGTCGCGCAGTTCAACGCGGACCAGCTCCTGACGCAACGCGACGAAGTCTCGAAGAGAGTCGCCGCGGCGCTGCGTCTCCGCGCGAAGGACTTCAACATCGTGTTGGAGGACATCGCGCTGACGCACTTGTCGTTCTCCGCGGAGTACAGCAGGGCGATCGAGGCGAAGCAGGTGTCGCAGCAGGACGCGGAGCGATCGAAATTCATCGTGCTCAAGTCTGAGCAAGAGCGCGAAGCCGCGGTCATCCGCGCGGAGGGCGAGTCCGAGTCCGCGCGGTTGATCTCGCAGGCCACGCGCAGCGCGGGCCCGGCGCTCGTGGAGCTCAGAAGGATCGAGGCCGCGAGGGAGGTCGCGCAGACGTTGTCGAAGAGCAGGAACGTGATGTACCTCCCGGGCGGGAACTCGAACATGCTCCTCGGTCTGAACCCGTGAGGAGGCGCCACGACGGCGACGGTGGGTGGGTGAGCGGAAAGAAAGAGCGGCGCCTCTTTTATCGTAATGCGCGCGAGTTAACGACGGCTTGTTTGGTGGTTTGTGAATAAATCTTCGTTACGAGCATCGGACCGCGTGCGACGAGTTCTTCGCGCTAGTCGTCGGTCTACGTCCCAAACAGGTGCCTCTGGTACGGCGGCTTCTCGATCGCATTCAGGACGTCGTCCCACGGCCTCTCCACCATGAGCGCCTGCCCCGGGGCGAAATACCCCAAGAACAGGCACGGATCGCTCAAGTTCACGACCTTGATGTCCCCGCCGCCTTCCTCGCCGCTCGTCTTCCCTCCCTGCTTCTCGATCGCGCCGAAACCGCCTTTGTCGCCTCGATACCCTTTCCGCCTCCGTTTTTTCGTTATGGGCGCGGGCGTAAACGTCGGCACGACCGCGAGGTTCACCCGCGCGATCGCGCTCGGCGTGTGCGCGAGCAGAAGCTGACTCCCCGGGGTCGGATCGAACGACAGACCGCAAATCTGCCCCGGCAAGGTCTTCAGCTTCGGCGGCGCCGTCGCGACGCTCTTCGCCGTCGCCATCGCGGCGGACCACGGCGTGAGCGTCCCGGCTTCGACGTCGTACATCACGATCGCGTTGTCCCTGACCGCGAGCGCGAGAACCCCGGCCGCGGACAGCGCCATCGCGGCGACGGGGGGCCAGGACGCCAACCCGGGCGGCGGCGGGAGGCTCTTGTGAAGCTTCAGCGCGTCGAGGTTGTATACGTGCACCCCGGCCGCGCGTCTCGAGGCGGTCCCGCCTTTGGTCGTCACGACGGCGAGCCACTGCCCGTCCGCGCTCGCGCACGCGTGCGACACCGCGGGGCACCCGACGTCGCCCGCGCTCACGGGATCCATCGCCTTCCTTCGCTTACCGCTCCCGCTGCCGCTGGTGGCTTTATCTAGCGCCGTGGTCGCCGCGGAAATTTTTGGCAGGTGCGCTCGCAGCGTCCGCATCACCTCCCAGCTCTCCAAGTCGACGACGTGCACGGCGCCGTTGACGCCGACGGCGACGAGAACTTTCCCGTCGGGCGTGAACAAGAGGCAGTTCGCGGACGTCACCCCGCCAACCGGCGAGTCTTGCTTCCGAAGCGTCCACTCCTCGCGTTTCACCCCCGGCGTCTCCTCCGTCTTGTTCACCTCGAACAACCGCAGCGAGTGCGCGTCGGAGATGGCGACGAGCGCTCCGTCGGGGGATATCGCGCTGCTCAGCGTCCGTCTCTTGCCGCTCAGTTTCGCCCTCAAGACGTGCGTCGGCGCGGACGCGAGCTTCATCATCCCGTTGTTCGCCTTGCTCGCTTCGATCACCTCCTCGGACGGGCGACCCGGCCCGCCGCCGAGCCCTTCGCCGAGGCGCCAGAGGTCGACGCACCTTCCGTGGTCGCACAACAACAAAGGCGGCGTCGGCGCGTTCGCGAGCGTCGGTTTCGGCGCGACCGGTTCATCGTCCGCGCCGCCGCCGTCTCCGCCTCTGTTCCCCTGTCCTTTTCCTCTTTTCTGTTTCTTCCCCTTCGGCGCCGGCGGCGCGGTCCACAGCCCCCCGCCGGTCATCGAACACGGCGTCCGCTGCGGCACGCTCACCACGCGCACGGGGTGCCTTCGTTGGAAGTGATTCGCCGGGTACGCGAGCAGTTGCGCGTCGTTCCCCCCGGACAACAAGATCGGCCCGCCGCCGCCGCCCCTCCCGCCGTCGCCGTCTTTACCCCTCTCGCCCTTACCATCGCGGTCGCCCCCCCCGCCCGGGGCGTGCGCCATCGCGAGCGCCCTGACGTCGTGCGTGTGCGGCCGTTTGGTGCTGCCGAAGGTCCACTTCTCCAACCCGGGGCCGGCGCCGTCCTCGATGCGGTTGAACACGCACACTTGCGAGTCGATCCCGGACGCGAACACGCACGTCCCGGCTGGGTTCGACGCGAGGCACGTGACGTCCGCGCCGTGCTGCCGGAACGTGTACAGCTGCGTCCCGAACCGCTTGTCCCAGAATGTGACGTCGCCGTCCTGACCGCCGGAGACGAGGGTGCCGTCGGGGAGATACGTCAGCGCCCACGTGCACCGCTCGTCGCTCTCTTTCGGTTTGTCCCCGCTCCCGACCGTGATGCGCATGACTTCGGATAACGTCGCGACTTGCATGATGTGTATCGTCCCCACGGACGTCCCGACCGCGATCTGCGTGCCGCCGACGCCCCACGCGAGGCTCAGGAGCCGCCCCTGCAATCGCAGGAAGGATCGTCGATGGCTCAGCCCCGAGCCGACGCCGTCGCCGCCGAGGAGCGTCAAGAGTCGAATGCACCCGTCGTCGCACGCGATCGCGACCCGCTGCGGCTCGCCGTCCGTCGGTCGCGGCTCCGCGGCCATCGCCCACACGGCGCCGCCGTGCGAGTCCGTCGTGCTCCTCGCCCTCAGCGCGCTCAGATCCCACTCCGTGACGACGCCGTCGAGGCCCGCGGAGAGGAGGCGGCACGGCACGTCGTCCGCGGCCGCCGCGTTGTCCGCGTCGACCCAGTCCCCGATGAACGGCGCGACCCAGGTCAGGCACGAGATCGCGGCGCCTTCTTTCCCGGGCACGCGCGCGACGCATCGCCAGTCCGCGGTGTCGTAGATTTCCAAGTCCCCCGATTCCCTCGCGAGCGCGACTGTGCTCCCGCCGGGGGCGACCGCGATCGCGACGACGGCCGCGGGCTGCCACTCCACGAACCGGCTTCGATGCAGCTCGAGGCCGCTTCGCGCGCCGCCGCCCATCGCGCTCGGTCCGGTCCTCTCCTACACGGCGCAGCGCGCGGGAGAGTAGAGCCGGGCGGCGGCGGCGGAGAAAAAAACTCGGCGCAAAAAAAGTGCAGCAGTCGCGGTCGCGGTCGAACCTGCCGAACCCGCCGATGAGCCGAGACTGGTGACCAGGGGTCCCGGTCGAGGCCTCCTTTCACGCGCGAACGCGAACGCGAATGCGTGATCGGGAAAAAAAAATCTGCGTTGTCAAGATTTGGATTTGACGTCGTCGGTTCGGCCGCACTGAGACCGGCACGACGCGAATCACGCACGGTCACGCCGCACGATGGGGATCTTCACCGCCCCCGAGACCCCCGGGGAGATGTTCATCCGCTTCGACACGGACAAGAGCGGAACCCTGGAGGTGGACGAGGTGAAATTCGGTCTCGCGGAGATGGGGGCGCTTCGCAAGACGACCGCGGGCGAGGCCGCGACGATCTGCCGCGAGGCGTTCGCGGACAAACCCGAGGGCTCCGGTCTGGACATGGACGAGTTCAAGCTCCTTCTCGCGAAAGTGGAGATGATCGGGGGCACCCCGGGGAAGAAGAAGAAGGAAGCGATCAAAGAGGTCGAGGTGCCGTACGGGTACAAATCCTGGGACGGCTCGCTTCCGACCAAGTCCGCCTTCATGGGATTCGCCGGCAGCAACGGCTCGCTGTCGTTGGACGAGTGGAACGAGATGATGACCGCGAGCAAACTGGTGGACGACGTCGTGGACGAGATGACGACCGGCATCATATTCGCCCGGGCGTGCAAGAAGGGCAAGCGGATGTTGAATTGGAAAGACGGGACGTTTCTCAACGCCCTCGCCGCGCTCGCGACGGAACACAAGGTCGGGTGGGCCTCCGTCGCCGATCGCGTCGCGGACTCCGCGCCGTTAGGGTCCCCCGAGCTCAAGTCAAAATCGAGAGACACCGAGGCGGCGAAGATGCGCGAACAGAGGAGACAAGAGGCGTTGGACGCGAAACTGATGGAGGCGTTCAGTCGTTACGACGTCGACGGCAACGGGACGCTGGATCTCCAGGAGATGGGCGCCGCGCTCGCGGACATGGGCGCGATGCAGAACGTGGACGTGCGCTCTGTTCGTAACTTGTTCAAAGAGTTCGACGCGGACGAGAGCGGGGACATCGACTTTGGCGAGTTCAAATCTCTTTGCGGCAGGGTGGAGGAGATCAAGAAGAAACGCGCGAAAGCCGCGGCAGAGAGCGGCGGCGACGTCGGCGACGCGACGGTTCCCCCCGGGTTCGCGTCCACGCCGTTCGCGATCGCGCTCAAGAAGACGTTCGACTCGTTCGTGGAGGCGGATCAGACCGGGGTCGCGTCCGCGGCGTGGGCGGAGCTCCTGAAAGAGACCCGGGTGTTGTTCAAACGCGACCGCACGTTTGACGAGGAGGGCGCGGAGCTGATCTTCAACAAGGCTTTCGGTCCCACGTTCCACGACACGGTGAAGACGCTGAAGTGGGACGACGGCACGTTCTTCAGCGCCGTCGCCGCCGTCGCGACGGAGCTGAAGGTGACGTTTGACCTCGTCGCCGGGAAGATCGCGCGGTACGGCCCCTTCCGCGCCGCGCGGTCGGGCGGCGGATACGAATGCGTCGCCCTCGTCTCCGGCGGGAAAGACAGCGTCTTCGCCGCGATGATGGCGCAGTCGCACGGGCACCGGATCGTCGCGATGGCGAATCTGTACCCCGCGAATAACGGCGTCGAGGAGCTCGACTCGCACTGCTTCCAGACCGTCGGGCATCGCTGCGTCGCTTCGTACGGCGCGCTCACGGGGCTGCCGTTGTTTCGAAGGAAAATCCGCGGCGCGTCCGTGAACACGGACATGGCGTACGACGTCCACGGCGCCGTGGACGGGGGCGTCGACGAGGTCGAGGACCTCCGCGCGTTGCTCGCGGGGGTCGTGAGGGCGATGCCGAACGTCAAGGCGGTCTGCTCCGGCGCAATCTTGAGCGATTACCAGCGCCTGCGCATGGAAGCCGTCTGCGCGGATCTCGGTCTCGTGTCGCTGTCGTACCTTTGGCGGCAGCCGCAGTCGTCCCTCCTCGAGCGGATGTGCGACTCGAACGTCGAAGCCGTGCTCATCAAGACCGCGGCGATGGGTCTGCAGCCGACGCGCGACCTCGGAAAGACGATCAAAGAGATGCTGCCGACGCTGTACGAGATCGAGAAGAAGTACGGCTCGCACTGCGCGGGCGAAGGCGGCGAGTTCGAGACGCTCGCGCTCGATTGCCCGTTGTTCACGCGCGGGCGGCTGCACATCGCGCCGAACGAGCAGAGCTTGCTGACGAGCGCGCCGGAGGTCATCATCACGTCGGAGGATACGCTCGCGCCCGCGGGGCACCTCGCGATCGTGCAGCACGCCGTCGAGGTAAAGCAGGGGATGGACTGGATGGTGGAAGGTAAGGTTGTCGAGGTTGACACCGACGCGCCGCCGCCGCGAAGAGTCGGCGTGAGCCACGAAGAAGCCGCCGTCGCCGCGGCCGCCGCGGACGTCTTGCTCAGCGAGGTGGACGTGCGCGAGACCTGGGGCATCACGAATCGCTCGATATCCGCGCGCGTCGTGGTGATGAACGAAGAAGCGAGAAACACCCCGGCGGCGGCGGCGGCGAGCGCGGAGGCCTTACTTCTCGCCGTCCAAACGCGGCTGCGGAGGTGCAAGGAAAGACTCGACTGGTCCGCGGTCGCGTTCGTGCACTTATACGTGAACAACATGGACTACTTCTCGAGCGTGAACGCGGCGTACGCGCGCGTCGTGCCCTCGTGCAAACCCCCCGCGAGGGCGTGCGTGGAGCTCCCGCTCCCCGAGGGCGTCGTCGTCGCGTTGGACGTCCACGTCTCCGTCGCGGACCCCGCGCCGTCGAGGTCGCTGCACGTGCAAGGCATCTCGTGCTGGGCGCCGCCGTGCATCGGGCCGTACGGTCAGGCTGTATCCGCGCACGGTCTCACGTACCTCGCCGGATGCATCGGGATGGAGCCCGCGACGTTGAACGTCGTCGACGCCGCGTCGGAGGCGCGGCGGTCGTGGCGGACCGCCGCCGCCGTCGCGCGCGTGATGGGGTCGCCGCTGTGGCGCGATTGCCTCTGCACCACGGTGTACGTCTCCGTGGTCGGCGGCGACGACGCGATGACGTCCACGATGCGGGCGTTCGAGGAGGTATTAGCCGGCGCGAAGTGGCAGGACGACGTCGACGTGCCGGGGGGGGATTTGCACGTCGCCGCGGGCGTGCCGGCGGGGAGGCGACGCGACGACTCGAGCGCGGACGACGAGGAAGGCGACGACGGACGCGGCGATGTGCGCGGCGGCGATGAAGGAGAAGACGATCACGAAGAAGTCGCGTCCGCGTCCAAGGCTGTCGGCGGCGACGGCAGCGCCGCCGCCGCCGCGTCGTCGTGGCCGTGGGAGTGGCGGCCGCTCGTCACCGCGGTCGTCGTCCCGAAACTCCCGAAGGACGCGTCGTGCGAGGTGCAGCCCGTGTTACTCGACGGCGACGGTCCGAACTTCTCGACGAGGTACCAGAAACTCGTGGACCCGTGGGACGGCGACGTCGACCAATCCCGCGCGGAGATCGTGATGGAGTCGCACGACGTCGGGTTCTGCCGCTGCGTCTCGCTGTCGCGCGAGGGCCGGTTCTGCCGCGCGACGGCGGCGACGCCGTCCGACGCGGACGCCACGATCGCGCTCAAGTCCATCGTCATGTGCGTCGCGATCGCCCTGGACGAGGTCGAGGACGTCAGATGGCGCCACGTGTGCATGATCAAGTGCTACGCCACGACGGAGTGGCTGGAGGCGTTCGGCGAGCGCGAGGACCGCGACGGGGCGGCGGCGTTGGCGGACGCGCTCGACGCGTTGATCAGGAACAGCGCGCTGAGTTACGGGAAAGGCGTGAACCCGTTCGGGGTTCGGGTCGTCGTCGTTCCCGTCGTGCGCGCGAGCTTCGATTCCGTGACGGACGCGGGGATGGTCCTCGAGCTCTCCGCGATCGTCGGCGGCGGGGATCTGTAGACGGACGGGACGGGACGGACTCGAGAGGGTCGGTGGGTTTAGGAATCGAAATCGAAATCGAAATCGAAATCGAAATCGAAATCGAAATCGAAATCGAAATCGAAATCGAAATCGAAATCGAAATCGAAATCGAAATCGAAATCGCGACGTCTGGACGGGCGAAACCCGCGAAACGCCTGAAGAAACGCCTCTTCGCCTCCCCCGCGCGTCCTCGCGACGTCCTCGTCCGTCGTCTCACTCCGTCGCGCGCGCTTCGATCGCTCGCGTCGTATCGCGCGTCGTTCGACGCTCGCCTCGCCTCGCGCTTCATCCCCCGCGCGCCGCTCGCTTCACCGCGCTTCGTCCCCCCCCTCCCGCCGCGCGCGTCCTGTCTTCGCGCGATCCGTCCCGTCCCCTCGTCCGTCGATGATGGATTCCGAGGAGGACGCGACCCGCCGCGAGGTCGAGGTGACGCTCCTCGCCGTCGCGCCGTCCCCGACCGGCGGGGACGACGTCGAGGAGATCCTCGGCGTGACCGACCTCGAGCGCGACCCGACGAAGCGCGAGCGACGGTGCGTGCGATCCTCCGTCGGGCCGCAGGCGGGGAGGCGCGTTCGGCTGCGGATCCCGCCGTCCGGCGGTCGCGTCGCGTCCGTCTCGATCGCTCGACGAGACGTCGTCGCGCTCGTGCGCGTCGGCGACTTGAGCTTGAGAGCTGAGATCAAGCCGCCGCTGCCGACGGATCATCGCGCGGACGACCCGCCGATCGAGAGGCAGCTCGGGTCCCTGAAAGCGGACGGCGTCGCGGTCCAGCTGCGATTCGCGCGTCGACGACGAGACGACGCGGCGGGGGAGACGGAGGCGGGCGACGACGGCGGCGCGCGTTCGACGACGACGACGACGACGACGACCACGTTCGAGTACGAGATCATCGACGGCGCGTTCACCGCGGACGAGCTCACGATGGAAGGCATCGACGCCCTCCACGCCGCGGGGGAGGTCGCCGCGACGAGCGCGAGGGACGCCGCGGCGCTCCCGCAGCCGACGGCGCGAACGGCGCGCTCCGAGGAGATTTGGCTTCCGCGAAAACTGAAACCCGACGACGAAGGATACGACGAGAGAAACCCGGAGAAGATCGCGTACGACCCGCGGGGTAAAGACCGCATCGAAGAGCTTCTCTTTGAGACGCGGCAGATGGCGGAGCGGCACGAACGCGACGGGAGGGATTGGTGCGGCCCGTTGCGAGCGAAGATAAACGCGAAGCTCAAAAAACTCCACGCGTTGCGAGCGCGCGCGGGGTTCATCCGCGAGTTACGCAAACGCCTCGGGAACGCGAACGAGGTCGTCACCGAGGAGATGGTGCGCGTCCTGAAAGCCACCGCGATCGTGCAGCAGGTGAAGCACACCGTGGACGGGAAGGTCAGCAGCGTGGAGAAGGAAAAACAGGTAACCGACGGCGGCGAAGCGTTCTTCGACGAGCTCGGCGTGGACGTCGACGACCTCGAAGGGAAAACGTCTTCGGAGTTACTCGCGGACCTCGGGGTGACGCAGCGCGCGTGCCTGCGCGCGCAAGAGAGCGCGAACGCGATGCACGACGAGATAACCCAAAGATACGAGCTGGACAGGTACGAGTCCGGCGTCGAGACGCGGGACGTGCTCGAGAACGGCGTTCGCCGAGTGGACATGGAGGCGATCCTCGGACGAAGGGCCGAGAAGGAAGACGTGGACAAGACGCTGGAGATTCCACTCGTCGAGCGCATGAAACTCGTCGGCGGGTACGACGTCGAGCAGATGAAGCAGGACGGGACGTTCGTCGCGCTCCCGAGGCTCGCGGACGTCACCGGCGAGGAGGCGTGGGGGTTGAACATCGACGTCGACGAGTGATGACGCGCATAGACTACAGACTATGACAGTCTACTTCGCGCGCGAGAACGACAGAAGAAGAGACTGGACAGGACGAGGACACAAATAATTCGCGCTCAGCTTTCGATGAGTGGCGTTTCACCACCGCGCGCGCGCGCACAGAGCGCGCGTCCGTCTACTTCTTCGGCTTGTTCACGACCTTGAGCACCGCCCCCTCCGGCGCGGTGTCGCCGCCGACCAGGCACTGGCACGCTAACCTCCAGTCCTCGCCCAAACCTTTCAGCTTCCCGTTCTCCGCGTCCGTGCGCGGGGAGAGCAGCTCCATCCCTTCCGTCACCCGCACCTTGCACGTCCCGCAGTTGCCCATCCCACCGCAGTTCAGGAGCTTCGCCATGCCCTCGTACAGCTGGACTTTGTCCCCGAGCGCGACGTCGCGCAGGACGCTCGCCTTGGTGACGTCCGTCACGATGACGTCGCCGCCGTCCGAGGGCGTGAACTCGACGCGCACGACGGACGCGCGCGCGACGAGAGCCGCCGATCGCGATCGTGATGAGGGCGTCGCGCGCGCGGGGTGAGCGCTCGCGCGGCGCGTCGTCACGCTCGCGCCGCCGCGGCGGGCGGCGAGCGCGGAGGAGGACGCGGGGAGCGTCGCGAGCGTGGCGGCCATGGTCGTGTTCGGGATCGTGCCGAGCGCGTCGGGGAGTGCGGCGCGTCGCGCCGCGCGTCGAAACGAACGTCGACGCGTCGCACACGTCGGTCTGGTCGCGGCTCCGCTTTTCCAGTCGGGTATCGGGTGTCCAGTCGTCACGGGACGGGACGAGGTCGTCGTCGACCTGGCGCGTCGCCGCCACCGTCGCGCGCGCGGGGCCCGGACGCCATGGCGGCTCCCCCGAGCGGCGCGGGCGCGGTCGGGGTCGACGAGCTGCGTCGCGCGGGGTGCGACGACGCGACGGTGCGCCGACGCTTCGCGCGTCCTTCGCGTCGTCGACAGATGAATGAGATTCGCAGTAGTGACGCTCGTCTCGCGCTCGTCCCATCCACCGTTCGTCTCCCCCTCCTCTGACGCCCCGTCCTCCGCCCTCCCCCTCGCCGTCGTCGCAGGCGTCCGAGCTCGCGAAAGCGATAGCCTCCGCGGCGTCGCTCCCGGCGGATCGCGCGTGGAGCGTCATCGCGAGCGCGCTGACCCCGTCCGCGCCGTTCCGCGCGCACGAGCTCGTCTACGCGGCGAACTTTTCGTCGTGGCGCGAGCGCGACCACGGACCGGCGCCGTGCACGTTCCCTTCGCGCGACGTCGTTCGAAACGCCGCGGTGACGGCGTTCATGAGGTCGTGGACGAGCCCGGCGTGGACGGCGGAACGCGCGCGCGCGGAGGTTGGACGGGACGCGAACGCGGACGACGCGGACGACGTCGACGGTGCGAGGAGAAGGTTCCGCGCGTTGCACCGCGCCTCGGTCGCGGACCAGCCCTCGTTCTGGTCGCACGTCGCGTCGACGGTCGGGTACCCGAACCCGAGCGTGATCCTCGATCACGACGCGTCCAGACCCGGCGGCTCCGAGCGGTGGTTCCCGCGTCTCGCGATGAACGCCGCGCTCGCGTGCTTCGAGGGACCGGGGAAAGCGGACGAGGACGTCGCGATTCGTTGGCGCGGCGAGCTCGACGACGACGCGGCGGGCGAGACGCGCACGCGGTCGATCACCCGGGGCGAGCTCAGAGCCCGCGCGGACGCGGCCGCCAACGCGCTGTCCATAAGAGGCTGGGGCGAGGACGCGCGCGTCGCCATCATCCTCCCGTTCACGGCAGAGTGCGTCGCGATATACCTCGGCGTCGTGCTCGCCGGCGCCGCCGCGGTGTGCGTCGCGGACTCGTTCTCGAGCGAGGAGATTAAAACCAGGCTCGAGATTGGCCGCGCGGACGTGGTCATCACCATGGACGTGGTCGCGCGCGCGGGGAGCGCTCTGCCACTGTACGCGAAGGTGGCGTCGGCCGCGGGGAGGGACGTCCCGGTCGTCGTCCTCGCGTCCGCGGCGGCGTCGTTCGCGGATGCGTTCTCGGATGAGTTTGAATCCGCGGAATTACGCGCGCCGGCGCTTCGAGCGAACGACGAGACGTACTGCGACTTTCTGCGCGTCGCGTATGCCCAGGGGATGGTCACGGGGATGGAGTTTCAACCGGTCGTGATGCCGTCGTCGAAACCGACCGCGGTATTGTTCAGCAGCGGCACGACGGGAGCGCCGAAGGCGATTCCGTGGGACCACTCGGCGCCGCTGCACGGCGTATCCGACGGTCGGTTGCACATGGACATCAAGCACGGCGACGTCGTGAGTTGGCCGACGAACTTGGGGTGGATGATGGGGAGCTGGCTGATCTACCAGCTCGCGAACGGCGCGTGCCTGGGCGTGTACGAGGGCGCGCCGACGACGAGAGGGTTTTGCGATTTCGTCTCCGACGCGAACGTCACGCACCTCGGCCTCGTGCCGTCGATCGTGTCCTCCTGGAGGAAGAGCGGCGCGTTCGACGCGAATCGTCACGACTGGTCCGCGCACCTTCGCGCGTTCGCGCTCACCGGCGAGGCGAGCTCGCCGACCGACGTCCTGTGGCTCGCGTCCAGGGTGAGAGGCTACGTCGCCCCCGTGCTGGAATATTGCGGCGGCACCGAGCTCGCGTCCGGGTACGCGTTGAGCGCCGTCGTGCTCCCGAACGCGCCGTCGTGCTTCTCGTCCGCGTCGTTGGGAGGGTCGTTCGCGCTCTTGAACGACGAGGGCGAGGAAACGAACGACGAAGAGGACGTCAACGTGATAGGCGAAGTCGCGGTCAGGACGCCGTTCATAGGGTCTTCGACCTCGCTTCTGAACGGCGATAACCGCGCGACGTACTACGACGGGATGCCGAGGTCGGTCGTGAATGGCGCGCCGCTGCGACGCCACGGCGACCGGTTCGAGCGATTACGCGGAGGGTTCTACCGCGCGCACGGAAGGACGGACGACACGTTCAACCTCGGCGGGATCAAGACCTCGTCCGTGGAGATTGAGCGCGCGTGCGACCGAGCCGCGGCGGCGGCGAACGCGGGCGCGGAAACCGCCGCCGTCGCGGTGCCGCCCATCGGCGGCGGGCCGGACCGGCTGTGGATCGTTCTCGTCCCCCTCTTTGAGGGCGAGGAAGAGAAGACAAAGGACGCCGCCCGCGAAGAGGCGTTGGTGAAACTGTTCAACGACGCGATCAAGCGCGCGTTGAACCCGCTGTTCAAGGTGCACAGGGTGCTTCTCGAGCCCGGCGGGTTGCCGCGGAACGCGTCGAATAAGATCCTCCGGCGGACGCTGCGCGCGAAGTGCGCGGACGTCCAGGCGCGGGATGCGAAGACGACGCCGCGGGCGAAGCTATAGAGCGATAGATAATATTATGATAGTTAGAGGGAAAGAGCCGCTTCGTATTACACGCGTAAACAGCCCTCGCGCCTCGCGAGCTGTGCTAATAATAAGAAAGAATCGTAAAGAATGGCCGACGGCGCCGCGTCGCGATCACTGCCCGAACAGGAGCATGAACGCGAACGCGACCATCGCGACGCGACCGTTGAGCTTCTCCGCGATCGGCGTCCACGTCGTCGGCAGGAGCTCGTCCGGGTACGCCGCGTTCTCGTCCGGGAAGCACTCGTCGATCGTCACCTTATTCAGCGCCGCGGGCGCACACGACGCCGCCACCGTGAGCGCGGCGATGAGAAGGAGCGAGAAGAACCCGCCGGGGCTGAAGACCTGGTCGCGCACCGAGTGCCCGGTGAGCTCCGCGCCGAGGGCGGCGACGATGCCGACCATCGCGGCGCGACCGTTGATGATCTCCGTCCTCGTCTGCATCCCGGTCACCATGTCCGGCGTGAGCGCGAGGTTGAACCCGGCGATGGACGTGCTCGCGGCGCCGGCGACGGAGTTGGAGAGATCGGCCTCGATGATGGACGCCTTGTTCACGCGCGCGGGGTACATCTGCCCGAACTTGTCCTTCACGGTGACCTCGTCGCCGACGCATGACACGGTGTACACCTTGCCGTCGATGTTCCTCGTCGTCGTGCCGTCGAGGTTGTTCACGAGGTTCGGCTTCGTGACGTTCACGGACTTCCAGCCTTTGGATTCCTCCGCGTCCGCGGAGACGCGGACGACGGCGGCGCGCGTGGAGCGCGCGGTGGCCACACGCGCGGAGCGCGCGGGGAGGCGCACGGAGACGCGGGAGGAGACGGAAGCGGAGGCAATGGTCATCATCTTGGCGTGCGGGGTGCGCGTGGAGTGAGAGCGTAAGGTAAAGCGCGCCGGTTGGGATAACGCGTCTCCGTGAACGCCTCTGTGAGGTCCACAGGCGGCGACGCGACGCGGTCCACGTCGGCGGCCCCCGCGTGTGCGAGTAAGAAAATTTATGCGATTACAACGTCATCGACAAAGTAGTCGAACACACACCCCTGCGCTCATAATGCATCGATTTCGATCGAGCCGTCGGGGGATGTCCGCGGCGCTCGCGCGCGGCGTCGCTCACGCCGCCGCCTGCGTGGAGGGCTCGGGCGCCTTCGTCTTCGCCTTAGCGACGTCGCCGGCGGGCTTCTCTTTCGGCTGCGGCGGCTTTTTGCCGTTCCTCTTCGGCGGCGGCGGCTTCTTCACCGCGTCTTTCCCCGAAGCCGCGGCGGGCTCGCCGTCGCCGCCGGCGGGACTCGCGGTCGGTTTCGAACTCTTCTTCGCCTTCGACTTCCCCGCGCCCTGTGCCTTGCCGTCCCCGCCGGAGCCGCTGTCCTTCTCCTTCTTTCCCGCGCCGCCGCCGCCGCCGCCGCCGTGCTTCCCGCCCTGATTGGTCTTCTTCGCCGCCTTGACGACCGCCGCGGGGGGCGGCCCGGGGGGCACTGGCGGGGCCGACGCCCCTGAACTGCTCTTCGGCGTGCCCGGCGGCGGCGGGCCCGGAGGCGGAGGCGGCGACGGAGGCACCGCCGCGGCCGCGCCGCCGCCGCCGCCCTTTCGCCGCTGTGACTTCTCCGCGGACGTCGGCGGCGTCGCGCCGTTCGCGTCCTCGCCACCCTTGCCGCCCTTTTTGCCCTTGGTCTGCTGCCTCGGCGAGCCTTTGTTCGGCTTATGGTCCTTCGCGACCGTGGCGTCCGGCTTGCGCGCGATGACAACCTTGCTCGGCTCGTGCGTCTCTTTGCTCACGGGCGGTCGTCGTTCGCCGTGCGAGGACGACCGCGACGTGGACCCGCCGCCGCCGCCCGCCCCGCCCGGGGACCAGAGCTTCTTCTCGTGGTCCGCCAGGCGCAAATCTCGGAGATGCTCAGGGAGCTTCGCGCTGCTGAAGTTTGGCGACTTCGCGGCGATCGGCGGCGGCGCACCCTGCGCGCGCGTCAACACCCGCACGGGACCGCCGCCGCCGTTCGGGGGCGACCCCACACCGACCCCGCCCCCTCCGGGGGGAGGCCCCGGCGGCGGCGGCGGAGGCGGGGATCCCCCGTCGCCGTCGTCGAGCGAGGGCAACACGGAGTAATCCATCCCCGGATCGTCCGAGCCCCACTCGTTCATAATCCCGAGCGACGCGCCCCCGCTCGAGCGTCGGATCGGCGGCGACGCCGGCGGCGCGTCGTCGCTCGTCTTCATCGCGCTCGACGGCGGCGGTCCGGGCGGCAGCGGCGGCGGTCCGGGCGGCGGTCCGGGCGGCGGTCCGGGCGGCATCGGCGGCGCGACGCCGCCTCGCTCGTGCTCGAACGATCGCCGCCTCGGCGGGCCGCGGTCGTCGTACTCTCTGTACTGCCGCTGGTGGTGGTGGTGGTGGTGGTGGTGGTGGTCGCGGTACCCGTACTGCCCGTGTTGGTCGTGGTACCCTCCCCCGCCGCCGCCTCTGAACCCTCCCCGGTCGTCGTGGTGCTGGTGTTCCCTGCCTGACTCGTCGTACCGTCGCTCGTCCCTCGCGTACCCGCCGTTGACGTCTCGTCCCCACCCGTCTCTTCCTCCGCGTTCGCTCCACTGCGGCGGCCCGCGCGCGCCGTACTCTCTCTCCCCGTACCCTCGCCCGGGTCCCGGGCCGCGGTCGTCTCGCTCGTCATACCCGTCGTGCGGTCTGTGCGGGTGGCCTCGTTCGCCGCCGCCGCCGCCGCCGCCTCCTCCGCCTCCGCCTCCGTGAAGGTCCGGGTACGAGTCCACGCGTCGACGTTGATCGGGGGGCGGCCCTCGCCCCTGGTCTCGCCCGCCACCCCCGGGCGAGCTCCACGCGGCGCCGACGCCTTGCGGCGCCCACGTCCCTCCGCCGTCGTCTCCGCCGTCGTCCCCGTGCCCCCACGTGTGATGCCCTTTCGGAACGAGCACGACGTTCGGGTCGTTGTTCAGCCGCGGGTTGTCGATGTTGTTTTCTTTCCTCTGCGACGGCAGGTTGATCGGTTTCGGCGCGGCGATGCGCCCGAGGGAGACCATCCTCCCGACCCTGTGGCCGTTGACGGTCGTCCTGTCGGTGTCGGCGAGGTGGGAAAGGGGGTGGAACGTCAGGCGAGGGGCGCGCGGGTTGGGGGCGAGCGCGGGCGAGCGCGCGCGAGATGGAAAAAGCGCGGCCGGCGTCTAGGGCAAAGCGCGGCGAACGCCGACGCGTCGCGAGATCCGCGCGCGCGAGGACCCGCGGCGCGCGCGAGATCGCGCGCGCGCGACGAGCGACGCGATGCGATCGTCGTCGATCGACGCGCGGCATCGCAAGCGGTCGAGGACGTACCTAGAGCTCATCGTCGCGTCGCGAGATCACGCACGGGCCGCGGCGGTTCGGTCCGCGAGGTGGACGGGGCGGTTCGATGGGAAATTCCTCGCTCGCTGACGCGGCGCGGCTTCGCTGACGTCGACCGCGGACGCGGTTCGCGGACTCCGAGACGCCGCGCGTTCGATCCTCCGGTCTATCGCGTCCACGAGAAGCACTCGATCGCGGCGAACGGTCAGATCCGCCGCAACCCGCGCGCCTGCGCTTCTGACGCGGCTCGAAGCGATCTGATTCAGCTTCGTCACTTGCTGACGAGGGCAAGTTCGGGCGACTGAAGTCGCGGCCGGCTCTCGCTTCGAGCGGGGAAAAAAATCCACACCACTCGTGAGTGCCTACATACGCGTCGTCGTCGTCGTCGTCGTCGTCGTCTAAGTCGCCTATGATTATCTCCCCGCTAGCTAGCTAGTCTACGCATCTCTCGTCAACCCCCGGAACAACCCCTCCCACGTCTCCGAGGTGACCTCTCGCGCGGTGAGAACCTCCGCGGCTACGCCGTCGCCCTCGCCGCCGCCGCGTCGACGGAAAACGCCCTCCGCGAAGGCGACGACCTTCGCGAGCGTTCTATCGGACAGGATGTCCGCGATCGACAGCGTCGCCGTCGCGACCGCGGTGTCGCGCTCGTACACCTCGAACGTGCGATTGGCGCAATTGGCGCTCTCCGCGGCTTCCACGCACGCGGCGGCGGCGTCCGCGCGGGTGATGAACCCCGCGACTTCGTCGCCTTGGTTCACCGCGAGCGAAGCCGCGCCCTTCGCGTCGCCGTCGAGTAAGCCGCTCGGGCGGACGATCGTGTACGTGCACCCGCGCTCGACCGCGGCCGTCGATTGGTACACAGCCCTGAGCCCGTCCTCGCCCGCGGCCTTCGCGTCCATCCTCCCGCCGAACGCGTTTAAGAAACCGTACGCGGGCGCTTCGCGCTTCGTGACGCCCGCGCCGGAGACGAGCACGAGCCTTCGGACGTCGTTCTCCACGCACGCGCGCGCGACGTCGACGACGCCGTCTCTGTCGACCGCGTCAGGGTCCCCGGACGCGGACGCGGTCGCCGCGAAGTACACGACGTCCGCGCCCGCGACCGCCGCCGCGACGCCGGCGGCGCCGGCGGCGACGTCGCACGCGCATCTGGTCACGAGCGTCGACGACCACGGCGCGGAGGTGGCCGCGGCGGCGTCGAACGCGCCGCTGCGCGTGCACGCGCGGACGTTCGCGCCGTTCCGCACGAGCCGCTTGACGATTTCGGTGCCGGTCCGGCCGCCCGCGCCGAGGACGACGTGCGCGCGATCCTCGCGGGAGACGGTCGGATCGTCGCGACGAGCGCTCGTCGCGACGTCGTCGTCGCTCGCGTTCGTCGACGCCGCGATGGCGGCCGCGCGGCGTATCGCTCTCGACGGAGCTCGCGCGCGGTGCCGCGATGCGAGCCGCGGCGTCGCCGTCGCGACGCTCGCGGCGGACGCCATGCCGCGCGGGGGCGAAGTGCGAGACGACCCGTTTCTCGCCGAGAGGCGAACGAAAACAACGAACTGTTTGGCAATGAATGCGAATTTCCCGCTCAGTCGCGGGGGCGCACGCGAGGCGGGCGCGATGCAGCGGCGGGCGTACCACGAGGCCGGGGGCGGGCCTCGGAAGCACCGCGGGAAGGCGCGGGCTCCGAATCGCGTCGCGGAGGTGCGCGCGCAGGCGACGGGCGGCGCCTCTCGCTACGACGACGGCGACGACAGCGACGACGAATCCGATGACGACGGCCGCGACGACGCGCTCGTCGCGATCATGGCGGACGAGTTCTGGGTCCTCCTGTTCGCCATCGTGTACGCGTTCGGGTTCGTGTTCTTCGTGCTCGGGTGCACGTTCAAGTGGTACGGAAGCAGACACCCGTTCTGGACGAGGGTGATATGGGGGTTCGCGGGTTGGGTCGTCCTCACGACGATGTACATTCTCGACCCGAGGTTGGAGCACTGGAAGCGGCGGTTGACGCCGAGTCTCAAGGCTGCGAATCGCGCGTGGAGATGGGCGGTGGACACGTGGCGGGAGAAGAAGATAGGCGATGCGATCGCGGAGTGGTGGCGGTGGAGGACGACGTACAAGCCGCCGCCGGTCGCGGAGATGGTGTGAGCGACGCGCCGGGAGGGCGCGTCGACGACGACTCGATCGTCAATCTAATTAGCCTAATTAGGAGAGGTAGACTGTAGAAGCTAGACGCTACAACACGTCCCTCGCGCCGATGCGAGACATGACCGCGTCCTCCACGCTCCCGATCCCCTCCTTACACTCCAACTCCCCGGGCTTGTAGTACTTCTTCACGAGCGCGTCGTCCCTGAGCGCGGCCATCCCGTCCTCGACGTCGTTCACCGGGACGGCGCCGGGAAACATCGCGAGCATCGCCGCCGCGTCGGCGTCGGACGCGTCGAACCTGCACGCCAACACGACGTCCGACGCGTCGTCCATGCCGAACCTCCTGAGACCTTCCGTGATGTGCTTCGACGCGGAGAGGTTGTACACCAACTCGCTGTGTAACGTCCGCGTCGTCAGCGCGTTCCGCTCGCGCGACGCCAGAGCCTTGTGCGCGGCGAGCCGCAGCGCGAAGAGCGATTGGATCGGCCTAGGGTTCACGAGCGCCACCTCGGGCTCGAGCGTCCGCGCGAGGAGCTTGTCCAGGACGTCCTTCGCGTTCGTGACGTCTTTGAAGAGGATGACCGTGAGGTTTCTATCGGGGAAAGCCTCGAACTTCAGCACCGTGGGGGCGAACGACGACATGCAGTGCTGCGACGACGCCGGTGCGACGACGGTCGTCGAGGACGAGAATCGGGGTTGTTAGCGCCGCGCCGCGCGGTGGCTTCCGCTTCTTGAGATTCGGGACACCCTATCCGCCGCGGGTCCAGGGCGCACGCGTCGGCGCGGCGTCGCGATCGATCGTCCGCCGATATCGACTCCGGGGTCGTGCGGCGCGGGAGTGGCGCGCGGTCGGCCGGTGACGGCGCGAGACTGATGACTGATGACGACGTGCGGAAAAACGACGCCCGCGCCAGCAGCAGAGAAGACTGAGATTTCGAACCGCCGAGGACGTCTCCGCGCACTCCGAGCGGCGCAACCTCATGAGCGACGACGAAACTCGACTCCCGGACGAGCCCGAGCCGACGCCGGAGCCGAAAGAGTTCCCTCCGATACCCCCCCGCGAGCCGCACGAACCCTTGGATCCGCGGCTCCCTTCCGTCCTCTCGTCGTGAGCGCGGAGAGGACAGATCCGATCGGAGGCGAGCAACTAACATCTCGGGAGGGCGATGTCCGAGCACACGCCGTCGCGGCGCGCGCGCGCGTCGCCGCGGCAGACGTCCACCCCGCGGCGACGTTCGTCCGACCTCGACGACGGCGCGTCGCACCACGTCGGGGTGACGCTCACGCCGAGCGGGCGGTACCGCGCGAGGTACAAAGACAAATCGCTCGGCACGTTCGACACCGTCGACGAAGCCGTGGACGTCCGCGCGGCGTACGAGCGCGAGCGCGAGCGCGGCGGCGGCGGCGGCGGCGGCGGCGACAGAGTGGACGAGGACGAGGACGACGCCGCGACGCCGACGCGAGGGAGGGGCGCGAGCGCGAGCCCGAGAGGCGCGGCGAGGACGCCGCGACGCGCGGGACGACGCTCGGCGGACGCGGGAGAGACGGAGCCGACGCGCGGCGGCGGCGGCGGCGCGCGGTGGACGACGCAGCTCGCGCTCGCGCTGTTCTTCGTCGTCGTCGCGCTCGCGATGGCGCCTCCCGGGGGAAGGACCTGGACCGGCGCTCGGACCGCGTCGTCGCCGTCGCCGCCGCCGTCGGTGGCGTCGGCGTTTCGTCGACCGAGCTGCGCGGCGGCGGCGGGCGCGGACGACGCGGTCGTCGCGCTCGCGCCCGCGCGGTGGGAGGAGACGGTCGGGATGTTCATGGACGCGGTGCGAGAGACGTCGCGGCTCGGTCGCGGCGGAAGCGGAGACGAGACCGACGACGCGCGCGCGTCGTCCTCGAACGCGGGCGGCGGCGCGGCGGGGAAAGGCCCTTCGCTGATGCTCGTCGCGGACGGCCCGAACGACGCGCGGACGGTCGCGCGCGACGTCAAGGCTGCGTTCGACGCGTGCGACGCGGAGGAGTGCGTGCTTCTGATCGACTGCGAGTGGTACGCGGCGTCGAGCGCGGTCGGGTCCGCGTCCGAGCGCGCGGAGCAAGACGCGCGGGGCGCGTTGCAAAAGTCGTTGGCGACGTTTCTGACGCGGTGTCCGCGCGGCGTCGTCGTGATTCAAGGCGCGGAGAGCCTGAACAGGCCGCTGCTGTCCGCGCTGCTTCCCGCGCTGAGCGAGGGCGGGCGGTTCATGCGCGACGGCGCGGAAGTGCGCGCGGATTTGGCGTCGTACGTCGTCACCGTCGCGTTGGGGGGACGGTGGACGACGACGACGACAGCCGGCGGCGGCGGCGGAGGAGGAGGAGAGAGCGTCCGCGCGTGGATGGAGAGGGAGTGGGTCGAGGGCCGGAGCGTCCGCGCGTGGATGGAGAGCGAGCGGACGTTCGCGAGGCGCGCGAAGGACGCGCTCGCGGACGTGTTCGCGGGCAAGGCAGGGGTGCACGGCGGCGGCGGCGACGAGGGAGGCGACGACGGCGTCGTCGGCGCGTTCAGAAGACGCGTCGACTTTGTCGTGCCGTCGCGTTTGATCGAGGACGGCGCGTCGTCGTCGTCGTCGTCGTCGTGAGTAGTACGATACAACCAGAACTTTGATTCGTGTCATTAATACAAAGTGTCGAGAGTGACGTGACGTCGTCCTCGCGCGGTCGCGCGATCGCTCGTGGCCGTTCGCGCGTTGGAGAAACGCTCGAACGAGACCACATCTCAGCGTCGCCGCCAGGGAAGGTACCCTTTGCGCGGCGCGCGTCATTCGCGAGCGATGCGCGCGGTCGACGCGAGGCGATATCGCGTCACTCCTCTCACACTCTCTCTCTCCATTTAACTGCGCTCTCGCGAGTGTTCACTCGCTCACGCGGCCCCCGCGCCCTTCGCCTCGATGGCGGCGAGGATCTTCTCGAGCTTTTCCATCGAGTCGACGTGGCCGTCGCCGTTGAGCTTCGAGTGCACGAGGTCGGTGCCGTCGAGGACGACCTCGAACGCGCCGCTGGACGTCGGCGTGGGTTCGCCCGAGGATTCGACGCTCGGGAACTTCGCCTTGATAGCATTCTCCACCTGCTTATACTTCGGGGCGTAGCCTGACGGGAGAGCGGGGGGCGCGTCAAATTTAGGGATGAGGAGGAGGCCGCACGGAGAACGCGCACGTGGTCGTCGGGTTCGGGGATGGACGGGGGCGAACGTCGCGCGCGCGCACCTCAGCCTCCGCAGTACGTGATGTGAACCTTCACCATGGTGTTCAGGTTGATGCGGGTGCTGTGTAGCGCGCGGGCGAGGCGTCGGGCGAGCGTCGTGCGCGTCGCTTTGGAAGCGCGTTGAAATACGACTCTACCGAGATATTCTCGGTGTGTCACTCCGTGCGTCACCAACGAACTCAACAAAACACGTGAACGCGACTCTGACTGTTTGCCCATAAGTTGTTTAGGGCTAAGTTGCAAAAAAAATACATAACCTGGGAAATGGCCCAAATTCCGATCTGGGATATTCACTTTTTGCCTCAGAGACTCGATCGAAGGGCGAAAACTCCCGGCGGCGGCGGCCGCGCATTCTCTCACCGCCGCGCGTCGACGCCCGCCGCGTTCGCGTCGCACAAGATGGACGCCCCGTCCGAGTTCGCGTCCGCTGACCCGTCCTCGACGGTGAACATGATCTTAAAGAAAGCGAAGACGAACCTGGGGAAGCGGACGCTCATGAAGAAAGCGCCGAAACTCGTCGAGAAGGACGGGAAGATGTGCATCATGCTCCACGGCGGGAAGAGCAGCCAGGTCTTAAAGAACCTCGTGACCGACCTCGCGGTCATGAAGAAAGGCGAGTGCCACAAGATGACGAAGAAGAACGACGGCATCCGCCCGTTCGAAGGCGGCGGGGAGACGTCTCTGGAGTTTTACGCGCAGAAAGCGGACGCGGGCGCGTTCGTGCTCGGGACCGATCAGAAGAAAAGGCCGGACTGCCTCACCGTCGGACGGTTCTTCGATTACCACCTCTTCGACATGGTCGAACTCCTGGTGAAAGACTACAAAGGCATCCGAGAGTTCGGCGCGACCGGGAACCAGGCCGTCGCCGGGTCGAGACCGTGCATGGTGTTCGTCGGCGACAGGTTCGAGACGGAGCCCGGGCTGAAGCTCGCGAAGAACATCCTTCTGGACGTCTTCAGGGGGCGGCCGGCGTCGAGGATCAACCTGAAAGGCGTGGACCGCGTCATCGTGCTCACCGCGTTAGAGGACAAGGTGATGTTCCGTCAGTGCGCGATCAAGTTTAAGAAGTCCGGGACGCGGATGCCGAAGGTGGAGCTTCACGAGATGGGGCCGTCGTTTGACTTCACGCTGGGACGCACGCAACAGGCGCCGTCGGACGTCAAGAAGCAGGCGTACGCGAAGGCGAAGTCGGGGAAGAAGATCAAGAACGTGTCGCAGGACTCGTTGGAAGGGAAGGTTGGGCGGATATACGTCGAGAAACAGCAAGGGCTGGAGGACATGGCGTACATGAAGATGAAAGGATTGAAACGCGAGCGGAGGCAAGCCGCGGAGGAGAGAGAAGACGCGAAGAAGCGAAAGGCGCTCGAGGGGAAAGGCGGGAAAGGCGAGGACGACGGCGACGACGACGACGCGTGAGGCGGGCGAGAGAGGAGTCACCGTGTTAGATGAATGATCGCGCGCTGCCTAGCTAGAGCGCTGTTAACGTGCTACGTGCCTACGCTATGCGTGTCTATGCGGCGCCGCCGCCGCCGCGACGAGTTCATCGTCCTCCAGTCAGTTCCCGTAGTAATTGAACGGACTCTCCACTCGCGGGTCCACGGCTCCGCCCGCGGTCGTCGGGTCCTCGCACGGCTCCTGCTCGCACCGCTCGTACGGGTTCAACGGCGTCTCGAACCCGAACGTGCCGTCGTCCTGAGGGGGCAGGCAGTCGACCTCGCCGGTGCCGTAGTCCACCACGCGGCACGTCCCCCGCTTGCACTGACACAGACAACACGACTCATCCGGGAGGAAGAACCGGTCCCTCGGGACGATCGACCGCGACACCCCCGGGGCGGACCACCACAGCACGAGCGTGCTCCACGTCTCGCCGACGTAGTAGTCGATCCGTATGTCGTGATACCCCGCTTCGAGATGGGCGCGCGCGTGCAACGACCGAGAGACGACGACGCCGTCTCTCTCCGCGTTGTAATCGTTGTCCACGGCTAACACGCCGTCGATCCACATCTTCGCGCCCTCGCGGTTGTCGAGCTCGAACGTGAACGTGTTCGTGTGGTCGACGAGAATTTGCGTCGTGATGCGAGCCGCCCATCGGTTCGTGTACGTTCGTCCGTCGTAGCGTTCGAATCCTTTCGGGCGGTTGCTGGACATCGCGTAAATCTCCGACCACGCGATCTGCTGGTCCCCGAACGCCTGCGGCTTGTTCACCTGCTGCATGAACGTCACGAGGTCCGGCGCTCTCGCGTCGAGGTTCGGGACGCTGTACAGCGGGCCGTAGTACTTGTACGCCGCGAGCTGCACGCCCTGCGTCTTCGGCGTCAACGGTTTCGGCTCGAACAGGCCGAGGTCCATGCCGCGCGTCCGCGGGAGCGCGACCGCGCCGAGGAGCGCGAAGAGGACGAACGAGAGCGATGGCATCGCCGCTTCGGTTCGTTCACGACGTCGTCGAAGGCTCCCGGCGTGTTCTGCGCGCGGTCGCGGTCATGACGAGCTTCCTCCCCCGCGCGTCGGAGTAGTGAGCCGTTGCGTGTGTGTGTTGTGCGGTCCGAGAGCCGACGCGAGCCGTAAACTGTTTTCGACGATCGCCCGCGGCCTCTCGTCAGAAACGACGGCGCAGCGAGCGACGCGCGCGATAGCGATACGAGTACTGTAGCCCTGTCGCGCGAGCGCGGCCATGACGAAGTTTGACAATGTCGCGATCTCGCACAGGAAAAAGTCGAAGGGCGAGAGCTACACCGCGGCGGAGCTGCGGAGGAACATGATGGAATTCCAGCGCACCGGCGTCCATCCCGAGCTGAAGGCGAGGGAAGAGAGCAACACGGACGCGTCGTCCTCCCTCCCCATGCATAACCCCGGGCGAGCGCACGCCTTCATGGACATCGCGGTCGGGAAGGACCCGATCGGGACGCTCGTGATCGAAGTCTTCGACGACATCGCCCCGAACGCGGCGAGGGAGTTCATCCTTCGCGTCTCCGACGACGGCGGCGCCGGACGCGCCGGGGACGTCAAGTACGCGAACACGGAGATACACATGATCGCGGACGGCGTGAACATCGACGGCGGACGCGCGCCCGGGATGAAGCCGCCGACCGGCGGCGGCGGCGTCCCGATCGAGGAGGCGAAGACGCTGACGCACTGCGAGGCGGGGGTGGTCTCGCTGAAGCGCGACTCTCCGGAGTACACGATCGCGTTGCATCACTGCCACCACCTCGACGGAGCGAGGCAAGTCGTCGGCAGGGTCGTTAAGGGACTCGATCACTTGAGCACGCTGTCGGAGATCGAGGTCGACGACCAGTGGGAGCCGATGCGTAAGGTGATGGTCACGACGTGCGGGGTCACGACGTGGGCGGCCGCGGACGGCGGGACCTTGTCTCTCGCCGCGGAGACGAGAGCCGCGAACGCGGCGGCGGCGGCGGCGCGAGCCGCGAAGGAGCGCGGGGAGAGCAAGGAGGAGACGAAGAAGAGGTTAGACATGGAGAGCGCGGCGTTGGGCGCGGGGTTGAAGCGGTCGCTCGCGGACGGGATCGCGGCCGCGGCGGAGGCGGAGAGGAAAAGAGCGAAAGTCGACGCCGCCGCCGCGCCGAAACCGGTCTGGCGCGGGGGGATGATGGACGCGATGCTCGGCGAGTTGTCCGACAGCGACGGCGACGACAGCGACGGCGACGAGGATTGAGCAGAGCGTCGTCGGGATGCGAACGCGTCGACGAATGAATAATCGATACAGTACGCATCACGACGCGAGAAGGGCGCGCGCTGCGACCGAGACATCGAACGTCTCACACGCTCGCGAGCCCTTGGTCGATGAGCTCGTCCGCGATCGGCGGCGGCGCGCGCCCCTTCGCCATGTCGTACCCCTTCCTCCTCTCCACGTCCGTCGGATCCGTGAGCGTCTTCTCCCCTAACAGCCCGAACGGATCGTTGTTCTCGCACACGACGCTCAGCGCGGCGACGTCCGCGGGCGGCGCCTCCGCCCGCGTCGCCGCCCGCAACAACGTCGCCGCGAGGTTCAGACGCTTCGTGTACCCCTGACCTTGATCCCCGAGCTTCCAGTACAAGTCTTGGTACTTCACGTCGTACAAGTTATCCACCAACCTCGCGGAGAGGTCCGCGAGCAAGAGCGGCCCGTTCCCTCTGAGTTCGCCCGAGCGAACGATGTGCGCGGTCCACCCGCCGTTCGCCGCAGCCTTCGCGAGCGTCGCTTCCGCGAGTGCGAACCCGTCCAACGACCCGGGCTGACCGGTGGGGCCGCCCGTGGGGAGGGTCAACCCGAGCGCGTTCTTCTGCATCTGCTTCGGCGGCTCGTTCTGCTTCTCGAACGGGACCTTATCCCGGCGGTTGACGCCGACGCGCGAGAGCATCACGACGCGTCGCAGTTTTTCGCCCTCGGCTCGCGCCAGCAGCGCCTCCGCGAGCTCGTTCTGCGTCGCGCCCCACTCCGCGGCGAATATCACGTTCGTGGCCGCCTTCATCGCGTCGCCCGCGTCGCGAGGATCCACGAGCGTGGCTTTGATGAGCTCCTGCGCGGTCGCGAACATCCTCTGCTCGACGACGTCGTCAGGCATGTCGTCCGGCCAGTAATCGGATTGCTTGTCCTGCGACACGACCAGCGTGACGTTGTCGCCTCCGAAGGTTCGCACCGCGAGGCTCGCGACGAGGCGGCCGGTGGGCGTCGTCGCGCCCGCGATGAGCACCGAGGACGCGGAGGAGGCGTTCGCGGCGACGGAGCGGCGCGCCGCGCGCGCGGCTGTTCCGTGGTGGCGAGAACGAGGGGCGAGGCGCGAGGGTGAGTCGAGACGCGCGATCGGACGGCGTCGCGTCGACGGGTCGAGCCTCGAGCGCGAGAGGAAAAGGGACAGGACCGTCCGACGGACGCGGCGGGGCGGGGCCCTGCCCCGACGCGCACCTTGGCGGCGGCGGCGCAGCGGCGCGGTGGACGCGACGCGCGCGGGCGCGGAAATCGCGCCGGCGGACAGCGCGGACATCTCCGATGCGGCGGGCGTGCGTGCGCGCGCGTCCGCGAAGTGGATCCCGGCATGTGCGACAGTTGTCGCGCTCTGGTGGGCGCGACGGATCTCGGCTCGGCTCGGCGACGAGCGCGAGCAGAGTGCCGACGCGAGAGGCGCGCCCCGGCAGAAGCGGGGGGAGCGGCGGCGCTCTCATGAGCGCCCCCGACCCCGCCGCGACGCGCATCGTGACGGGGGTCGTGCGCAAGCGAAGGAGCCTGTCGAAGAGGCTCACGTTCATCGACCTCGAGGTGTCGCCGTCGGAGCCGTCGGTGCCTCTCGTGTGCGACGGATGGATCTGCGCGAAATCTGTCGTCGCGGCGACGACGATCCGAGCGTCCGGAGTCTGGGAGCCGTCGCCGGGGCGGACGAACGAAACGCGGTTCGCGGTGCGCGCGGACGGCATCGAGATCATCGAAGACCGCGCGGCGACGTTCAGCGCTTGGGACAACGCCGCGGAGGCGGCGGCGTGGCGCGCGAGGGTTCGCGACGAGCGCGCCCTCGGCGCCGTCGACGGCGAGACGACGCGCGACGACGCCGCGAACGCGAACCGCGCGGCGTCGGGGATGTGCCTGTCCTGGGCGGACGTCGGGACGTGCGCGGACCCGAACTGCGTCGCGCGGCACTGCGCGTCCACGCGATGGGAAGAGCGACGACGTCAGCGCGCGGAGTCGAGGCGGACGAGCGCGACGGGGGGGGATCGCGAGGAGGATGTCCACGGGGACGCGGCGAAGACGAAACACAACGAGGTTTTTGCGACGTGGATCGTGGATACGTTCGGTTTGGATGCGTTACGAGGCGGCGTCGTCGACGTCGCGGGAGGACGAGGAATGCTCGCGCTCGAGCTCGCGCTGAAACACGGCGTCGAAGACGTCACGTTGATAGAACCGAAACCGTTGCGTCTGAACAAGTCGTATCGGAGACGGATTAAAAAGTGGGCGGCGAGACGCGCTGCCGCCGCCGCCGACCACGCCGATGACGCGCCGACTCCGGTGCGTCACGTCCAGAGCATGTTTCACGGCGTGGACGGCGACGCGAACGCCGCCACCACGGAGGCCTCGATCGCGTTCAGAGACGCGTCCGTCGTGCTCGCGATGCACCCGGACCAGGCGACGGAGCCGTTCGTCGACGCGGCGCTGGCGTTGAACAAAAATTTCGCCGTCGTGCCGTGCTGCGTCTTCGCGGGGGCGCACCCGGGGAGGAAGACCGCGGACGGGGAGGACGTCGTGACGTACGAGCAGCTGTTGGATTACATCCAAGCGAAGGCGCCGGACGTGAAGCGGGACACGTTAAAGTGCGAGGGACGAAAGGTTGTTTTATATCGACTAGTAGCTAGCTAGACTAAATTAGACTCTATGAGGACGCGATCTGCGCGACTGCCTCGACCCGCGTCGCCTCCGCCTTGCGCGCCCTCGCGCGTGCGCTCTCCACGCGAACGAACGCGTCTTTCCTCTCCGCCCTGGACGAGATCGCCCGCCGCGTCGCCGTCTTCGCCTTCGCCTCGAACGCCTTCGCTTCCCTCGCGTGTCGGCGTTCCATCTCTCTTTTTGCGACGGCGAACGGCTTCTCGTGATCGGCCGTCTCCGGGAGCTTCGCGTCGCGACCCCCGCGGCTTCTGGACACCGCCGCGGGGGCGACGACGCCCGGGTCGCGGCTGAACGCCTGCGACGCGTCCGAGGGGTTTAAACCGTCGCCGCCGTCGCGGTACACGTGCGCGGCGTACCCTTGGAACAAAGTCTTTACGTACTCGCCGGCGGCGTGTTTTTTCCGCGTGGCTTTCCTCGAGCCGCCGCCGCCGCCGCGCTCGTGCCAGTCCTCGAGCTGGAGCAACTCTTCCTCGTGGCGGTGCGCCATCTTTCTTCGCGCGCGATCGTGTTTCGCCAGCAGTTTCGCCGTCGCCGCGGCGTCCTCGTCGTCGAATTTCTTTTCGATCGCTTTCGTCTCGTCCTCGTCGAGCTCGCCGCCGCCGCCGGGGCTCTTCTCAGGGACAGCCGCGCGCCGCGCTGCGCCTTTATCGCGGCGTCGGCGACGCGCCTCGAGCGCGGCGGCGCGCGCGCGTTTCCTCTCCATCTCCGCATCTCTCGCGCGAAGCCTCTCCAAAGCGTCCGACGCGTCCCTCGCTCTCCTCCCCGCCGTCGTCAGCGCGTGCGTCGCTTCGCACAACTTTTGCCTCGCCGCGGCGTGCTTCTCCGCCGCCTCCGCCGCGAGCTCGTTCGCGAGCGTCGTCGCTCGGCGCGCGCGCGCGAGGCGCTTATCGTACGCCTCGTGCCCTTTGCGAATCTCCGTGCACAGCGCGAGAGCGCTCGCGCTCGCTTCCTCCGCGGCGGCGACCGCGCTTCGAAGTCCCGGCCCTTGCGCGCGTAACCGCGACGCCGTCCGCCTCGCCTCTTCGAGCCGCGCCTCCGCGGCGAGGAACTCGCCGTTGAACTCCTTGCGGCACAGCTCCACGGACGCGTCTTCTTCCTCGACCGCGGCGTCTTTCGCCGCTCGCGACGCGGACTCGGACGCGTCGCGCGCGGCCGCGGCGGCCTCGCCCGCGGCGGCGGCGACCGCTTTCAAACGCTTGACCGCCTCCCTCGTCGTCGCCTCGAGCGCCGCCGCGCATTCGAGCGGGGAGCGTCTCTTCGCCGCGTCGGCGTCGGTCTCGGCGGCGTCGGCGGCGTCGGCGGCGTCAGCTGGCGCGGGCCCGTTCGCGCGGTCGGCGACCACGCCGCGATCGAGCGCGTCCACTTTCTCGCGCAGAGCTTTGGACGCCAGCAGCGCGTCGTGATGTCTCATCTCCGCGGTGCGCGCTTTCATTCGCGCGAGCTCCGCGCGTTCGTCCGCGTCCTCGAGCGCGCGTTCCGCGTCCCCGGCGCGCAGGCGAAGGGACGACACCTCCCCCGCGGCTGTCTGCGCGGCGGTGACGCGCGCGGCGGTGCTCTTCGCGAGCCTCTCCGCGCGGCGCGTTTTTCTAAGTCGGTCGCCCTCGCCGCGAAGGTCGTTCGCCCGCCGCGCGCGTCGGCTCTTCGATTTCGACGCGGCGTCGACGAGGTCCTTCGCCGCCGCCGCCGCCGCCGCCGCCGCGGCGCGCGCTCTCGCCGCGGCGCGTCGCTCGTCCGCGTGCGCCCTCGCGAGCGTCTCCTCCGCGTCCGCGAGAGCGATCCAGCACGCGTCGAGCGCGTCGCGCTCGGACCGAACGTGCTCGTCCGCGTCGGTGACCGCGGCGAGCGCGCGCGCGACGTCGCCCTCGGCGTCGGCGACGACGGCGTCCGCCTCGGCTGCGACTTTTTTCGACCGCGCCGCGGCGGCGGCGACGGCTTTAAACTTCATGCTCATCTCCATCGCGCCGACGACCGCAGCGACGTCCGCGGCTTCGCACGCGGCGGCCGCGATGTGCGCGCTCGCCGCGTCCATGGACACGCACACGCGCGCCGCGGACGTTCGTCGGCGGTGAAACGACGCGAGCTCGTCCGCGACGCGGAGCGCCCTCGTCGCTTCTTCGCGTTTTTCACGAGCCGCCGTCACCGCCGGCGCGAGAGCGTCGCGTTCGCGACGCGCGTCGTCCACGTCTGCGACCGCGTCCTCGGCGTCCGCGGCGGCGTCGACGTCGTCGACGTCTTCCTCCGCGGCGTCCGTCGCGATCGCGGCGGCGGCTTCGCGTTCGATGAGGACGTCCGTCGCCTCGGACCAGTCCCCTTCGACGTCTTCGAGGTCGCGCGTCGCGCGCTTCAACGCACCTCGGTGCTCGTCCACGGCGCGCTCGGCCTCGTCCGCGGCGGCGGCGTACCCCTTGACGCGCGCGTGTAGCTCCTCGATCGCGCCTAACGTCGGGTTCTTGATGCGCTCGAGGCGCAACGTCTCCGAGGCGTCTTCCATCGCTCGCGTCCCCGCCGTGGCGATTCGTTTCGCCGTCGCCAGCCGAACGATCGACATCCGCGACGCGGTCGCGGCGTTGACCGCCTCGCGCGACCTTCTCGCGACGACGGCTCGCGCTTTCGTAGCGACGGCGTGCGCCCTCGCGACCGCGGCCTCCGTTCGCGCGGATGTTTTCTGCGTTTTGTTGTACGCGTCGATCGCGTCGCTCACCCGGCGCCGCGGGTCCGCGGGTTTTGCGCCGCCCGCGGCGCGCTTCGACGCCCCGGATTTAAACTCGGCGCTAGCGGTGAGCGCGGTGAGCGTCGAGCCTCTTTTCACCGCCGAGGGGGGTCTGAAAACGCTCGGGGTGAAAGCGTTTCTCCTCGGTCTCGGCATTGCTTTCAAGTCCGCGTCCTCGTCCTCGTCCGCGATGTTCGGAACCGCGACGTCGACGCGCGACGCGAGCGGAACCAGGGACGTGAACGCGTCGAGAAGAAACGGCGGCAGACGGTCCGACGCCCCGATCGCGTTCGCCGTCGCCTCGTCGAAAGCGTCCATCTCGTTCTCGAACCGCATCACCTCGTCCGTCGTCTCGTCGACCGCGAGGACGTTGAACCCGCGCTTGAGCTTCGTGACAGCGCCGGCTCGGCCGGTGAACGCGGGCGCCGCGTTCGGGGGTCCACGGCACGCGGTCAACCGTTTCCCCGCCGCGGCGGCGGCGTCGAACGTCAGCGTGACTTCGCACCCGCTCGCCGCGGAGGCGGCGGCGTAGAGCTCGCACATCGCGAGGAGGAACGCGACGCGCGCCTCGTCGGCGTCAGACCGCGCCGCCGCCAGCTCGTCCAAGGGCACGTGTTCGCGCGCTTTCGCTTTGTTCGCGGCGTCGTTCGCGACAGTCGCGGCGGTCGCCGCGTCCGCGACCCCGCGCTCGGCGGCGGCGACGTCGAGCGCGAACGCGTCCGCGGGGTCCGACTTGACACCTAACGCCGCCGCGGCGGACACCGCCGCGGCGGTGCTCTCCATCCCCGCGGCGACTTCCATCGCCTTGAACTGCGCGATCGTGCTCGCTTTGACTATTTCGAGTTTCGCCGCGCGGTCGCGTCGCGCGGCGTCCGCCGCCGTTTCCATTTCGGACGCGATCGCCGCTGACGCCGCGTGGCGCGCGTTTTCCTCCTCGAGCGTTCGTATCGCGCGCAGTCTCGCGTCCTCCGCCTCGTTCGACGCGGCGACGACCTTCTCGCACTCCTCTCGCAGCGACGTGAGCTCTTCCATGATGCCATCCGCGCGCGATCTCCACGCGGCGACCGTCTTCTCGCAGCACTCCGCGGCGTCGTCTTGTCCGTCCGCGATGAGGTTCGCGACGATCGCCTCCGCGCGCGACGCGGACTCGACCGCGTCTCTCCCGCTCTCGGTGGCTTCGCGTAAAAGCTCCCTCGCGCTCGTCGCGCGCTCGCTCATCTCCTTCGCGTGCCTCGTGCTGTTTTCCACTTCGATCGCGGCGACGCGAACGGCCTCTTTCGCCTCGCTCGCGACGCGACCAGCCTCCTTCGCGGCTCGGCCTTCCCGCGAGTCGTCCTCCGCGAGCGTGCTCACCTTCGTGCCCATGCGCACGGCGACGCCGACGGACCGTTCCCCGCACAGCATCTCTCGCGTCGCTCGGGAGATCACCGCGAGCGCGTCTTGCGCTTTCATCGCTCTCGAGCGCTCCTCCGCCTCTAGGAAAGCCTTCATCTCCTCATCGGCTCTCATCCTCTCGCGCGCTTCCGCTTCTACTCTCGTCGAGTGGTTTTCTCTCGCTCGTCTCAACGCCGCCGCGGCTTTCCCGTCGTGGAACCGCAACGCCCGGACCTCCACCTCGCGGTCGCGTTCTCTCTGCATCGCGTCCGCGCGCATCGATCTCGCTTCCTCGTCCGCGAGTCTCAGCATCCCGAGGACGCCGCCGATTCGCGGCGACGTCGACGGGTCGTCGTCCTCGTCGGCGCGATTCGTTTTGTCGCGCAGCGGCCGCGGCGCCAGGAGGATGTCATTTCTCGCACGGGACGTCGTTTCCCCGCGACCCGCGCGCCGCGCGTTCGGCCCTGTTCCCATGTCCGCGAACGGAACCGCGTCCTGGTAGCTTGCTCCTATGCGCTCGAACCTTTCCTCGATGGCTTTCATCGAGTTCGCTTTCTCGCGCTCGAACTTCCCCCGCCGCGCGTCGATCTCCGGCACGACCCGTCGATGCGCCTCGCGAAGGACGCGCGTGGAGTTCAAGTCCGCGAGCCCGGCGACGAGGTCCTTGTGTCGCGCGAGCGTCTCCTCGTTCTGTCGCGCCATATCGCGCAGATGCGTCGCGCTCGCGCGCCACTGGTTCTCCACGTTCCTCGCGTGCCCCGCCATTCGGTCCGTCCCGCGACGGAATCTACGGCACCTCGCCTCGCCCGACAGCACAGCTACGACCCCCTTTCTCGAGGATCTCGGACGCGTCGAGTCAGACGACGCGCGCGTCTCGAACGACTACTTCGCGGGGTTTCGCGTCGTGTGCGCGCGTTGTATGCATCTCCACGGCTCCGACGCCGTCGCCGATGGTCGGCGGCGTCGCTCGATGTGCGCCAGGCGTCGCGAACTAAACGATTTATTTGTTTCGTCGCGACAGACAGGACCGCGGGTGTCGGCTAATTTCAACCTCCTCCTCCAATCTGAACCACGTCCAAGAACGCGTTCACCTCCGCGCACAGGTGTTCCAACTCCACGAGTTTCAACCCCCGACCGAACCTGACCTCCTTCGCGCCGATCTCGAGCTCTAAACAATAATTCGGCACGTCGTTCGTCGTGCTCTCGACGACGATCCGCGCGCCGGTGACGTCGTCCAAGTCCCCCGCGTCGACGTCGTTTTTCAACCCCGTCGCCGTGACGTCCAGGGCGTACGTCCCCGGCGCGGCGTCCAGCGTCAGCCTCGACGCTTCGAACACTTCCTCGTACGCCATCTTCGCGACCCCCCCGCCCGCGAGCCAGAACGGGATGCTAAACGCGGCGAACAGTATCCCCCCGCCCGCGAGCGCGCTCACCGTCCACGTCGCCACGATCGAATTCCACAGGATGGCGAACCCGCCCGTCGCCGCCGCGTTCGCGGTGAGCCCCGCGGGTGGGATGACGATCAGGAGCTTCGTCTTTCCTTCCCTCTCGACGATGACGCGCGAGTTCGCGGGTTTCTTCGTCCGTCGCCGCGGGCGCGTCGCGTCCAAACCTCGTCCCCGCGAGCTCGTCCCCGCGGGCGCGCGCGGCCCCGGCGCCGGCGCCGCGTCGAAATCGTCCCACGTGCTCCCCGGCGCGCCGTCCGCGGTGGCGAAGTCGCCGTCGTCGTCGTCGCTCGCGAGACGCGCGCCGCGGAAGTTTCTCCCGCCCATGATCCCGCCTCGGGTGGAGACGAGCGCCTCGATCGCGTCCGCCGCGGTCTGGAACCGGTCCTCCGGTGAGGGCTCCATGAGCGTCGCGACGACCCTCTCTAGCCTCGGGTTTTCGATCTGGACGGCGCCGCGGAAGTTGACCTTCAGCCGGCTCTGCGGCAGGCTCGCCGGCGAGCGACCGGCGAGCAGGAACAAGATCGTCGCCCCCGCGGAGTACAAGTCCGAGACTGGGGTCACGCCGCCGATCATCTGCTCCGGGGCGCAGTACCCGAACGTCCCCACCATCGTGGACCCCATCCCTTTGCCCATCCCGGAGGCGAGCGCCTCGGACACCGCCGCGTCCGCGGTGGCGCCAAAGTCCACGAGGCTGACCTCTCCGGTCGCGCGGTCCAAGAGAACGTTGCTCGGCTTCACGTCGCGGTGCACCACGGGCGGGCGCAGGGAGCCCAAGTAGGAGAGCACCTCCAGGAGCTGCCGCGCGACGTCCTCCACCTCGGTCTCCGAAGGTCGCCACCCGCCGTCGACGAGGGATTCCAGCGTCGTCCCCGGGGCGACCCGCTGCACGAGGCAAAACTTCCTGTCCTCCGCGGTGTCGATCTCGAAGTAGTCCACGTAGTCCGGTATCGACGGGTGCGACAGGTTCTTCAGGACCTTCGCCTCGCGCTCGAAGAGCTCGAGCGCTTTCCAGGTGCTCTGCTCCCTGAGGGCGAGGCACTTCAGCGCGACGATCGTTCCGTCCTCCGTCTCCGCCTCGTACGTCGTCCCGAACGAGCCTCGGCCGAGGAGACCGCGAATGACGAACGACGCGCCGCTGCCGCTCGTGGACGTCACGATCTCGCCGGTACTGAAGATCCCCAGGCGGACGCGGGACGATCTCTCGCCCTCGGATCCGAAGACGCGGACTTCTTCGACCGCCTCGCCCGTCTCGTCATCCGATGACCGCCCCGCGGCTCGCGTGGCCCTCCGATACCGCGCGTGGCCCGCGCGCGCTCGGCGCACGCGGCAGGGTGTCGCGAGCCGGGCCGCCGCGAGGCTCGACGCCATCGTCGACGTGCCCAGCGCGGGTGGCGTTCGGGTGTTGTGAGGCTCCGCGGCGTTCGTGAACAGATTTTAGTTTTCAGTACGCGTATCAATATTCAGAGAAGCTCCTACGAGCGTGCGCTCGCGCGAGCGCGCGCGGAAAGAATGTATAAGAACAACACAAGCAATGCCCCCCCGGCGTTCACGATCAGCGCCGGAACCCGCCGCCGCGCCCGCCGCGCCCGCCGCCGCCGCCGCCACGGTTGCCGCCGCCGCCGCGACCGCCGCCGCCGCCGCCGCCCTGCCCGGGGAGGTCGGTGACCAAGTTCAGCCCCGGGACGCCCTTCAGCCCCATCATCCCCGCGGTCTTCTTCAGAATCCCGGGGATCCCCGGGCACCCTAACACCTCGAGCGCGTACCGGTTCGCCTCCTGCACGAGCTGGGGCTTCCCCCAGCCCATCTTACCGCACGAGCCGTTGTAGAACCCCATCCACGCGACGTACGCCTGCTCCTTCGTCCTGATGTCCACCCTGGCGAGCGCGTTCGCGACCGCGCTCGCGATGTTCCCGTCCACGGTCGCGGGCGCGGGCGTGATCGGGAGATCCCTGAGCTGCCTCGCGAAGAACTCTTCGTGCGGGGCGAGGAGGAGGAGGCCCTCGCCCGTCTTCCCCGCGCGCGCGGTGCGTCCCAACCGGTGAATGTACTGCTCCTTGGACGACGGGAGACCAACCTGAATCACGAGCGTGACGTCCGGGAAATCCATCCCGCGCGCGGTGACGTCGGATGACATCATCACCGCGCACTTGGACGCCCTGAACTGGTCCGCGGCCTTCGTCCTGTGCCCTTGCGACTTCCGCGAGTGAATCTCCGTGACGGGCTTTCCGAGCGCTTCGAACAACTCCGCGGCGAGCTGCGTCGAACGCGCGGTCGGGAAGAAGCACATCACCTTGTGGTTCGGCTCTTGTTGTTGGTGCATGTTGATGAGCTGCACGAGGAGGATAAGGTGATCGTCCAGCGGCGCGATCGTGAGCCACTGCTTGACTTGGAGGTTCGTCGCGGAGTCTTCCTCGCCGACGCAGTCCACGTACGCGTAGCCCGGTCTCAACGCGTTCGCGGCGATGTTCCTCACTTGCTGCGGGACCGTCGCGGAGAACAACAAGGTCTGGCGCTCTCTCGGGATGAACGATAAGATTCGGTCCACCGCGGGCTTGAACCCCATCTCGAGGAGTTGATCCGCCTCGTCCAGGACGAGCACCTTGAGGTTCGCGCACCTCGGCTGCAAGCCGGAGGTTTCGAAGTGGTCGATGAGACGCCCGGGCGTCGCGACGAGGAAGTCGCACCGACCGCCGTTCATGCGCCCCCGCTCGGAGTTGATGTTCGTCCCGCCGAACACAACGTGGGACTTGAAGTTGTGGAACGCCAGGAGGCTCTTGGACTCCTCGTGTATCTGCGACGCGAGCTCGCGCGTCGGGGAGAGGACGAGGCACGACACGGATCCGTTCCCAGGCGCGGGGCCGGTCCGGTGCAAGAGCTCGATCGTCGGCAGCAAGAACGCGACCGTCTTCCCGCTGCCGGTCTTTGCCCTCGCGAGAGTGTCCAGGCCTTTCATGATCGGCGGGAGCGTCTGGTCTTGCACGGACGTCGCGTGCGTGAACTTCATCACCTCCGAGATGGCGCGCAGCGACGGCGCGGAGAGGCCGAGCGCCGCGAACGAGGTCGTGGACGCGCCGTTGTTGTTGTTCTGGACGACGACGTGCTGCCCGGGGGCGTTGGGGGCGCCGCCGGAGGGCTTGTGGAACGAAGGACCGCCGTCGCCGCGGCCGCCGCCTCGGCCGCCGCCTCGGCCGCCGCCGCCTCCGCGGCCGCCGGATTCGCCCGATCCTCCTCGTCCGCCACGCCTCCTCTTCTTCTCGCCGCCGCCGCCGCCGCCGCCGCCGCCGCCGCCGCCGCCGCCGCCACCACCACCACCGCCGCCGCCTCTCGGCTGGGGAAAGTTCGACATTATGTTCGAGTTGAAAGAGAGATGTAACGCGGTCGACCACGACAGATCGCGCGCGATGACTTGAAGCGACGGGCCGCGTGATCGTGCGTTTCGTCGTGCGGCTGAGAGCGAGAGCTCACTGTTCGTTCGCAACTCCCGCCTAAAATCGTCGACAACGCGCGCTACGAAGGCGACCGCTCGCCTCCTCACTTCGGCCGCGACGCGTACACGATGTAATTCACCGCGAGATCGCCCGCGGACAACGACCACGACCCCCCTTTCAGCCCACCCCCGATCAGCGGCACCCCGGGGGTGTACCTCATCCCCGCCGCCTCCCGCAGCGTCAGTCCCGCGCGGCGAAACAAAACCGTCAACTCCTCCGGCGTCAAAAACTTCCCGAACTCGTGCGTCCCCGGGGGCACCCAGCCCATGATCCTCTCCGCGGCGACGATCGCGAGCGCGTACGACCGCGCGGTGCGATTCAACGTGCTCATGACCACGGCCCCGCCCGGTCTGGTCAGCCCGTGGAGCGACTTCACGAACGTCTCCGGGTTGTCCACGTGCTCCACCACTTCCATGGAGAGCACCGCGTCGAAGGACGCGCCAGACGCGAGAAGCTCCTCCGCGGGCGCGGCGTGGTACGTGATCTTCGCGTCGATCGCGGGGTCCAACGACGCGTGCTTCTTCGCGATGTCGATGTTCCTCTTCCCGGCGTCGATCCCGGTGACGTCCGCGCCCATGCGCGCGAGGGACTCGCACAAGATGCCGCCGCCGCAGCCGACGTCCAGCACGCGCAGCCCGGCGAGGGGTCGAGCGTCGCGCGCGGCGTCGGCGGACGGGGGCGAGCGTGTGGACCCTGACCCTGACCCTGACCCTGACCCTGACGCTGACCCTGACCCTGACCCGGCGGCGCGCGAGATCCCTTCCACGCCGCGGTTCGCGCGCGAGATCCCGATCCCTCCCTCGACGTCGCCCTGGAAGTGGTTCACGAGCACGTCTCGGATGAACCCGAGCCTCGCGGGGTTCATCGCGTGCAGCGGCGCGAACGGGCCCTCGCGTTCGTTCCACCACAGCGCGGCGTCGCGCTCGAACTTCTCCGTCTCCCACCGGTTCACGGTGTCGATCGTCGACGCGGAGGACTCGGACGTGGACGCGTTGTTGTGCGCTCGCGCGCGATGGAGCGAAGACGCGAGCGAGGCGACGCGCGGCTCTTTCGCGCTCGTCGTCGTCGTCGTCGTCGTCGTCGGGCGCGATCGCGTTGTCAGCGCCCACCGCGCCAGCGCGGACGCGGCCTTTCGAGACGACATCAACGCGCGGCGTGACGCGCCCGTCCCTCTATCCCTGCGGTGCGGTACGCGCGTCTTCGCTCGCGGGAGCGGTGTACCCGAGTCTCCTCCGAGGCGTGCGACGACGCCCGCGCGCGTCGAGGACTACGCGACGTCATCGACGCGAGTCTCGCGAAACGATTCCGCCACGACAGAGCACTCTGGTCATTCCGAGGAGCGAGCCTCTCATCACTTCGCGTCGCGCCGCCGCCGCACACGATGGCGTGGGGCAACGCCGTCGGCGTCGCGTCGTGGGTGGACAAGCTCGCGAACGACGACCCGAGCTTGACGTCCGTGACCGTGTTCCGCGGCCGCGCGTTCGGCCCCGACGAGGCCGCCGCGGTCGCGAACGCGCTGAAGACGAACACGCACCTGCTCGAGCTGTACGCGTCCGGGCACGCGATGGACGCGCAGACCGCGGGCACGTTCGCGGACGCGCTCGCGACGAACGCGACGCTGCGATCCCTGTGCGTCGGCGACGACGCGTTCGGCGACGACGGCGTGCGAGCGCTCGCGCCGGGGATCGCCGCGAGCGCGTCGTTGCGATCGATCGATCTGGAGAACAAAGGCGTCGGCGACGACGGCGCGCGCGCGTTGGGCGACGCCATTCGCCATTCGGGCCGCGGCGCGACGCTCGAGAGCGTCAACCTGTCGCGCAATCCAAACCTGGGCGAAGCCGGGATCGTCGCCGTGTGCGACGGCGCGCGTTTGGCCGGGGGGTTGACGCGTCTCTCGCTCGCGGGGGCGACGCTCGCGGACGCCGCGTGCGCCGCGATCGGGCGGTGGCTCGCCGCGTCGACGCGCGTCGACGTCCTCGATCTCACGGACGCGACGTTCGCGTCGGACGCGGGCGCGGGGCTCTTGCTCGATGGGCTGCGCGCCGTGGCTGAAGCGGCGGACGAAGAGGAAGACGAAGAGGAAGAGGAAGACGGGGAGACCGAGGAGCCGGGACGCCGGGTCCTGAGGGAGCTGATTTTGGACGGCGCGAAGCTCGGGGACGCCGGCGCGGTCGCGTTGGCGGGGGGCGGGAGCGCGCGCGGCGGGGGTTTGCCGGTGCGATGCCTGTCGCTGATCGGGTGCGGGATCGGCGCCGAGGGCGCGATCGCGCTCGCGCGCGATCTCGGCGCGGTGAACGCCTTGAACTTGAGGGATAACGCGATAGGGGACGACGGCGCGAAGGCGCTCGCGGCGCGCGCGAGCGGCAAGTTGAAAACCGTGGACGTCGGCTCGAACGGTCTGGGCCCCGTCGGCGCCGCGGCGTTCGTGGGGCTCGCGCTCGGGTCGACGTTGGAGAGCCTGTCGCTGTTCGGGAACGAGGAGATCGGTGGCATCGGGGAGCTGCGGCCCGTGTTGATGGGCGCGATCGATATGTTGCGACTGCCGTCGTCGAGCGAAGAGCCGTGCGCGTCTTCGATGAGCGCGGCGTTCGCGACCTTGGACCTCGGCGGGTGCGGGGTGACCCTCGGCGGGCTCCGCACCCTGTGCGATTGCTTATCGGAGACGCCGACGCTGTTCCCGAAGCTCGAGACGCTCGTGCTCGGCGGGAACCCCGGGTGCCAGGACGACGAGTGGGAAGACGTCCTCGAGCGTTTGAGAGCGGGACGCGTCGGGTTGGACGCGGCGTGGAGAGCCGCAGACGCGGGGGAGAATCCGGGGGGCGGGGGCGGGGGCGGGGGCGCGGCGGCGCCGTCGGGGGAGGAGCTTCTGCGACGGTACCGGGAGCAAGAGCGAGAGAACATCCCGCCGATCGTGGACGAGCCCGATAGCGACTAGCACGTTGATCGACGCGCGTCGTTCGGTCTGGACGCCGCCACCTCGCGCCGCGCCCCGCCCGCCCGTCGCAGACTCAAGCGAGCGCGAGCTCCCCGAAACAGTGCTCGAGATCGAAACGGCCACGACTCCCGCGGGGCGCGCCAGAATCCCTCGCGCGCGCGGAGAGGATGGAGGGCGACTTCAGCAACCCGCTCGCCCCCCCGGACGACGACGGCGTCGGCGCGTCCACGCTCGACGAGGACCGCGTCATCGCGCTCATCACGGCGCTCGTGGAGCCTCCCGAGCGCGGCGCCCAGACGCCCTCGACGTCGCAAGAGGAGAGCGGATCGCTCCTGTGGGACCTCGCCGCGTCCGCGGAAAACGCGCCGTGCCTCGTGAATAGCCTCCTTCCCGAAGCCCTCGCGACGCTTCTGATGAACCCGAGCACGCACGACCGCGTGCGAGAGATCGCGCTCGGGACCTTGGGGAACTTGCTGTGCGCCCCGGACGGATGGCTGCGTCTGGGAAACGACGAGATCGTCGCCAACGCCGCGGCGCGGTCGCTGTTCGACTCCACGCACGCGCCGGTGATACTCGAGGCGTGCCGCTGCTTCGCCGTCGCGGCGCGACCGAACGGAAACGCGAGGGCGTGGAGAGCGGTAGCGCTCGGCGACGACGCGTTCGCCGGGAGGGTGCTTCTCGTCGCCGCGTCGACGGCGAGAGCGGACGTGTTGACAGGCGCGTTGAACTGCCTCGCGTCGCTGTGTTCCGTCGGCACTCCGGTGGATCCTCCGATCGGGACGCCGTCGCGGTCGCACTCGCCGTCGCCCGCGTCGACGCCGAGACGAAGCGCGGGCGACGGCACGACGCGAGGGGTCAGCTCCGCGGTCGGCGCGGTGTACCGAGCCGGCGGCGTCGATTTGATTTCATCGCTGTTAGACCCGAGGTCCTCGGAGGCGACCCCTGAGGTCGTCGACGCGGCGTTGCGATTGTTAGAGGCGCTCGCGACGGCCGCGGAGATCGTCGCGGACGCGTGGGGGGAGGAAGCGGACTCCGCCGCCGCGGCAGAGGACATTTTGGACGCGACGCGGGCGAAGGAGACCGCGTGTTCGCATTACAGGTTACGCGTGAACGTCATCGACCGGCTCGCGAGGGGCCACGGCGGTGGCGGATGGGCGGACGACGCGAACGACGGATATCTCGAGCCGTCACTGATCGTCGCGCTCGCGCAGCTCGCCGCGGAGTGCGCGGACGGACCAGGCGCGGTCGCGCGCGCGATCGCGTGCAGGTTGGAAGCGTTGGACGTCCTCGTCGCCGCCGCGAGGGGATCGGACGAGGAGACGGAGGCGGCGGAAGCGGCGGCGTATCTTTTGCGGGCGTTGTGCGCGGTCCTGGACGGCCGCGTCGCGCTCGACGTGCCGTTACCCTCCGCGACGCAGAACGCCGCGGTCGCGCGATTAGAAGCGGCGAAATTGCCGTGAATTAGACTACGACACTACATGTATAACGTTTAGAAACCAGACCTCAGACTCACAACCCCTTGGCGTTCGCGACCCGTCACCTTTTCCTCGCGAGGTACGCGGTGGTGCATCGCGCGGTCGTGACGAGGCTCGATCGACGCGCGGCGAGCAGCGCGGCGAACCCCGGCACCTGCGCGAGCATCGCGATGAACAGCGACCAGTACCCACTAGCGGTGTGCTTCCTCCCCTGCCAACGTAGTTTCGCTCGCGCGACTTTCGCCAGCGTTCGTCCTCTCCCGATTTCAGGTTTCACCGCGCTGCCGTCCGCGCGTAACGTCCCTTCGAACCGGAACCCTCGATTCCCGCACAGCTCGCGCCACCACAGCGCGGCGTACCCGTTCACCGCGATATCCCTCGCCCAGTTCGCGGCGAAGAACACGACGGTCACGAGCACGGTCTTCAACGCGTACGCGTGAACGACGCCCTCCACCGCGCACCCCGAAATGTGCGCGAGCGTCGCTAGCATCAATCGATTCGGCCCTCCGCACGTGAGATTACACTTCGGCAGCGCCTCGCATTCGAACAGCGAGGTCGCGTTCAGCGTCGCGTCCGAGGACGAGCACGGGATCCACGCCTCGGAGGCGAGTTTCATCATGCCTCGCATCGCGTCCAAGTCGTCAGAAGTGAAGACGTCCGCGGCGGCGTCGTCGTCGTCCGCGGCGGTCGCGGCGTCCGCGTACCCTTCCGCGTCGACGCAGTTCACGAGCATCGACGCCGTCGACGCGGCGCTCGTTTTCGCGACGTCGACGGCGTCTAGCGCGACGCGCGCGGTCGCGAGGGTCGCCGCGGTGGACGGCGCGTGCGCCGCGCATTGATCGCGTCGTTCCGCTTCCGCGCGGAGAACACCCGCGGCGCTGATTCGCGAACCCTCCGCGGCGATGTAATTATGCGCGAACGAGTGCATGTTCATCGTGGTGAACGTCCCGTCGCACCCGGTGATGCAGCCTGTTCTGTACGCCTTGTGAAATGGAAGGTACGCGTACGTTATGAGCGTCACCGCTAACGACACGGCGACGACCCGCACGGCGACGAGGACGATCGGGTGCCCTACTATTTCCGCGTATCGCATGATGAGCGTCTTCTCTTCTTCCTTCTCGTCCTCCTTCTCCGTCGTGTTCTTCGCGGTGAGATCGATCGGCGGCAGCGAGTTCTTGTGCGAGAAGTGCTTCGCGACAGCCTGAAACGAGCGAACGACGCGATACACGAGGTCAGCGGCGAGGAGCGCGTCGAACAACGCGGAGAGAACTCTCATCGCGCTTTCGACATTTTCCAAATTCGGGGGCGCGACCCCGAGCCACGTCGGGCCGTCGGAGTCGCTCGCGTTGCCGAGCTTCTCTTTGATGTTCGCCGCGGCTTCAGACGCGGCCGCGCTCGCGGCGTCCGACGTGTTCCTCGCCTCGTCGGTGACGTTCCCCCGCGTCTCGTTCGCGTCGCGCCGAAGCTCCGAGCGTTCGTTTTCCACGAGCGCCGCCGTCGCGTTCGTTTGGTTCTCGAACCGTTCCCCTCTCGCCTCCGCTTCCGCGCGCTCGCGTTCGGCGTACGCGATCGCGCTCGCGTTCGACGTCGCGTTCGTCGTCGACGCATCGCCCCTCGGCGGCGGGTCGTAATCGTCGAAAAACGTCGGCACGCCCGCGGCCGCGAGGCACCCGATCGCGGTCTCGGGTATCCTCGCGACGTCGCCGACGAGATCCGCGCGCGCTGCGTCCGCGGCGTTCGCGATCGCGATCGTCCTCGCGGTGACGACGTCGTGCATCGCGTCCACGCGCGGCGCGATATCCGGCGGCAGGTCTGGGATGTTGAACGGGTTCAAGATCGGCACCCTCGGCGGCGTCATGTCCGGGGTTATCCCGATGTTCAACGCGTCCGCGGCGGCGCCGATTTCGTTGAACGCTTTGAACCAACTCGCCGCCTTCCTGATAAGCTTAATCACCGCCTCCGCGAACGCCTCCACGGTCAGGACGTACGCGCGCACGGCCGCCATCGCCGCGCCTTTCACAAACTCCAGCGCGTCCGCGGCCTCGAGAGCGGTCGCGCGTAAATACGCGCCGGCGTCCAACTCCAACGAGCCGACGTGAAAATCCACGTTGGACGCGATCTTCGACGCCTCCGTGGACATGTTCGTTTGGACGTCGACTTGGAGTCGATCTAACGCGACGGACTTGTTGTCCTTGTACGCGCCGTCGTACCCCGCGCGCTCGACGACGAGGCCGGTCGTTCGATTCACCGCGGCTTCGCTGTCTGTTCGGTACGCCGACGTCGCGGTCGCGATGTCGTCGGACACGCCCGCGAGCGCGTCTCCGGGGTTGACGATCCTCGCGCGGACCGCGTCTCGGGCGTCGGGACCGCACAGATTGCTGTCGAGCTTCCACGGCACGTCCCTGGGCGCGATAGCGGCCTGGGCCACGCGAAGGAGCCGCGCGAGCGTCTCGTCCGCGTCGACGCATCGTTTCCCCTCCGCCTCCGCGGCGGCGACGACGGCGGCGTTGACGCGTTCGACGCGCCTCGCCCGCGACGACTCCACGCGCGCGGCGGCGCGGACGTTATCGACGCACCCTTTCGTCTGGAACGTCGCGCACGCGGCGTAGAGCCTCTCCGCGTTTTTCACGTGTACGTACGTCTCGTTCACGTTGACGAGGACGTCGTGCGGCGCGTGCGGGATGACGAACAGCGCCTCGACGATCGCGTCGGAGACCGCGAAGGAGGAGCACCACAGGAGCGCGACGGAGAAGAGCGCGACGAGGACCCTCGCGTGGCGTTGTTCCCTCTTCGCGTGCCTGATCGCTTCCTCCTCCGCGAGTCTGTCCTCCTCCTCGATCGCCGCTCGCGCGTCCGCCTTCTCCTCCTCGGTCATCTCGTCGTACGCCCGCGATGGCGTTACGTCGAGATCCGTCGGCTCCTCCGAGGCCGTTTCGCCGGCGTCGTCGCGCGGCGTCGTCGGGCGCGACATGACGCAAACGGGGGAGATACGCTCTTCCGCGCGTTGAACGTCCTCGGCGACGTCCTCGTCGCGTCCGCGTTAAAGGTCGGCGCGGCCGCGACGCGCGGGTCGTCGTCCCCGGGCCGTTTTGGGGGCGCACAAGGCACTCAACAGACGCCCGCGCCGCGCCCGCGCCCACGACCAGACCGACCGGCCAGGGGAGACCCGACCGAAAAAAACCGCGACGCTCGCGCTCGCGAACGATCAGAGCCGCGGACGCGCGCCCCGGAGGCGAGCGTCCTGTCGACACCCTCGCAGCCTGCACGCGCGAGCGCTGGAAGCGATCGTCCCGTCGAGCGCGTCGGGGACGCGAGAACGCTAAGTCGGCTCGAGCGCGAAGTCGGCGAAGCTTTCGAAGTTCGTTAGGGATTTTCAAGTAACAACAGATCGAGCGATCGACTTTCGCGATGCCGCCGAAGCTGTCCCTCGCGGACCAAAAGAAGGCGCTGAAGGCTAAAGATGCGAAAGCTAAAGCGCTCGAGAAAGCGGAGAAGGACAAGCTGCGAAACGAGCGGAAGCAGATGGAGCAGAAGGACAAGATCTTCGGCCTGAAGAACAAGAACACGAGCAAGCACGCGCAGGACTTCGTGAAGGACGTGGAGAGGAACATGAAAGTGTTACCCGGGGAGCAGCAGAAGGCGGAGGCGAAACGCCGAGAGAACGAGAAGCTGAAACTCGCCAAGATTCAAGCGGAGAAGGAGCTCGAGGAGATGATGGGCGAGCTCATCAAGCAGCCCAAGGTGCCCGAGGGCGTGGACCCGAAGACGATAGCGTGCGAGTTCTTCAAAAAAGGTCGGTGCGCGAAAGGGTGGCGCTGTAAGTTTTCCCACGAGAAGAAGAGCGCGCGCGCGGAGGCTGCGAAGGCGGACCTCTTCATGGACCTCAGGGACGAGGAAACGAAAGCGAAAGACGCGGACGCGATGGAGGACTGGGACCAGACGAAGCTCGAGTCCGTGGTGAGCGAGAAACACGGCGGGGAAAACCAAAACAACAAGACGAACATCACGTGCCGGCACTTTCTCGAAGCCGTCGAGAAGAGGCTGTACGGGTGGTTCTGGGTCTGCCCGAACGGCGGGGACGAGTGCAAGTACCGGCACGCGCTCCCTCCCGGGTACGTCCTCAAGTCCCAGATCGCGGCGATGTTGGCGGAAGAGAAGGAGGCGCAACGGACGGAAGAAGAAATGCTTGAGGAAGAGCGCGGGAAAATGAGCGAAGGCACGCTCGTGACCGAGGCGCACTTCGCGATTTGGAAAAAAGAACGCGACGCGAGGAGGAGAGAGTCCATAGAAGCCGCGAAAGAGAAGAGGCACGCGGAGGGACGATTATCCGGCAGAGAACTGTGCGAGACCGGCGTCGTGAAAGCGGACGGCGGCCACGACGAGAAGGATGCGATGGAGTACGTCAAGCGGGACACGTCCGCGGATGATGCGAACGAGGCGAAAGCCAGGGCGGAGGCGGAGAAGAACCTGGCGAGGATGCGCGCGATGTTCGCCGCGTCCGGCGGCGTCGAGGGTGGCGATCGCACGGAATGGTACTCGCACGGCGGTGGAGACGACGACGACGACGACGACGACGACGATTTCTTTGTTGACGAGGACGACATCGACCAGGATGAGCTCGCAGCGATGCTCGGTCAGGTTGCGATCGGCGGCGGCGGCGGCGGCGGCGGCGCGGCGGCGGCGGCGATGGACTCGGACGCGCCGAAGGTGATCAGCAGCAGCAACCGCGCGAGGGCCGCGGCCGCGGCCGCGGCGAGGAGTCGGGGCGTCGACGACGCGCGCACGGAGCAAGCGTTGAGCGGGTTCTTATCCCACATCGAAGGCGACGGGGAGTTGAGCGGCGAGGGCGCGAAAATCGTCGGGACGATCAAGCACCGGGAGAAACCTCCCGCGGCGAAAAAGCCGCAGAAGTCCGGACGAGGTGACAGCGACAGCGAGCCGGAGTACGAGGGCGACCCGGAACTAGACGCGATGCTCGCGAAGAACGTGGACAAGTCTGCGCAGCTCGCGGAGCGGACGCTCGCGACTGGGTTGACGACGAAATCGGGCGCGAAGTCGAAGGCGCTGCTCGAGAAGGAGAAGGAAGAGAGGGAGCGGGAAGCGCGGGAGCGCGAGAAAGCCAAGGCTGCGGAGGAGGAGGACCCGTTCGCGGTGGACGACGATGACCTCGACCTCGAAGACCTCGTAGCCGCGGTGAAGCGCTGAGTTAGCTTTGGTTTGAAACGCAGACCGATCTCCGCCACTTGTCCGAAAATGCTTAACCCCCAACACTTGCTCCCAGTCGTGAGCTGTCATCATTTGTTTTCGCGCTCGCAGACGTCCGCGCCGAGATCCGCGGAAGGGAGGCGTCTCGGGGCGGGATCCAAGATGTCGCTCTTTCGACAATTCTCCGGCGAGATGATGAATGATTGGCTCCCCAGCGACGGTCGACACGCGACGTCGTCCGGGAGCAGGCTCGGGGATAACAAGAAGCGCCCGGGTCACTCGCGCAATCACTCGTCTGGATCCGGTCTGTCCGAGCGGCGAGGCGCGGTGACGCCTTCGTCGTTGGAGATCCCGTCGCCTGACCACGGCGTGTTGCAGATGTATCCCGGGACGAGCGGGATGTCCCCGTCGGAGAGGTACAACAGCAAGGAACCGGCGCGGCAGACGCACTCGCGATCGCCGCGCTCGCCGAGAGGGCCGAAGAAGAAGAGAAAGTGGCGAAGCCGGATCAAGACGTGCTCGAGGGCGACCGTCGTGTTCTTGTTCCTTTACTTCTTCGGACGGACCGCGTACCAGCTCACGTTCTTCCTGAAAGCGGGCCTGCATCGGTACTGGTACCACCCCCTGGAGCAGCACCGACCGTTGCAGTGCAGGTTTAACACGCCGCCAAACGACTCCCTGCTCGCGCCGCTGCCGACGCCGCCGTTCACGAGCGCGAAACATCCGATGGGGGAGAGCGACGAGGAGGAGCTGCCGATGCCAGAAGATTTGCACCACACCCCGGGGGCGAAGTACGCGATCTTGACGCTGTGCGATTCGAACACCGGGTACATATGCGTCGCGTCCGCGGCGAACAAACGACGGTATGCGGCGAAGCACGGGTACGATCTGATCGTTGTCACCGAAGTCGCGGACGCGTCGAGGCCCGCGGCGTGGTCGAAAATATTAGAGGTGCGGAAGCACCTGCCGAAGTACGAGTGGGTGTTATTCATCGACGTGGACACGTTGATCATGAACCCGAACGTGAAGCTCGAAGACATCGCGGACGACTCCGTGGATCAGGTCATCGCCGCGGATCACAACGGGATAAACAGTGGGGTGTGGCTCGTGAAGAACAGTCGGTGGATGATGTGGTTCTTGGACGAGCTCTGGGCGCAGACGGATCTCGTGACCGGGCCGTATCTGTTCCACTACGAGCAGAGGGCGTTCCATCACTTGTTCCAGACCGTGCCGTGGACGAAACAAAAGTCCGTGAAAGGGAAGTTGCCGTACCCGAAAGCCGCGGAGGTGAGGGCGCACTCGAAGATCGTGAACCAATGCGTGTTTAACTCGCTGCTTCCTTGGTACGTCACCGGCGATTTCGTCGTGCACCTCGCAGGGCTGAAAGGGGTGTGGGAGTGTCTCATCTTCTGGCATTATTTCGACATTAGCCAAGAGAACTCGGGCATGAGAATCACGGACTGGTCGCGCGAGTTGGGCGGGGAGAGCCGCGCGGAGAACAGCGGGAAAGGCTCGACGCTGTGGGGCTGCATGAAGTTTAAGACGCTGTTTAGATGATAGACGTTCGATGTACGCGTATGGTTTATTTCGTTCTATGATCCACTACATTAAATTAGATCCTATGCGGAAGCGCTCGTAGGCGTGAGACCCGCCGCGGCGAGTCTATCGTCCGCGCGGAGCTTCGCATCGAGCTCGTGGTATCTCTCCAGCGCCTGCTCTTCGTGCCTCTTCAGTCTTTGGTTGAGGATGCGCAGCGTGAACGCGCTCTCGTCGCACGCGCGATCGTGCGCTTCCTCGTCCTCGCGCGTCAGCTGATCGCGGTCGCGTTCAAAGATCGCCTTGCGCTTCGCCAGCACCGCCGACTCGTTGTCGTGGCGACGTTGGATGTTGTTCGCGCGTTCGATGAGCCTGTCCTTCAGCGCTTTGAGGCACTTGTCGCGCACGTCGAGGGCTTCTTCTTTCGTGAGCGCGTGTCCTGCGATGACCGCGGGCAAGTACGGGGTGAGGTAGTCCAACACGATCTTCTCTTCGCCTTCGTCGTCGTCGTCGTCGCTCTCTTCTTGGGAGATGCGAACGATGTCGTAGTACGGGCTCGCGAGCTCGATCGCTTGCTCCTCCTTCGTCCTGTTCGCGAGCATGTCCTTCATCTCCTTTTCCACATCCCTGATCGAGTCCATGCACTTCTTCTCCGCGACGAGAAGCGTTTGGAGCTCCTCGTGCTGCTCAATCTCCCCCGGCGGCGGCTCCATTGGGTCGACGAGAACGAATTCGTGATTCAAATGATCCTTGTCGAACATCTTTCGACTGGCGGTGATCCTACCGATGCCGTAGTGATAATCGACCCGGATCATCTCCTTTTTGACGATGAACATACGCTTCTTCACGCACTTGTGCGGGGGAACGTCGCCTCCGGGCGGGGGAAGATCGTACTTCTCGCTCATCTTCTTTATCACGGGCGGCGGCGCCTCGACTTTTTTCTTTCGACGGCGCTTCCCGCTCGCCTCGGCAGCCGCCTCGGCGGCTTCCTCCGCCGCCTTCGTCGCCACCGCTGTCTCATTCGGGTCGTACGTCACGCTGCGATAGTTCATGCGATCATCCCTACCGCTGAACGTTTCGATCATCTTCACAGGGTACGTCTCGCCGTCCACTTTGACGAACGTTTCTACGCGCGTCACTAAACCGTCGAGTCGCTCGGAGACGTACCCATCGAGCCTCCTCTCGACGTCCGGCACGATCTTGAGCTCTTTGATCCCGAACGCGGCGCCGCGCTCGAACTTCTCGATCTTCGTGCCTACGTTGTTGTGGTACACGATGCGCTCGCGGAGCTTATCTTTTCTGCGGAAAAACTCTTCGCGTTCTTCCTCCTTCTCCGTGCACGCGTCGTCAGAAAACGTACACAGGCGTTGAATCTGCCCATCCCACCGCGAGCACTCTCCGAAGCGCGCGAAGACTTCGTGCGTGCACCTGTGGTACCGAGTAATCTTGTATCCGCGCGGACACATCATGTCGAAGCGATCCTGCGCGATCGCCAGCTTCGGAACCCACGACGGCGGCATCTCCACGATGGGTTGAGGTTCGTCCGCGATCTCCTCCTTCTCTGCCTCGGCTTCGAGCTCGGGCGGAGCCTCGCCCTCGCCGTCCGCGGTTGGATCCGCTTCAGCTTTGACATCGCCCTCAGGTGCGGTGGCGTCGGGCGCGGGAACGTCCTCGCCATCTTCCGTCAGCTCTGGTTCCGGATCCGGCGTCGGCTCGATCACGTCGAGCACCGACTCCCACAGGTCTTCGTCGTCGAGGTCGAGGTCGAGGTCGCGAATCGTCTCCCCTGGGACGCCTTCGATCGTACCGTGCTGCATGTTGACCCAGTAGTTGACCGCGTTAAACACGCATTCGAGGCCTTGGTACGGCGACGCGTCGATTGGATACTGTCGCGCGGTCGAGGGTTCGACGAAGATATCCTCCGGAACCTCTCGCTTTCCGGCGCGCAGGACCACCCACGCGTGCTTTCGCTTGCCGTCAAACCTGTCGACCACGACGGTTTCCTCGAAGGTCGACAGGTTCGCGCTGGTAACGCTGTCGCCGTCATCGTCATCCTTGATCCGATTCACCTCACTTAATAGCACGACGCCGTCGTGGTCGTCGTCTTCCTCGTCGATCATCTGTTGAATTTCTTCGTCGCTCGGGGAAATACCCATCTCGCGCAAGGCGGCACGGACCTCCTCGATGGTGATGGTGCCGTCGTGATCTCTGTCCATGGCCTCGAACGCTTCTTGTACTCGCCTCTTCTCCTCCGCCTTTGCCTTTGCCTTCGCCGCGGCCGCTTCTTCGGCCGCTTTCTTCTCGTTTACCTTCTTCTCGTACTGAGATATCAAGACGAGCGCCTCTTTGATCTTGTACTTGCTCTCTACGACGGGTTTCACCTCCCCTTTCTGCGCCGCCGCCTCTGCGGCCGCCTTCTCCGCGGCTTCGCGCTCGAGCACCGGACACACGAGCTTGCTCTGATCGCACTCAGTCACCGCGCGAGGGGCGTACCCAACGCACACGTACGCGTCGTACCCGACGCCGCACAACAACGAGCACAGCGTGATCGCGAGGTCGAAACAGTCCCCGCCTTGCCACGCCATCACCGCGTACGGGCTCGGGATCGTCTCAGGGAACAATATCGGGTTCTCGAGGTGTTCGTACTCGTGATACGTCGCGACGAACCCGGCGCAGGACTCGAGGTTGTAAAGCTCGGAGTAGAAGAGCTTGGTCGGTCGCACGGTCGTGCATACAAACTTCCGCACCCCGCACTCGTTCGGCGGGTCCAACAACAGCGGCACCCTGTGCGGGTACATCTCGATGAACTGCTTCCTCCACTTGTCCACGTACTTCAACATCTTTATCTCGAAGATGTCGTTTCCTGTCAGGCGGGTGCGCAGCGCTTTGATCTCCACGAGATCCTTCGCCTTGGAAATTGTCGTGTGCTCCACGCGCATCTTCTTCCCGTTCACGGGCGCGAGGTCCTCCATCTTAAGCTTCTTAACTTTGAAGTCTGCCATGTCCCCGCACTTGAAAGCGTCCCAGAAGCTGTGCTCCGGCGCGACATTCGTCGTCAGCCCAAGCGCCATCGAACCGACTTGCAGGCAGTGCAGCGAGTGCGACGGGGAAATAACCGCGCACCGGTTCTCGTTAAACGAGAGCTCCGGGTCCATCTCCGACCACTCCGGTTTCAACGCTTCTTTCGGCACGGACGCGCGGCCGCCGGTGCCGGCGAGACGCTTCGACCCCCCTGGGGTGGAGTCGTCTCCGCCCGCGGTCGGTTCAAACTCGAGCCGGAACGACCGTTTCAAGTTCCCCCCGAGCTCGTCAAAACCGCCGTACGTGTACACCATCCCGTTGAGAAACGTCATCTCGTGACCGTAACACGCGGGCGGCGCTCTGCCGCTCGTGGGAATCGCGGACCACACCATGTTCTTCGGGTCGGATATGTCGAGCTCGTACAGGTCGTCCCTCACGAAATTATCCCTGCCGGCGTGCACGTACACCTTTCCTTCCGCGGCGCACAGACCAGAGTCTTGCCTCGGCCCGGGCGCGGACCCGGACACGATCGGCTGCGACCACACGCAGTTCGGCGTCGTGAGGTCGAGGAACTGCGCGTCGTTGAACCGGCCGCCGCCGCCCTTACCACCGAAGAGCATCGCGGTGTGGTCGTTCACGAGCACCATGCTCGCGGACTCCCTCGGCGCGGGAGTGTCTCCGGTCGGGTCCAATCGGCTCCACTTGTTCGTCTCCATGTCGTACGCGAACAGGTCGTTCAGGCGTTTCTTGGTGATGCTGCGCCCGCCAAACACGAGAAGGCGTTTGCGTTTCGGATCGAACACCGCGGCGTGGCCGTCGCGTTCGACCGGCCTCTCCCCGGAAGGGTCAACTTTTGACCACACCATGCGGTCGAGGTTCGTGACGAACAGATCGTTCACCTTCCGAGACTGGTGAAGCAGCGCGCCGCCGAAGATGAACAGATGATTCGATCCCCAGGTTAGCGAATGCCCGGCTCGCAGGTACGGCCTGTCGTCCGTCGGGTCGGACGGGCCTCCGTTTCCCGCGTTTTGGCCTTTGCTCTCGATCTTCATCCTGTACTCGGTGTATATCCCGTTCATCGTCGGGACCGGTTTCAGGCGCTCGATCTCTTCTTGTTTGATGCGCTGCTCCTCGTCTCTCAGGAACTCTAAGAACGCGTCCACCGGTCCTTCGGATTTGCTCTTCCCCGGCTCTTCGAAGTTGTTGTACCGGCAGTCGAGGTCTTTCAGGTTCCTGAGGTGACCCATCGTCGGCGGCATCGACACGAGCTCGTTACTGTTCACCTCGAGGTTGCGCAATTTCGTCATCCCGCCGAAGCTATCAGGGAGCGACGTCAGGCGGTTGTTACTCAAGTCCAAGATTTCCAGATTCACCATGGTGCCCATCTCCGACGGCAGCTGCGTGAGGTAATTGTTCTCGAGGTTCAGGTACGTCATCGTCTGCTGCTCCGCGATCGCGCCGTGCACGGTCGCGATCTTGTTCCCGCTCAAATCTAACGACTTGATCGCCCGCAGCTTCGCGATCGTCGGCCCGACCTCGGTGAGCAAACACCCGCCGAGCTCGAGGTTCGTGAGCTTCCTAAATTCGGTCAGCACCGCGGGGATCTTCTCGAGCTTGTTGTAGTTTAGCTTCACGCTCTTGAGCATCTTAAGGTCCGCGAGCTCGTCCGGGAGCGCGGTGAGGTTGTTTGAACGGAGGTCAAGCTCGAGGAGTCTCGGGACGGATTGCTGCGAGGACGCGTGGGGGTGGGTGAAGGGAAGGTGAGCGTCCGCGCGAGACGTCGGGTGAGAGGGGTTGGTTGGTCGACTGGATCCGCGGAGAATTGAGACTCGACTCGAGCGAACGGGGGGCGACGCACCTTGATCTGCTGGACGAGCGCGGGGGTGAGCTCGGGAAGGTCCAAGTAGGACGCGTTGAGCTTCCCCGTCCTCCTCGCCTCGCTCAGCCGCGCCTGCCATTTCTCCTGGTCCAACTCCGCGGGCATCTCGCGGACCCGCGCGCTCGTCTCCTCCTAAAATGGCACGGCACAGACGGGTGCTAGGACGCCGCGCTCCCCGCCCGGGCTCTGCCTCAGTCGCGTGTCCGCGACGGTCGACTACGCCGCGATATCGCGTCCGCGCGTCGTGTTCGACCGAACGCCGCGCCCTCAGCGTCCGGAGCGCGCACCGCCTTCTGAGTGCAGCCAGCGATGAACGAACGTTGGTGGCTTGGTGCCCTTCCTTCAGCGCACCCGTATTTGGTTGCCTTCGGTAATCGGAGCTGTTAATCGGTGAAATCTCAGTTGAAACTCACATCGACCCTACACAAAAATCCTTGACCCATTTTCTCGATGCAGTTGAAACCGTCTCACCGATCAGGTGATGAATTGACTCATTTTTCAAGTAGGGCTTAAAGCGCGCGCGTTCTCGGCCGCCTCCCCCTCTTAGTCCTGCGCAAGAAAGGACAGACGCATCGTGCAAGATGCCGTCGTCGACTTTCTACCGGAGCTGTGAGTGCCTCCCCGCCCTGTTCCCGCCGCGTGCGATCGACGCACGCGGTCGATCTCCGCGGTTTCCGACCGCGACCGAGCTCTCTCGAAATCTTTTCGCCGCATCCTCGCATCAACGCCGTCCGCTGACGTCCCCGCGTCCCCGCTCTTCCTTCCATCGCAGACTCCAAGACCTTCAAGAAGCCGCGTCGTCCGTTCGAGAAGGAGCGTCTCGACAATGAGCTCAAGACCGTCGGCGAGTTCGGTCTTCGCAACAAGCGCGAGCTCTGGCGCGTGCAGTTCGCGCTGAACAAGCTTCGCAACGCCGCTCGCGTGCTCCTCACCCTCGACGAGAAGGACCCCAAGCGGATCTTCGAGGGCGAGGCGATCATGCGCCGCATGTACCGCTACGGCCTCCTGGTACGTCATCCTCCGTCGCGTGCGGTCGTATTCACAGCCGTCGAGCGCTCGGACGCCGCGCGACGGCGCGCGTCCGCGCGTCCACGCGCGCGGTTTTCGCTAGGGTTTCGCCTGCAATCTTCCTGTCGTGCATCCTCTCACCGACCGATCCCTCCTCTCCTCTGCTCTTCCAGGACGAGACCCAGGACAAGCTCGATTACGTCCTCGCGCTCTCCGCGGATGCGTTCCTCGAGCGCCGTCTCCAGACGCTCGTGTTCAAGCTTGGCCTCGCGAAGTCGGTGCACCACGCGCGCGTGCTCATTCGCCAGAGGCACATTCGCGTCGGCAAGCAGATCGTGAACGTGCCGTCGTTCCTCGTCCGCACGGATAGCCAAAAGCACATCGATTTCGCCCTGAACTCGCCCCTCGGCGGTGGCCGACCGGGCCGCGTCAAGCGCAAGAGAATGGCGGCGGCCGGGCGGGGTGGCGGCGACGATGACGCCGAGGAGGAGGACGAATAAACGCGTCCGAGGCTGTGGGGGTGATCCGTAGGATGTTTTCGGTTCTAACCGCGATAGTTTTGAAATGTGGACACTTCGCGGTAACGTTAAAAAAACGTGAGCTATCTCGCGTCGCCCGCTGCCTACGCCCCCGCCTTATCTAATTCCTTGAACCGCCTCCACAGTTCGTCGTTCTCGCCCATGCGGCACGTGATGGAGCACTTCGCGTAGTGCTCCGAGTCCCGCTCGATGTTTTCTATCACGTCGTCGAGAAGGTGCGCGCGCTCGGCGCTGACGCCGTGATCCACGGACACGTTCGTGAAGTGGACGTGGAAATGATAGAACTGCGGCGGGTAGTGCACGAATATCCTCAAGCTCTCGTCCGCGAGCCCGTACGTGTTTTTGATCACCTCCCGGCCCTTCCTCGCCATCGCGCGTAACATCGGCAGGTGCGCCGCTCGCAAGTCCCGCAGCGACCGCACGTCTTTTCTGTGACACAACCCGAGACAGTACAGCTCGCGCGTCCCCGGGTGGTTCATCCACTGCTCTTTCGGCGTCGCCTTCGGGTCAGGGTGCGTCACCCACTTCGGGTCCGTGTTCACGAGAAACCCGTCGTTCGCGTCGTCGTCGTCGAAGAGCAATCGTTCGAGCTCCTTCTCTTTGTTTAGGATCTTGTACACCCACCCTATCGCGCTGGAGGGTATCGCGTCGATGTACGGCAGGTGCGCGGCGGCGTACGCACGCGGGTTCTCGCGGAACACCACCGGCGCCTGCGACGCGTTGCGGCTGACGTGCTTCGCGAGGAGCTTCGCTCGCGCTTCCTCCGATTCATTCGCGAGGCACCCGGGGTAGAGCACGTCCACGGACAGCCCGGGGGCGAACTCGGACGCGACGACGCCGTGATAGTACCCGTACTCCATCCCCGAGTACGGCGCGCGCTCGGAGAGCGTCACCGCGGTTGCGAGCCCGTCGAGGTCGCCCAACGGTATCGGCGGTCGCGACAGCTTCACGACGGACTCGGTGTCGCAGCCGGGGAAGGTGCCCAACAGCGCGACGACGCCGCTCTCCTTGCCGTCGTTCAGAACCCTCGACGTCTTGAACCCTCTCAAGGACGGGAGCCGATCCGGCATGGCATCATGGAGGCTGGACGCCATCGCGGGAGCGCGTCCAGCGCGTGCGCTCGCGTCGCCGTCGTGACGAGCGGCGTCGATGTCATTTGCGGACGTGTACGACGCGAGATACACCAGGACCAGTTGCGTTAATTCGATTGATACTAAATACCCATAGAGTACTGTACGTATACGAGTACGTGTACGCTTAATTTCTGATCAATACACTCCTTCAAGCCTCCTCACGCTCGCCGTGCTCGCGTCCTCACGCGAACGCTCACTTCCCCTGCTCCGCGCGCTCCTTCTCCAACGCCGCGACCGCGGCTAAGTCCGCCTCCGAGAGGTTATCCAAATCGATGATCTCGTCCTGCACCAGCTCCTTGGCTTTGTTCTTGTACACCGCGTCGTCGTACTTATCCGGGAACGCCACCTTCGCGATCGTGCCGAAGACGAATATCGTGCCGACGATCGCGCCCCACGCGGGGAGGATGATGCTCGCGGCGTTGACGAACATCTCGTCGAACGCGGTCGTGTCGAACGGGAGGTCCACCGCGAGCTGGGGGATCACCTCCTCGACGCTCGCGCTGTTCGCGGCGGGACGACGAAGACGGAGAGGGAGAGGGAGAGGGATGGGAGGGAGGACGTCTCAGCGGCGAGCTCGAGCGCGGGCGCGGAGAACGAGAGAGCGGAGTCGATCGCGCGGAGGGATCGAGGGGCAGCGCGAGCGCGACGACGCGAGCGCGGACGACGCGAGCGCGGACCTGACGACGACGCCCGCGCGGCGGGACGCGACGGACGAGGTGCCGCGCTTCGCGATCCCGATCGCTCCGCGGACGACGCGAGCGTTGCTCGCGCGCGCGTTCGAGGACACGGGCGCGCGGAGGAGGGCCGACACGGAGGTCGAAGCGACGGCGGCCATCGTTGCGTTGAGAGGTGTGATGACTGCGCGGGTGCGTTCCGCGCGCGTGCGAGAGTGCCTCGCGGTCACGCAGCTTAGCCACTTGTCCTCTCTGGGGAGATGCGGAGATCTGCTGGGATAGGACCGCCGTTTCCGTATGCATATCAGTCAGGGACACGTCCTGGGACACGTACGTGTACTAAGTGTACAGTACGCCGGTCCTGTCTCCGGAAAAATCTCCCGCTCCTGACAAAGACGCGGGCTCGTCACTGCTCGCTGCCAGCTCGACGTCGAGGACACGTCCGAGCGCGATGTTCGGAAGCGACAGCGACGACGATGAAATCACCGGGCAGTTGTGAGTCGAACCCGCGCGCGCTCCCACCCCCCCGCGCGCGTTCGACGCGTCTCGCCGACGCGGATCGTTCCCGGAATGCGTGCCGATGTGGCCCATTCATTCGCCGATCGCGCCATCCTCTGACGTCCTCTTCCTCGCTTCCCTTCGCCCCGACAGCGCCCTCCACGACGCCGCGGAGGCTGGCAACGCGGAGCTCATCGCGAAGATGCTCGGCAAGGAGAAGAAGGACGGCGAGTTCAACCCGGTACGTCACGCGCGAGACGCGATCGTCGGCTGAGTAGAATCCTCGCCGCCGAAAGGATCCGTCCTTCAGTGCACTTTCTTCGGCGCGCTGCGAACAGAAGAAAATTCGTCTCGTCCGTCGCCGCGGCGCGGCGCGGCGCCGCCCTTCCCCACGAGCGCGCGTCGACTGAGACCCCCACCCCACCCCCATCTCACAGGAGGAGGAGGAAGACGACGACGACGACGACGTGGATGTGAACGAGACCGACCGCGACGGGTGCACCCCCCTGCACGTCGCGCTCTTCAACAGCGCGACGGAGTGCGTCAAGCTGCTCCTCGAGAACGGCGCGGAGTCGTGGATCACCGTCGAGGGATCTCCCGCGCTTCACGTCGCGGTCACGACCGGATCGTTGCCGCACTTCACCGACGCCGCGACCGCGTGCGTCGAGGCGTTGATCGCGAGCGAGGCGGACGTCTTCGCGACGGACGATTACGGCAGATCGCCGCTGCACCTTGCGGCGACGCACGGTCTCTCCGCGATCGCGGACGCGCTCCTGGAGCAGTACCCGACGACGGAGCAGCTCAACACCGGGGACGAGGACCAGCCGGACCCGATCAACGCGAGGGATAAGCTCGGGTGGACGCCGCTTCACCACGCGTGCTACGGCGGCCACGCGGATATCGTGAACAAGCTCCTCGCGCGCGGGTCCAAGCCCGGGAAAGTCACGAAAGCCGGGCTCACGTCCTTGCACGCCGCGGTCGTCGGGCGGAACGTCGCCGCGGTCACCGCGGTCATGAACGCGGAGCCGTCGATCTTAAACAACGCGTGCAACGACGAAAAAACCGCGGTCGAGATGGCGGACGCGCGCGGGTACCCTCTCATCGCCGCGGTGCTCCGAGGCGAGGACACGAGCGCGGTCGAGACGCCGCCGCCGCCGCCGCCGCCGGTGATCATCGCCCCAGACGAGTGCTTCATGCACCACTCGTGCCCGCCGATCACTCGCGATGGACGCGATCCGCCCCCGGAGAACGTGAACCGGCTTCAAGTGCTCCTGAACAAGAAGACTGGGATCCTCCGCGCGGCTGAGTTCTCGAACGTGGACATCGTCTCGGAGGTTCGCCCGGCGACGATGGCGGACGTCTTGCGCGTGCACGAGTACCCGTACGTGCGGAAGATCCAGAAGATCTGCGAGAGAATCCCCGACTGGAACTCTAACCCGAACGGCGCGTTGGGGACGATCGACGGAGACACGGAGGTGTGCCACTCCTCGTTCAGCGCCGCGTTGTGCGCCGCGGGGGCCGTCGTGGAAGCCGTCGACAGGGTAGTCGCCGGGTCCGCGGAGAAGGTCTTTTGCGCCGTTCGTCCGCCCGGGCACCACGCGGGCCCGAACGGACCAGTCCCCGCGCCCGGGGATCCGATCGGCAGCGGATCGCACGGGTTCTGCCTTTTAAACAACGTCGCCCTCGGCGCGGCGTACGCGCGGTGCGTCCACCGTCACTCGCTCCGACGCGTCGCGATAATCGACTTTGACGTGCACCACGGGAACGGCACGGAGGCGGTGGTCCAAAATACGACCCCGGCGGCTCCGAAGTTCAACTTCTCGACGCCGTACTGCGAGGGCGCGATCACGGTGCCGACGTATCGCCCGTGGCTGGACGAGACCGACCACGAGGAAGTGTTTTTCGCGTCAGTGCACGGGTACGGGCGCGCGCGCGGGTTCAACTTCTACCCTGGCTCGGGCCCCACGGACGATACCCGACACGTCGGGGACTACCTCACGACGGAGGAGGCCGCGCAGTGGAACGAGGAAGGCGTCGTCGATGACCCTTATCACGTCGCGACCGCGAAGTCGGATAGCACCGCGCAAGGTCCTACGCCTTGGGTCGTGGACGTCGGCATGGAGGGCACGGGGAAGAAAGCGGAGCGCGGCGCGGCGTGGAGACGGGTGTGGAGAGGAAAGACCCTCCCCGCGATCGCGGCGTTCAAGCCGGACCTCGTCTTGATCTCCGCCGGGTTTGATGCGCACGCGAAGGACGACATACAAGGTCCGGTGAACCTGGGCGTGAAGGAGGCGGATTACGAGTGGCTCACCGAGGAACTGTGTAAGATCGCGAACACGTGCTGTCAAGGAAGGGTCATCTCCGTGTTGGAAGGCGGGTACAGGATCCAAGGGGGCGTCGTCTCCGCGTTTGGACGAAGCGTCGCGTCGCACCTCCGCGCGATGTTCCGCGAGAACCGCGAAGGGTGGAGCGCGGAGCAGTGCCAGAAGGAGCTTGACATCGAGCTCAAGCAGCGAAGGCTCGCGAAGGAAGCGGATGAAGCGAAACGAGCGGCGGCGATGGAGGCGGCGAGGCAGCGCGAGGAGGCTGCCATCGCCGCCGCGCAGGCGGCGATGGAGGCGGCGGGGGGCGACGGCGACGAGGCCGAAGCCGCCGCCGCCGCCGCGGCGGCTGCGGTCCTGGGCGATGAAGCGCCGACGAAGCGAAGGAGAAAAGCGGTCGACTACACGCAGCTGAACGCGGAGCTGGAGAAGGAGTCGAACCCCGCCGCTGCGGAAGCGGAGGAACCCGCGGCGGAAGCGGAGGAACCCGCGGCGGAGGCCGTGGAAGAAGAGGGCGAGGAAGACGTCGAAGAAAACGGCGAAGAATTGGAAATGGAAGACGAAGATGGCGGCGAGGAGCTCGAGGAAGACTTGGAGATGGAGGAATGAACGTAGTCAGTTGTGTTCATACATGCAAAGCACGAATCGTCATACTTTTGTCGCCTGCGCTGTCACCCTAACGTCTCCACCGACGCCGCGGCGTCATCTGTTAAACGACGTAATCCGAACCGACCCAATTGTACCGCTGGACCCAAGTCTCGTTTTTCTTCGTCTCGTTCGCTTCAGGCTTCGCGACCGCGTCGACGATGAAGGCGTCGCCGCACTCTCCGCACTTCGACGTGCGCCAAGCCTGTAAGATGAGGTTCTCCGCCTCGCCGAGCGTCGGATGCCGCGCTGACGTGACGCCAGGCACGCAGTCGCACATCGCCTTCGCGGCGATCTCCGGGACGTCGTCGATCCGCATGATCGTCGAGCTCTGCCTCGCGTTGACTTCGCTCAGCGTCTGCGGCAGCTCCACGTCCGAGACGAGCCGAGCGACGCTTTGCACGACGCACTTGACCGCGCTCGCGGGAGACGACGTCTTCGGACACCCCATCGCCTCGGCGAGGTCGACGAATAGTTCCGCGGCGTCGTCGTTCATTTCCTCGCTCTGTTCGCCGTAAAACTCCAAAACGTGGGGCAACATCACCGCGAGCAACTCCGAGGAGAGAAGGTTGATGTACTTCGCGCACAGAGCGTTCGCGATCGCGTGCGATAGACCGAGTCCCGCGGAGTTGAACGAAACGCCGGCGAGAAACATGCCGTAATTAATCATGTCGAGCGCCTTCGTGTCTTTCGGCGTCGACGTCACCGCCGCGCGGAGGTAGGACGACAACAAACGAATCGCGTGAAGGGCGTTCGCGTCCGTCACGGGAGTCGACGCGTTGCTGAGAAACGCCTCGCACGCGTGCGCTAACGATTCGACGCCTGCCGCGGCGATGATTTCGCGCGGTTGCTCGAGCATCAGCAGAGTGTCGTCGCACGAGACGCTCGGGGTGATGCGCCAGTCCACGATCTCGAGCGTCTCCTGATGAAGCGGGTCCGTGATCACCGCGAGCCTCGTGAGCGCGGAACAAGCTCCCATGCACGTGGACACCGCGAAGTGAGGCACGGCGGGGATCCACCCGGCCGCGATCTCGTCCACGCCGACGAGTTCCTGAACCGCGTCTTGCTCGGGATTGCGGTACAACGCCCTGACGGCTTTCGCGACGTCGTGCGCGGAGCCCCCTCCCGCGCTGATGATGGAGTCGACGTCGTACTCGTACGCCATCAACAGCGCGGCCGCGACGTTTTCCGTCGTCGCGTTGAGTTCCACGTCGGAGAAGATGAACGCGTCCGTGCCCGCGTCGAAGAGCTCTTTGCACAGTCTCTTCAGCACGTCCTTCTCGTCCTCGTCTCGCAAGTGTTTCGTCTGCGACACGACGAGGCAGCGTTTCGCTCCCGACTCGCTCACGACGTTGCCGAGCCTTTGCAGCGCGCCCTGCCCGAGAAGACTGAACGGCGGAGCGAAGAACGACGACGCTCCGGACCTCGAGGTGTGGTGCTGTCGAACGAAGTGGTCGCCCGCCGGTACGACGAGGGAACCTCTATACGACGGAACCGCCCCACCGAAGCTCTCGTCGATATCGCCGGGTGGCTGACTCGCGACGCGAGTGCGCGCGCGCCATAGCCGCGACCGGCGCGGCGCGGGGTTGATCGTCGCCGCGCGATGCAGCACGTCAGAAGCGGAGTTGAAAGGCATCGCGGTCGGGCGATGCGGAGTGTGCCGCGGGAGCGGTTATCCCCGCGTAGTCGTGGTTCGGAACGTCCGCTGAACGTGCTTGCTGCTCACAGCGGAGGGAAAAAACTGGGAAAAAAAATTGTTCAAAAGGTTACTACTATCAACGTTCCCTAGGATCGTCCTCCGCGGAACCCTCCGCGATCTGCTCCTCCATCGCTTTCGAGCCAATCTCCGTTTCCATCTCAACGAACTGCAACACCTCCTTCGGTCGTCTTGCGTTCATGAACGGTTTCTTCTTCGCCTTCCCGACCCCCTCCGGGGTCGTCCGCTCTTTGCTCCCCGACAAAAGTTCCTTCACTTCGTCCACGTCAACGTCTTCGATGTCTTTGAAAAAGTCCTCCACCGCCGCCGCGTCGTCGGTGATCTCGTGCAGCCTTCTCGGGTCACGGAACGGCCAGAGGTCACCCCATCTCGATTTTCTCGCGTGCTTGTACCCGCCCCTGCCGACGGCGGTCTCGCGCGCGTGTGACTTCGCGACGATGTGACGGCTCAACTCGCCATCCGCGGTGCACAGATCGAGGATGACGTGGCCTTTGCGTTTCATCGGCGGTCGGACCATTCGCCCCCACGTGTAAGAACTCGAGAGCGCGGCCATGTCCGTCAGGGACTCCAGTTCCTCTTCCTCGTCTTCGTACTCGTCGTAATTTACAGCCTCCGAGCCGAAAACCATGGGTTCTTCATCTTTCGTGAAAAAGTCCTCGACGTCCGATTCGACGTCGTCGGCGTCGTCGGCGTCGTCGGCGTCCAAATCGCCCTCCCACTGCCCCTCGCGCTCTACCGCGATAATCTTCGCTCGCTTCAACGTCTCCTCCCTCGCGTTCTCGCGACTGATGCGCCGAATGATGACGTAAGAGAAACGCTCGTTTTGCAGCTCCGGGCCTCGTCCTCTTTTCATCATCTGTCGGTGCATCTCAGTTCTCTTCACGCGCACGCTGAAGTGGCACCACGTGTCTAATCCGTCCATGGGACATTTTCGATCGTGCTGGCAAGGCGCGACGACGTGCGCATCGATCGCGGTCCCCTCTCTCTCCGCGTACTGTCGCTCGTGCTCTAAGACGATCGACCGCGCGAAGCGAATCAAATCCGACCCGCGCGGGGTACCGGTCTCGATGAGCACCAACGCCCCCCCCAGGTTGACCTTGGACCACAGAGACGTCACGGCATCCGAGACGCGCTTCTCGCGCATCTCCTGATAGTCGACACCGCCGCCTCTGAGCAGCGCCTGATGCTGCTCGTGCTTCGTCCCCGCGGCGATCTCGCCCAAGCTGTACGACGCGACGACGAGGTCGAAACGCGCCCTCGGGCTCAGAGACCGCAACGACGCGACGGTGCGCACCGGCCCGGTCAACCCCCACGGGTCCGGGTCCGGCAGCGGGCGGTTGTTCTTCGTCTCCATCGCACCGTCCATCAAATCCCCGAGATCCACGCTCACCTCCTCGTCGTACACGCTCTTCGCGATCCGTCGCGTGAACGCCATCATGCTCGGCGACGCGTCCACGAGCGTCGCGTTCCCTCGCTCGTCGACGTTCCCGAGAACGTTCCCGAACACCCTCCGCGCGGCCCACAGCGCGGGCGCGGGGCCGGCGCCGAACTCGAGCATCGTCTTCGGATTAAACCCCGGCGCGCGGATCGCGAGCTCCTCGAACGCTCTCTGGTGCGCGCCGAACGTCATCGGCAGGCGCGTCACCGCGTACGCGGCGGCTTCGAGCGGGCCGTACGCGAGCGCCGCCTCGGGGGGCGCCGCGGGTTTCTTCTTCTTTCCTTTCTCCGTCCTCGCGACGTCGAGGCCGCCCACGCCTTCCCTGAGTCTCCTCTCTTTGCGCACGGGGAGTCGGACGCCCCACTCCACGCCCTCGCCGAGCTCTAATTCGTCTCTCGATTCCTCCGCGTTCGCGCCCGACGGCGACAGCCCCGCCGTCTGCGATTTGTTCTTCATCCACGCCCTGACGCTCCTCTCCTCCGCGTCCACGGAAGGCTTCAAGCCTCGGGATATCGTCTTCAGCTCGTCGAGGAGGGTGCGTCCTTTCTGTTTAATCTGCCTGTGCGTCGCGCCCGTCTCCCTCACCGCGACGCGTATTGCGCGCAGCAAGCGCTCGGGTAACTCGATCACGCCTTTGTTCCTCGCGGACAGGGCGTGCACCGCGGCGATCAGGTCGTCCTTGTCCGTCTCCGAGAGCAGACCGACGGCGTCGTCGCACGCGTTCATGGCCGCGGGAAGCAGCGGCGACGTAGTCTCGCTGACGTCGAGCTCGCCGCGCGTCGACGCGCTGACTTCGAGCTCCCCGCGCGTCGTCGCGAGCTCGCTCGCCTCGCCCCCGGCCGAGGAGCTGAGCGGACGAACGCGAGTGGCGGCGTTCGCGAGCTCTCCAATCTGACTTCCCCCGCGCGCGTCCAGCGCTCGCGCCAGCTTCCCCGCCGCGGCCGACAGCGCGCGCCGCATCCTGAAAGCTTCGAGAGAGAAGCACACCCGCCGCGTGTGCTCTCGCGCTCGCTTGTGGCGCCTCGGCGTCCTAACGCCGCGCTTTCGATCTCGGACGAGAACTTTTTCTTTCCGTTAACTCTTTCTTTCTACGGTACGAGAGTCTTCGTCACTCGCGACTGAAGGACAACTCTAAATATCGTGCGCTACATCTCTCGCGGATCGTCCACACGATACCGCGCCCACCGCAGGGTGCGTCTTCGCGCGACAAGCCCCCCGCTTCCCTTCGTCTACCACCCCCACACCCCCGTCAGGCCATTCCCCGCCTGCGCTCGGCCGTCGCCGCCGACCGGCACGCCGAGCGCGGACAGCACCCCAGGGTTCAGCCCCGCCTCGGGGTTGAAGTCCCCTTGCTGCTGCATCATAAGAGGATGCCCCGACGCGCCGAGGCTGCCGAGGAGGTGCCCTGCGATGACCGCGTCGGAACCCGCCGTGTTGGCGCGTTTCGAGCTCCTGTTCTCGACGTCCTCGACGCTCGCGGAGACGCCGTACGGAGCCCTGCCGGTCTGTTGC